CCCTGGAGACTCCCCGGGCTGCGGCCCAGGGGCCAGCCGGAGACCCTTCCTGGAGTGGGGTCCACCCGCTGTGCGGCCCGGGCAGCTCACTCACCGTCTCTGTGCGCCCTTTCCTGGTCTGGGCAAGGGAGCCCGTGGCGGCGTGTCTCCCACGGGACTGGGGTGGGGGCCGGCGTTCATGTGCGTGCGGGGCGGTCCCAGGACGCGCCTCTCTCTGAGGCCCAGCGTGGTGGGCCTGCACGAACGGCGCCAGGAGGGACGTTGCAATAAAACCGCTCCCCAGGCCCCGGCCCCTGGCAGCCCCCCACCATTTCCCACGTGTGTGTGTGTGTTGAACGCCTTGCTGAGATCGAATTCCCGCCCCATAGATGCACGCACTTTACGAGCACAGCTCCATGGCTTTGGGCGCATTCGCCACGTTGAACGATAGAACGCTCTCATCACCCCGAAGAGAAACTCGCCGCCCTCGGCTGGCCCCTCGGCCCCCCCTTCCCCAGCCCCTTAAACCCCTGCGTCTCCGGGGCGTTGCCCCCTCCGCGCGTCTCCTGCGAATGGAGTCACGCGTCACGTGGCCCTTGGGCCCGCCCCCGGCACGCGGCACGTCGCGCGCGAGGCGGGTCCGCGTCACCGCGGGTCGCGGGTCCCGGCTCACCGATCCAGTTTACGGCCCAGCGATATTCCGCCGCGGGAACGCGCCGCGGTTTGCTTTTTCGTTCACGGACATTTGGGTTGTTTCCACCTTCTGGCTGTTATGCGGAACGCGGGTGTGAGCACGCACGCACGCACAAGGTTTCGTGTGGACGCGCGTTCTCGTCTCTCCCGGGTGGACAGCCAGGGGCGGAATCGCTGGGTCTATGGGGATCCTGAGTCTCACCCTCGGAGGGTCCGGCCCACGGCTCCCCGGAGCGTCTGCGCCGTCCGACCGTCCATTTCTCCGCGTCCGCCCGGCACGTGGTGTTCCCGGTGACCTCGGGGACAGCCGGCCGCGGGGTGAGGTGGGCCTCCGTGGCCATGGCCGTGGCCGCGTTGACTTCCTGCTCCCAAGGGTTAAAGGTGACCAAGCGCCTTCTGTTGCCCGTTTGCGCACCTTCTCCGGAGAACTGCCTACTCAGGTTCTCCCCCCATTGATAAAAACTGAGCTGCTTGACTTTTTATTATTGAGTTGTAAGAGCTCATCATCCATTCATAGGGTGAGGTCACAGTCATAGGATAGAGAGAAATCTCTCCTCAGAGCCACAGTTTGCAGAATTCCGCTCCCACTCCGGGGGTCGTGGCGTTACTGCCGCGACGGTTCTCCGAGACACCCGGGAATTCTCCGAACTTCCCTGCTGCCGGGAGGCGGCGTTCCAGCGTCGTGCCTGTGCCCGAGGGTCCCCGTGTCACGCGCTTCCTCGCTGACTCGCTTCCATCGCTGCACTTGCACCTTTGGGCCTCGCCGACGTGACAATGTCCCGCGTTAGGGGAGTGTGTCACGTGAAAGAAGTGCACTGTCGCCATCGGGCTGTTACAGCTCACGCGTGCCCGCCGGGCGGTCTGGGGCGCACTCCGTCCCCGGGGGACGCTGATGCCACGCTCGCTGGGAGGAGGCAGCGTGCGGTGGCGGCGGGTGCGATCGGAGGAGGGACTGTGAGAGGCCTCCCTGGAGAAGTGACGTTTGTTTGTCCCGGGACCTGCACCTCCCCTAGGTGCTGGCTGGAGGAGGAGGGGGTGGGGCCGGGCGGCATTTTCCAGGCAAGGACACAGCACGTGCAGAGGTCCAGAGGAAAGCGAGCTTGGAACAGGGGGAGAGAGACACACATGGAGGGGCATGGAGGGAGGGACACGAAGGGACCCTGAAAGGTCAGGCCCGTGCACAGACCCCCCCACACACACACACAGGCAGCACCCCCCCAGGGCTCCCTGCAGAAGTCAGGAAGGGAGAGAAGCCCCTCGCTGACTGGGTTCTGATTCTCTGCTGTCCGGTGGGGCCCCCCCACACTTTGTGGGCGCCTCCTGGCAGCCCTGCCCAGCGGGGAGGTGCTCACCCCGGGCCCTGCTGGGGAGGGTTAGGGTGGAGAAGCTGGGGCAGCCTCTGGGAGAGGAGGCTGGCTGGTGGGAGGTCCCGGAGGGACGCCTGGGTTGGGTCAGGAGTGGCCGACTGCATGGCCTTGGGTGGCCTCTCCCCACCTGTAGACCCCCCAGCCCCGTTACAACCTGCCTCTCGGGTGCAGCGGCGCTTCTGCGCACTTTTAACAAGCCGAGGGCAGCGTTCCCGCCGAGGTCGGGACGGCCGGCTTTCTTTTACGTAGCTGGTGTCTAAGAATGCGTCGTCCCCACGCCGGAGGCGGGGAGACGCTCCTGGTTCCCCACGGCCGGCTGTGTCCCCCTCGGCCAGCTCCGTGGGATAGTGAAGGGGACTTGAGAAGGGGAAAAAAACCCTAAAACCTTCCAAGGTCAAGTACATTTTGCAAACAAAGCTTTGTTAGACCGAGTCAGACAGGTTTCGCCCCGTGGGGTGTCAGAGCCTGTCTCGTGCTGGCACGCACCGTGCTGCGGGGGGGTGGGGGGCAGCGTAGATGTCGGCCACTAGGCTATGCACGGGACCTTTCTCTGCCACAGAGCACCTCTGGGGTCCCCAGGAAGGGGCGCCCCAGTGCCAACAGGAGCCCGCCTGCCCCCTCTGTGCCTTCCCCAGGGCTGGCCACAGCATACAACACAGGGCAGAGGGAGGGTCACAGCGGCTCGTGGGGAGAAGCAGTCACCGTGACCAGTAAGTGGTGCTGCAGGAACGGGCTGTGCGTTCCGCGCACCCACCCCAGGGACCCGCTTCTGCCTCCCTCCGCAGGTGTGGCCGCGGGTCGGAGCTCCAGGGAAACGGGGACGGGCTTCGCCACGGGCCCCTGCTCCACCCCGTGTCACGGGGATGCCGGGTCCATGGCTGGACCTGGGACTTGAGCGCTCTTCTCAGCCCTAGGGCCTTACTCCTTCCGGAAGGTTCTCCCCTCCTCACCCGAGTAACACGTGGTCCTCCTTCAGGTTTTAGCTTAAAGCCACTCACCTGCTCGCACGTGACCCAGTCCGGCCCCCCTGGGGCCCCGGCTCCTCCCGATGATGTCAGGCGCCGGAGCAGTGGGCATTCATGAGAGACCTGCGTGGCTGCCGCTTTTAAACTGAGGGCCTTTACTAATCTTCAGGCTGTAGGTGAGCAGAAATTGGGCAGATTGCACAGAAAGCTCCCCAACTCCCTTGCCGGCCCTGCACAGCCTCCTCTGGCTAACCTCCGGCGTCAGCCGGTGCCTCTGTGACAGCGGACGGGCCCACGCCGATGCATTATTAATGGGCTTCCCTCTCGGTGGTGTGGTTCTGCGGGCTTGGACACGTGTCCGATGTCATGTATCCAGCAGGACGATGTCACACAGAGTCGTTCCGCCTGCTCATCCGCCGCCCCCCCACCCACTGATTTCTTAGGTGTCTCCCCGCTAGACCCCACCCTTCATCGGAGTAGGGACCCCATCTGCTCCGTACCCACTGCCCCCGCTCAGAGCCTGGTGCATAACAGGTGCCCTAGAAATAGTTGTCTTTGCGTAATTGAATAAAACAGGATTCTGTTAAACACGTTATCCTGCAATTTGCTTTTTACTAATATTGAAGTATACCTTGGACGTGTTCCCGTGTCAGAATATAGAGCATTGTCTGTCTTTCACTTGTTGCCGTGGGAGATTTCCAGCACGCCCACGGAAACAGAGACTACTACAGCAGCCACCAGCCAGGCAGCTGTGGGCCTGCCCGGCCCTGCCCCCGCTCACAGCCGCTCTCGCTCGCCCCGCCTCTGCCCAGGTCCCCCCTTCCCGCTGTTGGGGAGCAAACCCCGGGCAGCAGAACCTCGCCCGTCAGTGTCCCGATGTGACCCTCTGAAACCATGACCTCGGGCCCACCACTGCACCGTGAACGTTCGCCTAGTTCGTCAAGCACAGTCAGTTCAGACTTCCAGCCGTCCCACGAAGACACGTTCTGCTTGTCTGAGTTTGGGGGTTGAGCGAAGGGAGGTCTGCACCCCGCTGCTGCCGGGGGTCTGCCTCTGGGGTCCCTCTCCGCCTGGCCCTCCTCCGTCCGTCCGTCCATCCGGGTCGGACTCTGCGACTCGCCTGCTAGGGAACCTGAGCGGCGCTTTGGGGCTCCCCGCCCTGCCCCCACCCCTACCCTCATCTGGATTCTGCCGGCCGCACCGCCCTGGTGTTGAGTGTGTCTCTCTGTCCCCTCTGTTTCCTGCACAATCTTCGCTGGATCCAGAGGCTTGATCCGGTTCGAGTTCAGTGTGTGTGACAAGACGGCTTCTGGGCCGGGGTGTCCTTCCTTCCGCCTGGAAACGTCCCTCTGGTTGTCTCTCTGCGACGTGCCAGGCTGGTGGGATGCAGAGCAGAGGGGCTGCTACCCGGCGACCTCCTAATTCTGTCATTCCTCCTTCGACGGTTTGCTGGAGTGTTTCCATAAAGGAGACACCCCGTCTGCCGCGGGTGTCCCAGGGGTGCCGTCTGCGAGGGACAGGCAGGACCCACGCTCCGTCCTTGCCCTCCAGTGGCTCGGTCGCAGAACGACGGGTTGCCTGTGAACATCCGAGTGAGGGAACCATACACGTGTGGACGAGCTGATGGGGGCTTGGGAGACGGGCAGGTTTCCTCTGCGGCCTTCAGGGTGTGGGCGTGGCCGCAGTTGCCAGCACAGTGCCGCCCGGGCCAGGTAGGTCCGCAGCCACCGAGCAGCTCCTGCTCTCCGTCAACCCACCTCCGTCCAGCGCAGAGCCAGGAGCTGGGCTGCTGCACACGCGGCCTCTGGGACCAGGGCACCTTGCACCCCGCCCCGGCAGAGACAGAGACGTAGTGAGCCCTCGCACCCCTGACCACGGAGAGGCCGGCAGCTGGGTCCAGGGCGGCCTTCATCCTGGGTGAGGATGGGGTCCCGGCCGGGCCGGCCCGACGCCTCCCGCGCCCGGCTCGCCGACCCTCTGTCCCGTGTCCCCGCAGGTGCAAGTGCAACCTGCACGCCAGCCTGTGCTCCGTGCGCGAGGGCAGCCTGCAGTGCGAGTGCGAGCACAACACCACGGGCCCCGACTGCGGCCGCTGCCGCAGGAACTTCCGCACCCGGTCCTGGCGGGCCGGCTCCTACCTGCCGCTGCCCCACGGCTCTCCCAACGCGTGTACGTACGGCCCCCGTGCCCCCGCCTCCAGCCAGCAAGGCCATGGTCCCCCCCCCGGCCCCCCTCTCCTCCCTGCGCCCCATTCTCCTTCCAGAAGGGTCCTCCAGCGTCTCCGGACCCCCACAGACCAAGACTCGGCCCTGAGGGTCACGCCCAGTGACGGACAGACAGGCTGGGCCCCGCCTTGACTCTGACACCTCTCCTCCCCCCGGCCCTATCCGGGCAGCTGAAGTTGCCTTGTTTGGGGTGCTGCCTCTGCACCCCGCTTCCCCAGGCCTCCAGGGGCAAGGGGGGGGGCTGGCATGTTCCATGTCCTCAGCCAAAAACCTTCTCACCCGGGCCCCCACCTTCGCTGGGACAGCCAGGAGAAGAGAGTCCCAAGAAACGCAGCCTGAAGCAAGCCCCTCAGGTCCCCATCTCAGCAGGAGTCCCTGACAGCCAGGGGCCAAGCCCTCAACGACAGCCCCACCTGCCCCTCTCCCGCAGGCCCCCCCTCCGCCCTCTCTCTGCAGACACGGGCCTCTCCTCACCTGGGGGCCCGGGCTCCAGACCCTTGGGTGCCCTGCGCCCAGTGACCACAGAATGAAACCCTGACTAGCCACGCCCCCTTCCAAGGCCCCGTGAGGCCATTCACCCCACACACCTCGCGCCCCTCCCCGCCCCAAGTGTCTCTCCGGCCTGGATCTTTCTGTCCCTGTGGCGTGGTGTTGCCCCCCCGACACTCCTGTTCTCTGACACCCCATCGCCCCCCAAAACAGCCTCCCGCCTGTTCTCACCAAGCCTCCTTGTCCCGTGTCTAGTAAGAGAGGCGCATGTGCACCCCCAGCAGAGTGTGTGGCCCTGACGGAATGAGTCTTGGCTCTGAGACTCAGTTTCTCTGTCTGCAAAATGGGCGAAGGGCAGCCCCTCCCTTTCGGGGCAGCGATACACGTTCTGGTCCCTGCAAAGTGGGGGCTCACGATGGCGGGGACTGTGAGCTCCCTCCCCCGGCCCCGCCCCCACCCCCCAGCAAGGAAGAAGGGGCCTGGGTCCTTGCTTCTCCGGCCACCACCCTGTGACCCTTCTCTCCCCACAGGTGCTGCTGCAGGCTCCGCCGTTGGCAGTAAGTACACACCCGGGTCCCCACCCTGGGGACAGTGACAGGGACCCGCAATGCTCGAGCCCCTTTGCATGTCCCGGAAAGAGCAGGAGACAAAAGCAGGGGGTCCCCTGACCCTGCTGGGCACTCAGGGTCCCCCCCCCCCCCCCCGCAGCTGCGCTTTGTGCACGCTCATCTCTGTCTGCTCCTCCCGCCCCCTTTCACTGGCCCTGCGGCCACCCCTCACCCCCCACCCCCCACTGTTTCTCCCTCAAGCTTCTTGGTTAGTGCTGCTTTGGAAAGGTCCCCGCGACCCCTGGGTGAATCATCCTGGCCGCACCTCTGGCCAGGCAGGAGTGGGGGTCACCGCCTTCCCCACCAGACCAGCGTGAGCCGGCGCCTGAGGCGTCCAGAGCAGGCAGGGCACCCGCAGGAGGGACAGGGGCGTCCCGAGGGCTCACGGAGGAAGGCTCGGGAGGGTGGGCGTGGGTGCCTGGCAGACACCACACACCCTGTCTCACTTGCTCTGAGTCGGGTGCGGGCCCACTGGGCGGTCACAGTGTCGCATTTGACCCTGGCACCCGGTGGGCGTGGCCACCGGCTCCGGGAGTGCCTGCCAGCGCCAAGCAAGCTCAGAAATGCATCTGGGGGACACGGCCTCCCTCCGCCGGGGCTCTGTGGGGCCGTGCCAGCCCCAGGGGCACCTGCTGGGGCACCAGTGGAAGGGGGCGCCCGAGGCAGCTGGATCTGGAGGGGACTCGGATCCACGCCATGGGGCCCTAAGTTCTTCCCTGGGCTGCCCCACGACCTCCACCCTCTCTCACCAAGCATCAGCAGGTTCCGGGAAGACCCCATCCCCAAAGCCCCCATGGGCACTGTGGCCATGAAGGGGGACCCGACCACTCCCGTCCTCTCCATATCCACTGCTTGGGGGATGGCCCCCGGCAGCCCACCGCCCACAGGTGGGGGCCCAGGCACAGCCCAGGTGCCCCACCTTTCCCAGTCCCTGCCCAGCCCCTGCCTCTCGCTGTGGCGTGACATGATGCGGTGGGGTCACAGGCCCTGGGGAGGGCGGGCACGGCTCATAGAGAAACTAGGACCCTACAGGTCCCAGAGGGTGTGGCCGAGGGGCCTCGGGGCCATCTGGGCCCCAACCTGGGGTTCAGGGCTCCCTTCAAGCTCCTAGAGTCTCCTTCTTCTCCACGCTGCACCCCGCCCCCCAACAATGCACTGCTCAGAAGGGCACCAAACCAGCACGGCCGAACGGGCAGGGGGACCCGGAAGGACGGGCCCGTGGCAGCAAGGCCACGCACGGCTCACCCAAAGCCAGCGCCTGTCTCCAGTGGGACTCCGGCTTCAGCGCCGCCTCTGCAGGCGGCCCCACACCCTGCTCTGCCCAGCCCTCGGCAGCCCGGCCCCCGGAGCAGCCCAGAAGGCAGGGCAGCTGGGCCTTGCGGCCGGGTGTTTGGGATACAGGCCGCAGGGCACCTGGGGTCAGGCTGGGGCCCGGCTCCTCGCCCACGTCAACTGGAGCAGCCACCCCCGGGGCCCCCCCTCACGACAGAATTGCAAACAGGGCTCTCTGGGCCTCACTCCCCTCCAGAGCGGGACTGGCCTGTGCTCGGGGCGTGGGGTGCTGGGTGGCCCTCTGGTGCCACCTGGGGTCTCCCCAGACTGCTCCCTGCAGGGGCCAGGCGCCCCGAGGGGACCTGTGGTGACATACCGCAGTCTCTCTCCTCCTTCACCCTCTTCCCGGGGCGGGGGGGGGGGGCACTGGCAGGAGGTGGGGCCAGCCAGGAGGGTCCAGGGTTTCCTGGGGTGGGGCGGTCCTCGTGGCCCCGAAATCGCCTGCGAGGTGGAGGACGGTGGGGCGGGGGGCAGGCTGGGAACCCTGGCGTGGGTCAGCCCACCGCCCGAGACCGGTGCTTTCCTTGCCGAGCCGGCGAGGGGCGGCCCGGAACAAACCAGTCGTGGCGGGCGCCGCGTCTGCCCGCTCCCGGTGCTCCGTCCGGGCGGGGCTGGATGCTCTTGCATACACGCTGAGGGCCCCGGACTCTGTTTTCTGAGCTGCTGCTGATGCGGTGCGAGGGCGCAGGGCACACCACAGAGCAGGACCCTTCAGGGAGAGGCCAGGGCCGTGAGCTGAGGAGACAAGGAAGCCTGGACTCGGGAGGAGGGGGCGCCCCTTCCGCTGCGGGGGACGTCCAGTGAGGCCGTGGTCGGCCGTGCGGCCTGAGCCCGGCGCCGGGGCCTCAGGGGAGCAGGCGGTGCCAGGGTGCGGGCCGTGACTGCAGGGGCTGTGTCTCGGGGTCACCACTCCTCCTGGGCCGCAGACGCCTGTGCCCGGGCCCCGGTCGTACTGGACCCCGCTAAGGAAGACAGGCGCCGCAGTGGTGGGGTGCACCCTCACCCGGACTCGCAGCTCTGCGAGGTGGGGGCTGCCGTTGCCCTCGCCCCCAGGAGCGGGTGTTCAGGCTCAGGAAGAGGCGGCTGGGCTGAGGGTGTGAAAACGAACCCACAAAGCTGCGGAGGAGAGAAAAGCAAGCAGTGACAGAGGCACCTGGGCAGGACTGAACTCGGGGCGGGGCTCGCTGGCCCCCGGGGGTTCCTGCGGCTCCCGGCCCAGCGCCACTGCCCTGAGCCCCGGCTGGGGGTGGGGGTGGGGGGCAGGGACACTGGGAGGTGGAGGTGGCGCCGTCATTGCGCCCGGCTCCCCCAGCTCCCGACTCCCAGGGAACAGCCGGGGCCTCCATCTGCTCCTGGCACAGGACACGGGGCCCGCGAGAATGCTCTCCCGGCACACCTGAGTCCGTCCCTGGAGAGCCCTGCGGGGGGGCCTCTCCCGCCCCCAAATCCCTGTCCCTGGAAAGGTCCCGAGTCTCTCCAGGCACCTGCCGGCAGGTGCTTCGGGCTCTTTGGCTGGGGGCCAGCTGGCCCGGGGACCGCTGGCCCAGATGTTTCTGCTTCCTGCCAACGTCAAGCTGCCCGAAGGGCGGGGCCGCCTGGTGGAAAAGGCCACCCCCGACCTCTAATCCTCGCCCCGAGGGGGAGGCGGGGGCGGCGCCACAGCCAGAGGCCTTGGCGCGGGTTTCTGCGCCTCTAATGAGGCCCCGCCGACCGCGGCCGCGGCCTCGGCTCCTCGCCGAGCACGGCGGTCACGTCCGTGTGGTGTCTGAAGGCTCCCGGCTCGCGGCTCCCAGCCCCCGGCTGGAGCGGCGCCCGCACCTTCCAGCTGGTAGATTTCCTTCTTCTTTCCCTGCGAGCTGGCATCCCCTGTGATCCCTGCAGAAGTGGGAGGAATCCGATTTCTCCACCGTCCCTCTGGGTTTGTCCTTTGAAATGTGGCGCCGGGCGACGCCCCGACTGGGTCGGGTCAGCCGCTGCTTCCCCGGCCGAGTGTCCGTCCAGTCGGCCTTGGAGACGGCACCGTGGCGTCTGGGGGTGGGCTGACGCACACAGGGGTCCCTGGGGAGAACGGGCCCACACCAGGGGTCGGAGGGGAGCCGGTGGCCGGAGGGGCAGGCCGGACGCCGGCGGGCGCGCGCCGCCGCGCCGGGTCGGACGGGGGCCTGCGAGGGCCCTTCCGCACACGTCTGACGTCTCGGCCAGAACACGCGCCTCCTTCTCAGCCGCCGGCGCGAGAGGCCTGGGCCCGGGTGTGGGGCTCGGTGTCGCTCTGCCCTTCAGTCGGGGGACGGGCCCACACGGGGAGGGCAGCAGAGTGCCCGAACCAGGGGTCCCGCCGCAGACGGGAGTGCCCGGAGTCTCAGGCACGGAGGTGCCCGCCCGCCGGGTTTCGGGCCCGTGGGCGCCCGCCGCAGGCTGCAGTAGTGCAGACGGAGACGGACCTCGTCCTCCGTGGCAGGCGCAGACAGCGCTTCTTACAGAGCCATGTCTGATAGGGGGCCTGTGGGGCAGGGATGCCGCAGACCGTCCCCAGGACACCCCCGGCCCCACCCTCTTGTGTGACTTGCTGTCTTCTTTTCTTCCCCCCCAAGAGTGGATCAGGCCGTGGACGGCAGCCCCCCCAGGGGAGAGATCCCCCTGGCCCCAGGGGTCCTCCAGTGCACAAGGTATGGGGGGATCTTCTTCTTAGACCCTCAGGCCCCTCCCCCTTAGTGGAGGTAGCAGGTGTACATGGTGGGGACCTGGGGTGGGGGCCGCAGGGGACTGAGGGTGGGGCCTTGGTGCTCTCCTTGACCCCCACCTACCTCTCACCTGCTTAGGGTCAGTGACATCACCAAACCCGCCCTTGTGATCACACATCCCCCCAAGCACTGGGGAGCCCAGTGCAGGCGCAATGGAGCGCTGAGTGTCAGGGCTTCCTGCAGGGGGCGACTGCGAGCACAACAGGGCGATAACAGGAGAAGTGCGCCCCGGGCCATTCCGGTGGCAGGCCCGACGGGCAAAGGCTTCGCGGTGGTGTGGCCGGGAGCGGCCCACCCAGCAGGGGAAGGGGTGCTGGATGAGGGAGGGCCGAGGCGGCGGCAGGCCCAGAGCCTCGCGCCCCAACGGCGGGGGAGGAGGCACACCTGGGCTTGTTTGCAGCCACAGATGGGCGGGCGCGCACAGGGCGCACGCGGACTTGCCCCAGTCTCCAAGAAGGGGAGCCACCCTCCTCCCAGCCCCCCTGTTCCCTGGACATTAGACTCTAATGCCCTGGTAGGCAGGAGTGCTGTCTCCCCCTGTCCTAATTCAGTTCCCCTCCACACGGGCTCTGCCTGGGCGCCGGGCCGGGAGCAGGGGTTTGAGCGCCCTCTGCTGGCAGGATGTTGCGGAGCAGGAACCAGAATCGGCGAGGGAGGGTCTGCAGTTAGCTCCCAGACGCTGACAGTTGGAGGGGCTGGAGCCACCACTTCCCGGCCCTGCACTGGCTGGGACACCAGACTCCGGGAGCCTGGCAGGCTCGCCCGGACACGTGGGGCGGGTCCTGGACGGGCCGTGCCCTGCAACGCGTGCCAGTGGGGAACCGGGGACGGGAAAGGCCTGGCTGTGGCTGGGGCAGGAGAAGCTTCGGGGGGGAGGAGGGATGCCAAAGGCGCGTGTGGCTGCCACTCGCAGACTCGGGGGGTGATGCTCCCGGGAGCCTGGGGGGCGGGGACAGGGGAGCAGAGGAGAAGCCCTGTGTCCGACCCGCCGAGAGACTGTCGGGGGCTTCTGTGCAGTGACTCGGGGGTCTGCCCAGCTGGGCGTGGCGATGCTGTCTGAGGCGGGGACCCACGGCAGGCTGGTTCTGGGCGCTGCTGGATGTGCTCGGTCACCTCCACTCCGAGCGGGTGGCAGAGCCGCCCGGAGCTCACCAGGGCTCCTTGGGGGCCCTTGCTGGGCCTTCCCTGGGCCCGGACCGGCCACCCCGGGCAGCGGGACTGTGGCTGACGGAAGAGTTTGCTTCCCGTCTCTCTAAGCTGCGGGCACCTTCACCGCTGCCCCCACCCCCGCCAAGGCCTCCAAGCCTTCCCAGCTCAGGCCCAAATCTCCTCAAGTGGTGCCTGTTGGAGAGTTCCCAGGTAAGAGGAAGGCCCCAGCGCCGGGTCAGCCCTCCTCCAGTAACCCCCCTCCCCCCCATCCATCCTCATGGGAAGAAACTGAGGCGGGGAGGAGGGCCGAGACCAGGCTCACAAACTCTCCCGGGGAGCTGGGTCAAGGTGAAGCTGAGCCTGTCTTCTCTCCAATCCCCCCCCGCCCCCCGCCACCACCCCCCAAGGGAGCTGGGAGCAGGCGTGAGTCAGAGGCACAGCAGGCAGCGCAGAGCAGCTGCCGGGAAGAGCCTGTCCCGGCTCCCCTGGGGGGTGTGGCCCGGGGCTGGTCTCCACTGAAGCAAGACCTGGGACACAAGGGTCACCACACTGCTCCTCGGGACACTGGGAGGGTGCCCTGCCTTCTCGTCCCTGAAGGGACAAGGTCCAGGAGGCCCATCTCTTTGGCTCATTTCCGCGAGGTCTCCCACGGCTGCGGCCCCTGACACCGGGTCCTCCCCGCTCTCCCGCCACAGAAGGGAGGCTGGGTCCTCTGGAGACACCTAGCAGGCACTTCAGAGAGGGTGGCCGGCACCCTCCCTTGGTCAGGGGCAGCCACACTGGCTTTCTTAGTCAAGGAGGTGTTGAGCCCCATTGGAAGGACACGAAGAAATGTCCCCCATTCTTATGTCAGGGAAGGTGACCCTCCTCGCCAGACCCCACCCCTTTACGAGGGGGTGGAATCCACCTCCATCCGTGGGGCCTTGCCCCAGGCGGTCACGGGGCTCGCCCCATGCCTGGAGCGGATGCAGGGCTGGGGAGAGGGTGGCCTGGTGCAGAGCTGGGGTCTTCCAGCAGAGATGGTGTCCTGTGGTTGGAGTCCAACGCTGGACTCCGAGGCTGGAGGGAGATGAGGTGGGCGGGTCCTCCGGTGTCAATCAGATTTGCAGAACAGCTCAGGCTAATAAGAAGGGCCCTGCAGGTGGCATTCTTCCTTCCAAACGTCTTCCAAAGCAGCATGGGGAAGAAGCTTCTGGCCCTTTCCATCCATCCTGCCCAGCATTCATGCATGCACCTACCCTTCAGTGAGCCTCTGGGGGTGTGGTGGCGAACACCCGCACTGGGCGCACAGTCCGGTGGCCATTCCCCCCACCCCCGCATGAATCACTCCTAATCACCCTGGCGTGCCTAGCCCACTGGCCCTCCCTGGACCCCAGCCATGGTGGGCGGTGGGGGGCGCTTTGCAGGCCAGGCTCAAGCTGGCAGGCCCATCTCTTCCCTGAACCTCCCTCCACCGGGTCCGACACCCTGTGGGCCCCAGGGCGGGCCCTGCCTCTCCCTGTGCCTCAGTTTCCCTGCACCCATGGGGGAGGGGCGGCAGGAGGGCGCCGTCTCCCTGCACCCCTGACCCCGGTGTCTCCCGCGCCACCGGCCCAGACTGCGAGTGCTATGGCCACTCCAACCGCTGCAGCTACATAGATTTCCTCAACGTGGTGACCTGCGTCAGCTGCAAGCACAACACGCGAGGCCAGCACTGCCAGCACTGCCGCCTGGGCTTCTACCGCAACGGCTCCGCCGAGCTGGACGACGAGAACGTGTGCATCGGTGAGCCGGGCGGGGCGGGGCGGGGCGGGGCGGGGTCTGAACACCCCCGGGTTGGGAGCCCGGGAGGATGCGGGAATTCCCATCCCAGGGCCCACGAAGCCCCCGAATCTGCTCTGTCAATCACGTCCCAGTCTGGTTCCGGGCCACGGGCTGGGGTCAGAGACTGGTTCGAGTCCTAGGGAAGCCATCGTTATCCCCGCCCACCGGTTTCCTGGACGTTTGACTCTCGCGGCCCGTGAGGCAGGAACGCGCCTGCCGCTTCTGGATTCAATTCCCCTCGCTCCAGCTGCAGCTCCGGGCTGTGAGCAGGGCTCTGAGCGCCCTCTGCTGGCAGGATGAGTTTGCTCTGTGCAGTTGGGCAATTCCCTTCCCGTCTCCCGGCATCCCGGGTTTCTCTGCTTGTAAAATCAGGAGAGGAATCAGATCAAAGGTTTTCAACCCTTTTCCGCGGCTAAAAGCCAGAAAATTCTCAAATGAAATTCTTTGAACGCTTTATAAGCACAGCCCCAGTGGGTTTTTTTAAAACTCTGCTCCAGAACTGGCTTTGGGACCCTGGGCCTGGGCAGAGACAGGCCATCCCGAAAGGCCAAAGCCGTGGCCCCGGACCAGCGCCCACCATGCCCACCACCCCCGCCCCTGTCTCCAGCAGAGGCCAAAGCTCAGCCCTGGTGCCCAACCCCTGGGGCTCCCACCGCCCACCCCCAGGCCAGCTCTGGTTTGGAAGAGGGCGGGGGGTCCGCCCACACAGCTGGAACTGTCGGTCTGAATCACAGCCGCGGCCTCTGGGTAATCCCATCAACTCCAAAGTGATCCAGACGGAATTGTGGTGCAGACGTCACACGGCTGGTGGCAGGGGCAGGGCTGGGCCTCCGGATCCGATTAGAGGCACCCCTCCCCCCCCAGCGTCCCTCTGCCTTAACCTCCAGGCCCAGCACTGGGCTTCTCGGATCCCTGGAGGGGGGACATTTGTCCCGTGCTGTGCATGGGCCTCAGGAGACCAGCTGGAGAGGCTGCAGGCCTCTGAGGCTGCTCCTGCATGGGCCCTGGAAGGACCTACAGGTGTGGGCTGCATTTCCCACCCCCAACACACACTCACCCCTACCCACCTCAGGCCCCGGACAGAGGGCCCCGGCCTCTGATGAGGCTCCGTGCGCCTGTCAGAGCTGTTTGGAAGTGACTGCTCTGGTCACAGATGGGGAGACTGAGGCCCAGAGAGGGGGAGAGTCTGTCCCAGACCACACAGCGCCGGAGGGGGAGGGGCGCCAGGGAATGAAGTCGGTCTTCCGTCAAGTTCGGACCCCCGCCATCTAGCCACCGGCTAACGTGTACTCCGCGCGCCCACCGAGCTGGCCGGGTGGGGTGGGGTCCGTGCCCACAAGTCGCCCTGAGCGCACGCGGCGCCCCTGTCCGTCCAGAGTGCAACTGCAACCAGATCGGCTCCATGCACGACCGGTGCAACGAGACGGGCTTCTGCGAGTGCCGCGAGGGCGCGGCGGGACCCAAGTGCGACGACTGCCTCCCCACACACTACTGGCGCCAAGGCTGTTACCGTGAGTGCGCGCCCGCTGGCGGGCGGGGCCTGGTGCTGGGGGGGCGGGGCGACGGGCGGGGCCTGGTGCGGGGGGGCGGAGCGGTGGGCGGGGCGCCGGGAAGCCAATGCTGCGGGGCAGGGGCCCGGCGCATTGGCAGGGCTTAGAGAGGTGGCCTGAAGTTGCCGGAGACGGTGTCGCGGGCGCAGGGCGGGTGCAGGGGGGGAGAGGGCCTGGGCAACTGCGGATAGGGTTGGGGTCAAGTGCGAACCCCGAGAGGCTGAGCTGGAGTTGTCTGGGAAGGGAGCTGGAGGCAAAGTGCAGCTGGGGGTTGGTTGGAGTTGGCTGGGGGAGGAAGGCAGCGAGGCTGTCGGAGGAAAAGGCCTGGCGGAGACTCGCGTTAGCCGAGGTAAGAAGATGGGCGAGCGCTCCAGCCACACGGAACAGCCCCAAGGCCAGTGCCGGGAGTGGAAGGGAGGCACAGGCGAGGTCTCCTTGACGTAGTCACCGTCCACGCGGGGACGTTCCACACCAAGTGCGCCCCGAGTCTCCAGCACCCACCTGGTCCAAGCGGCACCCCCAGGAGCTTGCCATATCCCGTCTCAGAAGCTCCGACTTGGGTGGGGGAGGTGGAGTTGGACTGGGCCTCGACTCGAGTTAACTGCCCCTTCGCCCCGCAGCCAATGTGTGCGACGACGACCAGCTGCTCTGCCAGAACGGCGGCACCTGCGTGCAGAACCAGCGCTGCGCCTGTCCGCGCGGCTACACCGGCGTGCACTGCGAGCAGCCCCGCTGCGACCCCGCAGACGAGGACGGGGGCCTGGACTGCGACCACGCGCCGGGGGCCTCACCGCGCCCCACCACCCTGCTCGGCTGCCTCCTGCTGCTGGGTCTGGCCGCCCACCTCGGCTGCTGAGCCGACCGGAGGACCCGCGGCCAGCGAGGGCCAGTCTGCGCGCTGTGCGCCCTAGGCCCTGCGCCCCGGGGGCCGGGCGACGAGAAGGGTGCGGCCCGAGCTGCTCCCAGGTGCTACTCAGCGGAGTCCTCCGCGCTCCTCCCGACCCCCTCCGTGGCACCTGCCCCCGCCCTGGCGCTGCAGCAGGGGGCGCCGAGGGGTCCTGAGCCCAGCGGCCTGCTATTCTGGTCTTAGTTTTTCTACGTGCCGCAGCCCCTCTCCTCATATATTTTTTTTTGCTGGCGGTGAGACCAAGGGCGGAGGGAAACGCTGCTCGCCCAGCACCGCAGGTCCACACACACGACTGTTGCGGACACCCCGCGCCCGTCCCTGGCTCGCCCTCAGCCGGCGGACCGGAAGTCCAGCTGCGACACCTGCAGCCGCCGCTGACTTCGCCCTATATTCCTTCTCCGTTCTCCTCTGCAGCCCACCGGACGCCAGGCGGGAACCACGCCCGGGCCCGGGAGCTCTTGTCCGGGGCAGGGAGGAGGAGGAGGAGAGCTGGGGGGGGGGGGGGCGGCGGCTGGAAACTCCGTTTTGTAGAGAACTATTTTTGTTCGTGTTAACCGTCCCCTGCAGGGAGGGGCAGGAGCGGGGCGCCGGTCACCGCGGCGTGGTTGACGGTGTGTAACTGCACAGAGTAAAGGTCTGCTCGCTGCTGCCTCCGGGGCCTGCTTTCTTTGTGTTCGCTGGGGATTGCAAGAGGAGCCCAGGAAACAGCCTTCCAGCGCCCGTGTCCCTCTGAGGCCACCTTCTCCAGGCCCTTCGGGGAAGGAGACCGGGCAGCCCCGCCCACCACGGGCGGGGCCGGCGGAGCGCTCTCGCCGGAGCCAGGCACGTGGCCTTGCCGGGGACCCGCTTATTCCCCAAACTTGGGAGGGTGCCTCCCTCCTCTCACCAAAAACCAAACCAAACCAAACCAAACCAAGCCCGGCTTATTGTACTTTTCCTCGGCTGTCCTCAAGTCTGCGAGCGTGGGGTGGGCGTTGGGATGGCCGCTGAGAAGCCCGAGGGACGCGGCTGGCCCCGCCTTCTGGTGCGGCGTCACTTCCGCGCTCGGGTTCTGAAATCACGACGGTTGTGCGGCGTCAGCTGCCGACCCCATGCTTCAGGCCCAGCGTCTGCGGCTGCTGCCGCCTCCCTCCGGAGTCCCCCACCCCAAGTCCCAAGCTGGGCCCAGGGACAGCTGCAGAGCTGGGCAGTGCTGAAGGATGGGGCTCATCTGCAGAGACCCTGTGCTAGAGAGGGTGTCCTGGGGGTTCCCAGCTCTTGGGGTTCCGCTCCCCACCAACTTCCTAGCGGCCGGGCAGTGACCCGGGCCACCTGGGTCCCCCTGACCCCTCCAGCCCCTGCCCCGGGGCAGGTCTGACCTGCCACACCCCCTCAAGCCCCCCAGGCCACGCTAAGAGCCAGCTGAGCCAACCTGGCCTCGGGAGTGAGGTCACAGCAGGAGCCACACCGGATACTGAACAGGACCGGCTGCACTTCAAGGCCGAACCCACCCCCCGCCCAGGCTGCAGGGCTCAGCTCCCAGCCCCCCAGCGCAAGTGCCTTCTGCCCTTCTGTCCGTCCTTGGGGCGCACACCACCTTCCTCACTGACCGAGCCCACCCCCGCGGAAGTGAGACTAGCCGGGGGCTCCCCACGCGGAGTAGCTGTGAGATAGTTCTGGCCAGTAAGCTGGAAGCAGGGGAGATGGGCGGGGCTTCCAGGGAGTTCCTCAGACAGCTCCCCTCCCCCACTCCACACCCAGTCTCAGCTGGGCTCCGGTTTGGGCCCTGACTCAGCAGGCTGTGGAGAGGGCCCACCTGGCCACGCCGGTGTGAGACTCCGGTGGCGGCCAAACGTGGAAGCTGCCGCCCTGAGGCCCTGGCAGGGCCGCGGACCTGCCCTGATCGCCGACCTCCGCATTCTTGACGTGTGACAAAAAATAAACTTGGATGCGATTAACAACTGGAATTGGGCTTTTCTGTTACCTGCAGACTTAGCAATTCCTAAGCCATAGGCCCCGCCCCCCGGGCATCCAGCCCTGAGTCCAGAGACCCCAGCAAACCCTTCCTCCCTGGGCCGCGGCCCCCACGCCACACAGTTCGCCACGAAGACCCGGTTCCAGCAGCACCCGGCCTCGGAGTCAAGACCTGGCTGCCTCGGGCCGCCTCCTTCCAGAACAGGCCCTGCCCGCCCTGCCTGCTGCCCCTCGTCCACCTGCGAGTGAGGACGAGGGGCAGCAGACCCAAACCCATGGGGTGGGTGGGGGGGGACAACCGCCAGCACAGGCCACCATCTGTAAACAAGGTGCCTTGGCCCTGGTCACCACGGCACTAAACCACAGGGGAGTCCAACCTGGGCTCGAAGCACAATCTGGGGGCTGGGCGTGTGGGCTCCTTAGGAAGGGAGGGAATTAGGATGGAAAGGTGCGGTGCCCTCCAGCGGGCTCTGGCGTGTCAGTCACACTTTGGGGTGAGGGGCAGCCTCCCTCCTCAGCGCTGCTGCTGGGAGAGCAGCTGTTCACAGGCCAGCGCTGGGGGAGGGGGCCTTAGAGAGGAGCTCTGGGCTGACACCAACAGCTTCTACTACCCCCCCCTTTGTGTCACCCCAGGTGTGACTCCCTGGGCAAGGGGGGAGTCTCCAGAAGGGTCTGGGCGGAGAGGGCCCTTGGTGGCCGCGCTGTCCTCCCCGACCCCTCCCAGCCAGACCAGGACCAGAGCTGCATCAGCCGGCCTGCACGTGAGGGCTGGGCCCAGCCCGGATCCCAGGCGCAGGCTGGAGGGCACAGGCTGCCAGTGGCCACTGGGAAAACTCGGACATCTAGGACATCTCGCAGGCAGCTGAGAGCAAAGGAGGAGGTTAGGGGAGCCCAGCGTCCTCTCCAAGCCGGCGCGCCCTCTGCCGTGGGGCTCTGAGAGGGGAGGAGAAGAGGCTCTCACCTCCTGTCTCGGGACACAGCCAGTGTTCACAGCGCTGGGCAGCATGGTGACCTTCGCCTTCCCCCGGGGACAACTTTCTCCAGCTCAGTGCCACCGGCCTCAGGGGCCAGGCGGCCCTCTCGGGAGGGGCCTGTCGTGTGCACTGCAGGTGTGCAGCAGGCCCGGCCTGGAGCCACTCCGCGCCAGCGGAACCTCCCTCCCCCTGCGATAGCCAGAAGCGTCCCCAGGCATCTCAGACTTGGAGCAAACTTCCCCAGGTCAAGACCCACTGACCAGGAAAGACGGCCACACCCATTTCACCAGCGGTGATGTGGAGGCCGGGGGAAGGGACAGAACTTGCCCCGAGTCCCACTCACTCAGCAGCAGAGGCACGACAGCCTGACTCCAGAGCCCAGGGTTTGACCCAGACCAGGGCCCCAACAGGGGGCACCCCCCCCAGGGCTGGACCCAACTGCTCCTGCCCCCACCCTCCGCCCTACTGCAGCACAGGGCTCCGGGAGCTGGGCTTCAGCTGCACGGCCTGGCTGTTGGGGGGCACGCCTCCCCACCCACCCCCTCCTCTGAACAAGCAGACGCCACACCTGCCATTTCTGCCTCCTCTGCACCCAGTCCAGCTGCGCAGCGTCTACGGGCACCCAGGGAGCAGCAGTGGGCACCGCTGGCGGCCTGGGCCCGGCAGATCTACTCACCACTCCCCTGGGGACCCCTCCTCCGCCCACAACCCCCAGCACAACTCGGGCCAGAAGAGTTGAGGGAAAATGCCTGGGGAAGAAAAGCTTTGCTTGCTGATTTTTCCCTTTTCCAACACAGATCTTGGCTGCAGAGAAGTCGGAGATATAGAAAGGCGAGATGATAATTTCTAAGTCAAAACCACCCCCATTCTCCACCCAGTGCTAGTGACCGCTGAGATTTTGACACCGGTCCCCAGTGCTTTTCCACGAAACACAGCCACACGCGGCAGCCTCCCTGGCGTCCGTCTCCCCGACGTGGGCAGAGCCGAGAGCCACCCACCCGTGCAGCCACTGTCCGGCTGCAGCCACTGCGGCCCCGGGGGCGCCCTGGCCACAGAACCGAGGCACTGCACCCAAAGGCAACTCCGGGTGGCCCCGGCGGAAAAGGCCACCTGAAGGCTCTCGGGCCCCCAAGCCCCTGAGGACCAAGCTAGGCAGATGTGCGGGGAGGGCCCCAGGGAGCCGGGGCATCACCCAGTGTCCTGCCCGCAGTGGCCAGGGCGCCCTGCAGCCTACAGACCTGCCTCCCTCCGGTGGGCAGTCCAGCCTCGCCCCTGCTGCGGCCCAGCCCTGCGTGTTCGTGATCAGCGCTCCCGCTCCATCCAGGGAGGTGGGCTGTCTGTCCCCGTCCAGAGGAAGGGCGCAGGAAGCAACACAGGCCAGCAGAGAGGACAGGCAAGTTGCCCAGGGCCACACAACCCGGGCGAGGCCGAGACCAGACGCAAGCCCAGTCCTGGCACAGAAGCCCAAGCCAGCAACGCCAAGCCGCACAGCTGTCCCCCTTCCCTCTACTTACTTCCTAAAACAGGAATAGCCTCGTTGAACACACGTGCCCCACCAGCCTGCGTGCCCCCCACGAGCCTCTAGGGCAGCACTTAGCAGCATTACCCTGCACGTCACGTTGAAGGTGCTCTTTGGAAACAGACAGGGAAGGCCCAGCCTTTGGCTTTCGGCCCCTCCTAGCGCTCTCCTCGCCCCCCAGGGCCTGCTGGCCGAGGGGCCCGGGCTCCCGGCGGGTGTGCCACAGCCTCGCCCACACGCCCCTCAGGCAGGACAGGGTCTGGGCGGCAGCTGGAGTCGCTGTGGCTGTGCAGCTGGTGGCCCAGGGGCAGACGGCCCAGTGCCCCCACTCCCCGAGAAGGGGAAGGTGGTCCCAAAGGCACACACTCGGGGGTCCAGCCACCTGGCTGACCTTGGGCAAGTCACTCCATCTCTGTGTTGTTCCCCAGGCTCCTCTCCTGTGAGAGGGGGTGTTCAAAACACTACCTTATCACGGCGCGACGGTGAGGACGAACAGTGCTCACCGTCGCGCGCAGTGCCCCCGAGAGCGTGGCCCACACTGTCACCAGGCCGGCTGCAGTAGCCCATCTCCTCCCCGCACCCCGAGGGTGTGGGACCCCACGCGCTCCACGAGGCAGGGGGAGCATGCGCAGCGGCCCTTCCTCCTAGGAAGGTCAGCTTCTTGTGCTGTGGCGGTGAGTGCCCGGCACGGACTTCACCGCCGGCCTCCCGTCCCCTCGGGCTCACGTGCACTGTTGGGACCGATTTCACAGAGGGCAGGAAGAGCCGGGACTGCCCATCAGTGGCCTGGGAGTCACTGTGGACACACCCAGTCCCCAGGTCACAGAGTTGGCCCTGACTGGCCAACCTCATCCACTCGCCCCTGGGGCTAGACCAGGAAGCCTGGGGCAGAGCCCAGGAGAACAGGGTTCAGCGGCTCCCTCGAGACTCCAGAGCGCAGCTGCGGGGGGACAGCGCCATCGGGGCGCATCTCTCTGGAGCAAGGCTTCCTGGGAATGGGCAGCCGAGTGCAGCCCCGAGGCTCGAGCTGCGAGGACGCCAGCACCCTGGGCTGCCGCCTGCCACGCTGTGGGCGCCGCTTGCGCCGGCTAACTTGGCAAGTGCCCTCTGTGCGTGACAGTGACCGTACCTCGGTCCCCAAAGGGTGACGGAGGGGTTCCGCATGCACAGAGACTGCCTTGCGATGCCCCACAACACTGCGTTCCACCCGAGCTGAAGATGGGTTTCAGCAACCTCCTTGGACTATTTAGTCCTCAACCAACGAGAGGGGGTGGCTGCGCGGTCGTCGGAGGGACTTTGGAAACCACTGCTCCAGCTGGGAGGGGCTCCTGCGCGCAGGCCGCTGCAGGGCTCGCACCTCTCCGCAGGTCAGGGTGTGCTCGCTGTGCCCTGGGACTCCCCGAACGTCCCGTCCCGTCCCGTCCCGTCCCGTCCCGTCCCCTCCCCCTGTGCAACCGGCTGGAGCGAGCCATGGAGGGAGCCAGGGTCCGGGGAGGGTCTGCTCCCTTGCCCTGGGGACGGTGCCCCGAGGCCGAGGGCGTGTGCCTCTGAACAGGCCTGCACTCCTGGACGTCCCCAGCTCCATGAAGCGCATTCCGGCCGCAGCCGTCAGCAGTCAGCCCCGACTGGGACGTCCACACCCTGTCCCCATCGGGGGTGCCCTGGGAGCTCTTTTCATGGGTCACCGTTTGCTTGCCCCGTCCCCAATCCCGGCCCGACTCCGGGGAGCCTGGGGAGCCTGCGTTCCCGGCGGACCAGACGTCGGTGTCTGACGCACCATCACCACCGCGGTGGGCCGGCCGGGCCGTACACCTCCGTGCCTTCCAAACAAGACTCCAGAGAGGGCTGGGGAGCCAGAGGCGGCGCCGGGGCTGAAGAGCAGCCCGGGTAGGACGAGTGCAGCGGCAGGCCCGGCGGGTCGCCTGGGAAGTACGCCGCACCTCAGATCATCGACACAGAACTCCTAAGCCATGTCAGTCGTGTTTCCACTTTTTAATTCTGCTCTTTTCTCTTAAAATTTAAGTTTTAACAAAGAGAACAGATTGAACATCTGCCAAATCCCTGCTGGGAATTCAGAGCATAGAAAAATCAAAGCTCCAGCAAAAAATTATAATGTGCACAACTAGCTTCAGAAAATAGTTTAGTGCATCTCGGTTATAAAACTCATTTACAGATTATTGACATGTACTTATCAAAACTGGCTCCTGACACTGCGTGAAACGTGACCTGTGCACCCAAGGCCAGTTGCACCGAAGAAGCAGAGTGAAACCCACTTGTGTTGAAAGAACAGACAGTGGGAGAAGACAGGTTCTCACCACGCCCGGGCGAGGACAAAGCCATGGGCCCTTCCTCACCTTGCAGTGAACTGATCTCCCGCAGCGACACTGCCGTGAGGGACAGCCACATTGAGAATGGCCTTGCGACACACAGGAAAGGCTTTACACAAATGCTCTCACCAGCTGAACGAGGAACGGTTTCCAGGGCAAGGCTGGGCAGGAGGGGCCTGCCCGGGAGGGGCCCGGGGCACAGGCGTGCTCCTTGGGAAGGGCAGTGCAGGTCTCTGACTGGATCGTGCACGACCAGACCGGGCGGGCCAGCGGGGACGCCCCGAGGGGGCAGGTGCCAAGCTTTCTGGAAAGCGACACTGCTTGGGCCTGCGGTCCTCACTGCATCGTGGGTCTCGTCTCGTGCCCCAGCTCACAGCGTTTTTAATCCTAAATGGTCACCACTGCAAGGGTCTGCTCCACCGAGCACTTTGCCAGGGTCGCAGAAAAGGAAACTCGGAGCAGCAATGAGCTCTCGTGCCCAGACACACGCGTGAAGCTCCAAGGGCCCCCGGCCCCACCCCGCACCGCCCTCTCTGGCTCGGCCAGGACTGCCTCTCCCCCGAGATGGGGAGGGCGTGCTCCCTGCTGACAGGAGCGCCGTCTGGGCACCAGGGAGGACACGGGTCATGGGGAAGTGTGGTGCCGAGACTTTCGGCAACCAAATGCTGCTTTTTAAACAACTCTCAGTAATCTACTCGGTAGAAATCTCTGAGGAGTGCAGAGCCCTGTCTGCTTAAGCAGCAGAAAACAAGGAAGGTTTCAAGCGGGGCCCACCCAGCTCCAGGGCCTGTTCCCCCCATCAGCTGGTGGGTGGAGCGTGTCGCCCCGAGCCTGGCTCCACACCTGCCAGCCGCCGCCGCTGCTGCTGTGCGTTCTCACTTGGGATAGTCCCTGGGCGATCCGTGCGTGCTCGGGAAGCTGGGCTCTGAGACTTGGCGCCCGCTCCTCTGTCCAGGTCCCTCCCACCCCGCGGGGGCCAGGCCCCGCACCGGGGACACTGCACCACCACGCGTCCTCACAGGCCGACAGAGCTCCCGAAGGCCGCAGGAGACGCCCGCTCTGACCCTGGTCTGAACTCCAAGGACCTGCACCCCCTCCCAGCCTTCCCTCGGAGCGGGTGTTCCGTTCCCACCTGAGACAGTTCGCCCGGCCTGCCTCACGAGGACCGAGAGGGCCTGTCTCTCTCCTGCTTTTCTTTCTTCTTTTAAAACAAAGTTGGTTCTGGTGAAAATAATCAGCATTGTAAGCAGGGGAGAGAAAAGCGGTCTACGGATTAAACTTTAAAAGGACTTTGCCGTTTGCTATGCAAATGCGTATTTCAGCTTCTCCGACACGCACTCGGTGGGACCGACGCTTTTACAGGAGAACGAGAGACCGGCGGTCAAGCCCGCAGCCTCGGGCATCACAGCTGACACTCGCACGCCCCCTGGGAGGGTTTGCTACGGGCAGGAAGGTACCTAGGGTGACCCACAGGCCCTGGGGTCAGGCTGCGTTCCCCACGTTCCGGCAGCGCACACACTCCTCTGAGGAAACGCGAGTCTTATCTGGACAGTCCCACCGGCCGGCCCCCTGAAGCTGGCGGCGGTGCTTGTGGCCGGGGTGCTTGTCCCCGGCTTCCCTACAGTTTCCTCCTCTTTGAGCGGCTGTCCTCCCTCTCCGGTCTCCGGTCCCGGCCCGAGTTCCTCTTGGGGCGATGGCTTGCAGGGCTAGGCATCTCCTGGTCCCAGTCCCTGAAAGCCCTGGCGTCTCTTTGGTGGCTGTGCCCCCACTCCTGGTCATACACGCTTGTCGTGGCGGCGGCACTGGCAGCAGGAGGTTCACACGGCGCGTGCGGCCTGTGGACGCTCCCTGTGGCTGTGGACCACTCCATGGTGCTGCCTGGCACCTGGGGGCTCCCAGGGAAGCCGGGCTCACCCAAGGGGGGCGTTGCTCCCTGGTGCTGGGGGCTCGAGGGCTCCGGATCCCTCAGGCACTTCCCTTGCGCTTCAGAGCTCAGGCCCATTCTCTTAAGCAGTCGTGGGTCCCGCGGCTGGTCCTTAACTGGAGGCCTCTCGGGGTCCCTGGCAGCAGCGGTAGCAGCAGCTTCCTTAGGGTCGGGGGCCGTGCCGTTCAGGAAAGACGCAGACAGCGCCTTGATAATCTCGTCAGGCCTGCTGCTGGGGGAGCCGCCCCGGAGGCTGAAGCCCTCTAGGGCCAGGGCGGGGGGGTGGGTCAGACTTCGCTGCAGCATGGGCTTCAGTTTCAGGATCTTCGTTGCGTCGTGTCTATAGTTTTTGTCGCAGGTCTTGATGATGGCGCCGCGCCTCTGTGCGTCCTGAATCAGGTGGTTCCAGTGCTGATTGTCCTTGAAACCAAGAGAAGGGAGAAAGAGTTACACCCCAACAAACACTCACATGCTCGGGAAGCTCAGGGCTCCAGCTTCGTTTTGGAACAAAGAAAGAAGCAGACTCTCGTACACGTTCCCCAGAACCCATCACCGTTCGATAGGCTGACAGAGAAACGGCCGGCGCCGGCCCTGCACCCCAGGCAGCAACCTCATGAAGCTGTTTCAACGTCAACTAACTAAATGAAATACAATTAAGAATTCAGTGGCACCAGCCACACTGCAAGTGCTCAGTGACCACACGTGACCAGCGACACACGTGCCAGACAGTGCAGAGCACGTGCCCGTCACCCCAGGAAGCTCCCGGGTGCTGCAGATGCAGTCTCACCTGTCTCGCGGCCAGGCTACCGGCATCAGAAGAGGAAGGCTTTGGCTTCAGAAAGCCGTAACTTTTGAGTGCCTACAGCTATTCTAGAAAAAGTCCGCAGCTTTCATCAAACTCCCAAAGGCCTCCCCAGCTCCAAAGGGCTACAGTATCTTCATCCCCTGAAGCCCTACTCCAAGGCCGCACACCACGGGCTGCCCTGGGCCTCTGCTCAGAGGAGCTGAGGCCCTAAAAGAGCGTCTGCGGAAAGAGCCCCGCCCCTCCCGCCCCTCCTCCCCGTGGCGATTTCCTCAGCAACACGCAAAAAGAGGACAAAGTGGGCCCAATGGGGAGAGACAGATGCGGGTTGAGGAGGGAGGGCCCGGCTGCTCCGAGCCTCACGCTGCCGCCCAGGAGGCAGAGGGCGCAGGCAGGCTGTGCACGCAGGATCACCTTGGCGGGACCAGGTCACTGGGCCTCTCTGCGGCGGCTCCTCAGCAGTAAACAGCCGTGTTTCCTGCACTGATTCTAAACGCGCACCGCGTCGCAGCGTCCCAACCCTGAAGTCGGAGTGGCTGGCCCAGGGCGGTGCTGTGCACGGCCTCCTGGGGGAGGGCCCGGGCCGAGCACCAGAACCCTGGACTCACAGTCAATACGCAGGTGGAAAAAAGGACGCGTCCCGGCTCCTGCCTGCAAATCTAGCCACAGACACCCGCTGACCAGGCAGAGCCTTCCCAGCCCGAGACCCTGGAGAGCGAGGGCGGGACTGGAGGCCGGAGACCCAGGCGGCGGAGTCAGGCGGCACCGTCCCGCAGACGGCACCGTCCCGCAGACGGCACCCAGTGTACCCAGACGGTGTGCGCACAGGCGAGGACGTCGTGTGTCCCCACCTCGGAGAGGGCGAGTGTTTGACACTGAAAGTGAGTGACTTTCAAGAATATCTGAACCTATTCGCTTCACTTGTATTTTTTATGTATCAGCATGAATGATGCGATAAAAATCTGCCTAGGTAAGTCTAAAAGAGTTCCTTCACCAAATATAAAATGAAAGTTTTCAGCAGAAACCAGGTGCCGTGTCCCAGCTGAACAGCAGCAAACCGAGGAACGCTGCACGTCATAACCAACGGCTTCCTGGACCGGATCCACGACAGCAACCCGGCGGCCCCACGGGGTGCGTGAGCCCCGCAGGAGTCACGCGCACCACGCACCCCCGACAGGCCCACGTGAGCAGCTCCGGGCTCTGGGGCTCCACCCCCTCCTCTCTCCTCCTGTGGCCGAGACACAGGCAGAAGCAGATGCTCGGCTGCCACTGCGGCCAAGCCTCCTGCACCTCAACGCGGTGCCTGACCCCATCCGAAGACTGCAAACACTGTTTGGAGAAGGGGCTATTACTCTTGGTTTCACAGAAGAAACCAAGCACCTTAACCACTGATCCCGTTTCTGTGAGGGAGACGGAGCTAAAGAACAGCAACAACGAAGCAGCCCCCAAGACGACAGAAGTTGGAACACCCAATGGTAAGGTGGGTGTGAAGATAACATCACAGCTAGAGGTCAGTGGCGTGCAAATGTGTGCTAAGACTCTCTAAGGGGGGCGGGTGGTGGAAGAACGCTATACAAGAATCAATTCCCTACATCCTCGTGGGCTTCCCCGCCCTTCCGCTCCGCGCTTCTCCACCACAGCGCCGCCCGTCCACCCCAGTCTGACCACGGGGTGTACCGCTGACCACAGGGCGCAGCCACAAGAAAACCCCTGGGTGCCAAATAAAGAGGTCAGTGCAAATTGGGGTGCCCACGAGAGCTCCCTGAACACGGCACCGCTAAGAGACACACAGCTCTAGTAACGCTTTACTTTTCAGGTTCAAACACGATCAAAATGCAACTGCGTAAAAACAATCATTGTAATAGATTATTCAAGTGACAGTAAATCCTTTTTACCATTCAGATCCTTAAGGTCACAGAAAAAAAAATATTTTTTAAAAAGTCTTTTACTGCCCTGGCTGGCATAGCTCAGTGGATTGAGCGTGGACTGCGAACCAAAGTGTTGCAGGTTTGATTCCCAGTCAGGGCACATGCCTGGGTTGCAGGCCACAGACCCTAGCAACCACACACGGATGTTTCTCTCTTTCTTCCTCCCTTCCCTCTCTAAAAATAAATAAATAAAATCTTAAAAAAAAAAAAAAGGGAATTCTTGAAGAAAAAGTCTTTTTCTTTAGGGTAACCACAGATTCACAGGAATTTGCAAAAGAAGTACAGAGCCATTCCACACACCCTTCACAGTTTACACAAACAGCTATGAAAAAGTTTTTTTCTAACTTTCAATTTATATACAAATTTGTGTGGCAGAGAAGCAACAGAAAAGTTTTTAATCGTGAAAATGTATAACCGCACTCGATTTTATCCCCCACAAGAACGAGGGAAATGCATGTCACGGAGCAGAAAGAACAGCACTCATCTCCACGCCACTGCACGCACTTGAGAGTGGTGTACTAGACTTATTTTTAAAAGCCTCATTTTAAATTGTCAGCATTTATAACACACCAGAAACAAAGCCTTTAACCACACTTAAAACCCGGAGGTACGCAGCCTGAGAACACTCTTTCGAGGGGGCAAACGCAGAAGCCGAAGACCCCGAGGGCGTGAGAGAGAGGACGGTGTTTGGGCGCCCTCTGGTGGTGCTGACCAATGCGGGGGAATCCCTGCTAAGGGAACTCGTGACTGGTGGAGAAACCAGGAGAGGGGAAAGCTGTCGCCCCTAATGAGCAAAGGAGCGAAGACATGCTTCAGCCAGTTGTGATACCAGCAATCCCGCTGCACGGCTCTCTACCAAACAAGCCCCCGTCGCCTTCCCGAAAGAGCGTCTGCACCGGGTCCCGGGGACGCAGCAGCAGCCCTGCGCCAAGAGCCCGGGCAGAAGGGGACCCAAGCACCCGCGTGGACCCACTCACTGTGGCGGTCAGCCGGGCCGACGACAGCCACACTGAGGAGTTCGAGCACTCCGCACGTCACCCGAACGGCCCTAGAATGCAGGTGCAATGTTTCTTACCAGGCCCCCTTGAGAGGACGCCGTGGCTCCCTGGGCCCTGGGCTGAGCAGGCGAGTGGCCTCTGCGGAGGAAGCTCCAGGGAGAAGCTGCTGGAGGGCGGACAGCGGGGAGGAGGCTCCCACTGCACGCCTCCGTGGGCCCCTGCACTACCCCCACGCTGACGGGCAGTGAAAACTAACCTCGCCCCGCCACGGGGGACGCCGGCGCGCGGGCCCCCGGTCCCGCACCTACCATCAAGGTCCGCAGGTGGCCCAGGATGAAGAGGCTGTACTTGGCTCGTGTGATGGCGACGTTCAGTCTCTGCAAGCTCGCCAGAAACCTAGGCAATGGGAAAGACAGTTACTTCTCTCTACGCAGTGTCTCGGTGGTTTCAGTGTGGGTGAGACGCAGGCAGTTTTTAGACGGTTTCCCACGGGCTCCTTTGACTTGTAAAGGCACGGTGCCTTCTCCTCCTCTTCCCGACGCAGGGCCCCTGGCACAGAAGCAAGGCCCACTGAAGACAGTGCGCAGAGCCCCCAGTGCCGTCCTTTAAACCGATGTGCCTGTCGGCTCCCTGTTTTGACTCGAATGAGATGCTGGGAATCTGGACAGTATGACTTCTAAACCTGACAGACGTCTTAAAAATACAGGACTTGATCAGCCTTAAATTTAAACCTGTCTGAGAGCACTAAAACTCGGAGGAACGCGTGCAGAAACAAACGCAACCCCAGATGTGCGGAGCGCTCAGAAACGGCGCATCTGCCGCACCACGCAGACGGAACGTCCCATCAGACGGCCCTGAAGCGGGCGGCCTCCACGTGTGCGCGCAGACCAGCTGCAGGCAGGGGAACAGACGACACCCGTGACTGTTTGCTCTAAGAGCAGTTACACATATTTACAGCCAGTAAATGTCACCTGTCCCTCACGAGAGGAAAAATCTCGGTGCCCCGAGACTCAGGGGAGTTTTCTGTCACCCACGGCACACCCACGGCATCCCCTCGGCCCCTCTGGGAGTAAGCTGACCGTGGTCGAGGGGAACAAACTCGGCCAAAGCAGAAAACACCGAGAGGAGGAAAAACCACGTCACGACACATCCCGTGGGAGAGGAGCAGGCCCCCGCAAACACACTGGATCCAATGACGCGTTCACGCTCACTAAAAACAGAACGGACTCACACCGTGCCGCGGGTTAATGCACAAGTACCCGGGCGAGCAGGACCAACAGTGGATTAGCTTCACAGCTGGGAAAATCACAGCAGTTACTCACCCAATTGAACCTTGCACAGCGTTCGCTCGGACGCACGTGACAATGATACAGTCTTTCTGACGACCCTGAAACGCGTCCACGGTATCTACTTCCGCGAGCCTATTCACAAAAGAGAGATGTTCGCTGCAGAAAAACACGCACTGAACACACGTGTTCCTGCAGTAGTCTTCAGAAGCGTTTTCGTGGTGTGTGTAGTTTCGGAAATACAGCTCACACAACACAAAACTCGCCATTTCCAAGTCCAGTCACTACGCTGTGCGACCGTCTTCGCTGACCGCACATTTCCGCCGCCCAGAGAAGCCTGGTCTCAACTGCCCCTCCCGCAGGCCCCGCCGACCACGAACCTCCTCTTCATCTCCACGGAGCCACACGCCACGTGGCCTTTGTGTCTGGCTCCTGCCCCCAGCACATTTTCAAGGCCTACCTGCGCTGTCACAGGGGTCAGCTTCCGTTCTCCTACAGCTGAGTATTTGTACAGGTGCACAAATAACAAGTGTATTCACCCATTTACAAAGCCTGTCCGAAGTGCTTGCTTACTAACTCTGCTTCTTTACTTTTTAAAGGTCTGTTCAAATCTTTCATTTCCCAAAAGCCAGTTTTGGTAGTTTGTGTGTTTCTAGGTCAAGAAACTTTGAGTCAATCCGTTTCCAATACTTTTTAATTTTACCGCCGAGGTAAAACGACGACAAAAACGGGATCTTCCCTCTATGTACAAAGACACTAAAAGGGTTAAGGAGGAGTGTCCTACCCGCAGCCCACGGGCCACTGGCAGCCCAGGAAGGCTGTGAGTGCAGCCCAACACAAAACCGTAAATTTACTTAAAACACTGAAATATTTTTGTTACACATCACAGTGTATTTACTGTGTGGCCCAAAACGACTCTTCCTCCTCCAGTGTGGCCCAGAGATGTCCAGAGGCTGCACAGCCCTGGGTCAAACCATTTACTCAGTGACAATGGGATTCCCTGAGTCTCGTGAGAACGGGACTGAGCGAACAAGCTGTGAACTAAACCGGGGGGAGCGCCCGGAGAGCTCCAAGGTGCATCGCACCGCCAGGTGTCCGGTGGTGACGGGCGTCCCACAGGCGGGGGCTCGGTCCCCAGGGCTGCGAGCATGCCCACCCGCAACCCTGTGCCCTGGGCTGGACCACGACCCCAGTCTGAGAACACACTCCACGTTTCCTCCCTTTGCGGCCCTTTTCTTCTCAATTCAGCTTAAAAACTGAAAATATCTGTACAGATGAAGATGACTTACCCTTTTCCTTCAAATTCTTTGTCCAACTCCTTCTGAATCATCATCTTCTGAGCCTTGTAATGGGTTATGATGCCAACGTTCCGGAAAGTAACGTCCTTTCTCTTGTCTTTGAGAAGTTTGATCAACTCTATGACCACTTTTATTTCTTGAATGTTCACGTAAGAGCTAAACAAGGTGGACAAAAGAACACGTCAAAACTAACAGCAGCCCCATCGCTAGCTGAAGTCCCACTCCGTTTCCACGACAGAAAGGTAGGTCCCATCACCGCTCACGCTCAGCAGTGACTCAAAAAGGCGGTTATGCCGGCCCTCTGCGTCGTGGTGCGAACCAATACAAAATAACTGGCTGGTGAAACCCAGGTGTATGAGAGAAAACGTTTTAAGTCAACTAAGGCTTAGGCGCCACTTGCTTGACATCTGGTGAACATCTGTCAACACAGGAGCAGCGACGGTAAGAAGGAAAGTGTAACAGGGACGACTCGGACAATCAAGACGCGCTATCCTCCATGCTGCGAGAAGAGGGCTTCAGGTGGGGTATCTTTTTTTTACCGCCCTGACCCGAGGACATGTTTTATTGATTTTGGAGACAGAGGAAGACAGGTGGGGGGTGGGGGGAGAGAGAAACACCCGTGTGAGAGAGATCAGCTGCCTCCTGCACATGCCCCAACGGGGATCGAACACGCAACCCAGGCACACCCAGGCACGTGCCCTGACTGGGGATGGAGCCCGCAACCCTTTGGTGCACGGGACCATGCCCTAGCCAGCAGAGCCCCTGCCCAGACGGTGCTCCAGCCCAGCTGTGCGAACCGCGCACCACACGAGCAGGGCGAAGCCAACCACACAGACTCCTAGGTCACGGCCCTTGGGAGACGAACGCCAGGGGGTCCTACAGCAGCCCTGTTCTCGCTGGCCTCCCACACCCCCCCAACTCATTACCCCAGAGGGGACAGGACACGCAGAGGCATGGTGGGGGACACTGCACGGGCACCACTGTCCCCAGGGCCGCCTTGTCTCACTTCAGGAGCCTGTGGTGCCCACCACCCTGAGTCCAAGACGTCCTGTGCAGGTGAGCCAGTAACCAGCTCTGCCTCCTGTCCTTGTCGCTTCTGTTCTGCTCCGTCCCCGCTTAGGTCAGCGCCTCTCACGTGCCCTCCCATCCCCACGACGCTCACGGAGCTCAGCTCTCCATCCTCTGCCCCACCCCACAGTCCCTCTGGCAACGCGCACCGGCCCCCTGCGTCTCTGCACTCCTACCCCCCCCACCTCCAGGGACCAGTGTCCAGTCCTCCGAGGACTCTGCCCGCTCTGCAGCTCTCAGGACTCAGGTGGGTTTGCGCTTCCTCCTGCGCCCTCGTGCACGGGGGCGCCCGCACCTGTGCCAACCAGGGCAGCCCCCAGCCTGCCTCTCTGCTCGCTCACAAGCAGCCCTGGCTCCTCCAGGCGTTCCCCGATGAGCAGCCCCCCACTGCGGCCACTCACAGACCCCCCAACAACGCAGCACGTCGAATACTGTCCACCCTGCGTCTCACACCCTATGCCAGCCGAGTCTACTCTGCTCCTTCACAGCACTTAGCCCAAACAGCGCCCCTCACCGCCTTGGCGACTACCTGTCAGAACATAAAACGGCCTGCTCAGAGCTGTGGCCGCGGCCCGGATCTGCTCCAGGGCCTGCGCCACATGGGGGGCGACACAGTCCCCACCACACACTCCAGAACCCAAAGGCTGAGACACAGACAAGGGTATGAGTGGTTTGTGTTTTAGACAGGAGACGCTGTTAACAACCTGGTTCAATGAAATGGGCTGCGCTGCCATCAGACGGAGGGGTGTGTGCGGACAGTGTTTTGAATGTAAAAATGAACAGAAACACACAGCCATTGTGGGACCCCCGCAGGCAGCGAGAAGAGAGGGAAACGTACTCGTTGTCCCGCCGCTCCAGGCCGTCTCCGACGTCAAACACGAGGTAGGGCTGGAACGGCCACTCCGACGAGCACCGGATGGTCTCCGTCACCCTGCGGAAGAACAGACGCCGCTCAGAGCACAGGCCAGCTGCTGGAGAAAGCTAACTGTCACCACCGTTGTCCTTGTGTAGGAGGAAGCTGGGGGAAATAAAGGCACCAGAAGGACCACCTATTGAAATGCACTTTAGCGAAAGGTAGAACACCAAGTTCACTTCTATTCTAGTGCTTGAGAGAATGAGTGATGTAATTAAAACGTAACAATCACAGTGGAAAGTTACTCATAACACAGGAAGTTAAAAAAAACCCAAGCCACTGAACACTGTGGAGAGCACGCTGTGATTTTGAGTTTAAAAAAATTAAAAAGACACGCACAGCACAAGGACCAGAAGAAGATAAGCCAAAATGTCACTGGTCACTACTTCTGGGTTATCCAAACACCACTGGGGTTCCGCCCTTCTTGTCTTGCTTGCCCACATTTGCCGTAAGCAACGTGACTTTTATAATCAGAGAAAACTGTAAGTTTCTGATCGACGCTTTTCACGACAGGACCGCAGAACACAGTAAAGCGGCTCTCCCCCGAAGCCTCTAAGCCCGCACACGGACCCGGCAGGCGAGGACGGGGGCCCACCTGTTGGTCCTCAGGCTCTTGCCGTACACGTAGTTGGAGGGGAAGAGGCAGATGTCGGGGTGCATCCGGTACTGCATGTTCAGCTGCAGGATGGGCAGCCTACCACTCACGTTGTGCTCCACGTTCTCCTCCAGCAGCTTGCAGAAGCGGGCCATCATCGACTGGTCGTAGCCGAACTCCTGCGCCTTCTGTCGGGCAGGGGAACAGCCACCTCTGAGGGTCTGCCCGCCCTCTCCCCATGGGAGCAGCAACGATCACTGAGCTCTAGCCCGCGCCCGACAACCGAGGCTCAGAAAAGGAAGACATTTCTGAGCCTGGCCCTTGAGGAGCCAGGCTGCCGGCCCCAGAGGCTGAGGCGCGGCCCCTCCCTTTAGAAGCCCACACCCTGCACATGAAAGGGACGGGGCCTCGGGACTGACCACCACTGAGGCTGCGCTGATGCCAACACCTGTCTCAATGACGAAAACGCACAGAAAAAAGGTAGATTTGAACAATTATTTCTGGGGCATGGTCTCGGCAAACACTCATGGCATTGTAAATAAGCCTTTTCAAATACTGACTGCTTCACCGCCCCCCCCCCCAACAGGTGATTTCACGTGCCCGCAGCCTGAAAGCCCGCTGCTGGCCTGACGAGGGGAGGGAGCTGTGGGGTCGCCATGTCTGCGCCTCGGGATGCGCCGTGCACTGCCGGCCTCGGACCAGGACTCGGACAGCACCACCTCGACCCGCCCGGAAGCAGAAACGTGTTCGGGAAAGTGCAGGAGGACGGACCCTCCTGAGGGCAGACGTGGGCACTGCAGCTGTCTCACCCCCAGCAGTGGGCGGGGAGCCCAGGCTTATGTCTACACTGATCACTTCATGTGTGACTGTAACTAAATAAAGTACGTATTAATAGACATTTGACAACGTCATTTACATGCCCTGAAAAAAAATTTATTCAAGTTAGCCAAAATCTCACTTTGACTCTTCTCTCCGGGGCAAGAGAACAAGGACTCACACGAGGGGACACTCCCACTCCCAGAGAGAGCGCTGAGCCCCTACGAGAGCGCGGGGAAGGACCCCCTGGGCTGCCTGCGCCGGAGAGACGCCGCTGTCCCAGCGCCGAGCCCTCCGAGTGCGTGCACAAGCACACACCTGGCAACTGTCCGGCACCCACCGGGGACACATCCGTGCCTGTCACCCGCTGGGACGTGAGCTCTTGGGGGGGGGGGGGCAGGGACTGCAGCCCGCTCTCTGCGCGGTCGCCCCGGCACCCGAGCCGGCACCCGAGTGCAGCCAGCACGTGGCGAGCCACAGACTGAGGGAGGGGACGTGCGAGCACAGGGGTGCCCCGCAGGTCTGTTCAAGTACTCACTGGGCTGTCCACAGTCATCGCCCTAGAAAGAGGGTGAAGAAATTTTACTTATTTTCTGAACTTTCCTCAACAAGCCTGCATTATTTTTGCAGTGAGCGGGAAGCCCAAATGGATTTTTTTCACGTCTGCTGTTTTTACCAGTCACTGAAGCGGGCAGCCGAGCTGAGGCCCGGCAACAGCCTGTTCACCCCGCGGCCCTTCAGAGTCCGAGCAGTGCGCCTCGGGGTTGCGTGCCACCTCACTTGAGAGGCACGGCCTTGCCCGGGGCCGGAGACCCCACACCCACCCTGCCCCAGCCCGGCGTGCACTGCCAGCGCCAGCATCACGGGGACAGGACACACGCGGGGCAGACCACGAGGCAGGTGCTCGCTGTCACCTTCCCGTCCCGAGGGCGTGAGGGCCACAGACAGTTTCTTGTACCACAGAGCACCGGATTCTGAAACTGGAAACGTACTCCAAAGGTAACTTCTCTTCATAACGTTTTCCTCAAAGTTGCACGTGTGTAAATACGAATCAGTAGGCTGAGATTCTTTTCCTTGCTTTTAAAGTTTTTCCTTCATTATTGTTGGGGTGTTTACGTTACCCAAATAAGTCAGACAGGCCCCTAAAGCAATGGCGCACAGCCTGCCCCCGGGGAAAAGGGGGCCTGGGGGTCGCTCCGAGTTCCTGGTGCTGCCCCTGCCTCGCACACACGCGCGCATGTGCACAGAGGAGCATTTTCAGAGACGTGGACTGTGGAGACTCAAACTGCACTTCTCTCTCCCCAGCCTGCCCAACACTTTGCCCTGCAAGTAAGAGGGAATGATCCAACAAAGACCCCCCACCCACAGAAAGGTTCCAAAGCAGCCCCTTCCACGTTAAAGCAGCCGGAGCAAGAGGGACTCACCAGGGAGATGACCGTGGGGGGGAGCTGCTTCGGGTCGCCCACGAGGATCAGCTTGTTGCAGCGGTGGATGAGTGGGGTGAGGGTCTCGACCTCGCACGCCTGCCCCGCCTGCGGAATAAAGCACGGACGGAGACGCGCCTTAATGGTCTGTGCGTTTCGCCCAGTCGTGCAGGGTCGGCCCGACTCACAAACGCTCCAGCCGTTCAGAAAAGAGCCTCCCTTCCTCCTTCTGCACCGAATACTAAAAGCAAGGATTTTCTTAGAGAAACACACAACAAAGCAAACACTCTTCACTTAAACACACACACACACTTTGAAGCCAGTCACCACTCAGGTGCCACTGAGACTCGGAAGGCCACGGAACGTCCCAGGTGCTCGGTCCTCGTTCCTGCGGAGACTGCGTGTCCCCCCCCACCCCCGAGTCCCTCCTCAGTCCTCAGTCCGCCTTTCTGCGGCGAGACTGGGTGTTCCGTCCACTGTACGCCGTGTCCTTCAGTCCTTCCTCACGCCCACCTCTGCCTCCCACCAGGTGACTTGGGGACCGTGGGCCTCCTGTCGCTAATACGTGTTTGCTCACGAATGACCCAGGACAGCACTGTGGCTCCAAGCTGTGCAAAGGCATATTTAAAATGCTTCAAAAGGCAAGCGGAGACGCTTCGAGGAGAAGCTTAGACAACCCTTGGCCGGGGCTTTGTGAGGAACGACCGGACACCCTTACGAGTAAAACCCTGGAGGGCGATTTTGACTGTGGGGAGTCCCTGGCAGCCTACGTCAACATGAATGAACACACATGCCGTGGCAGGGAAACTCGGAAGCAAAGACCACTGTATCAACATCTCAGCATCCCATCTGTCTGCGACCCCTCACGGCGCCGTCCAGGCCCAACAGCGGACTGACCTCGTCGACGATGACACAGCTGAAGGGGACGCCCCCCTGTCCGCGGAAGGCGGACTCGAGCAGCAGGCCGCCGCTCGTGCTCAGGGTGCAGCAGATGACGTGAGACTCCAGGATGATGATGCTCTGGGTTTTCTGCGGGCGTCCTTGAACCTGAGACAACAAGCAGAGGTTCATTATTATTCAGTTGCATGTAACTTCTTGACCACAGTAGGCCTATTCTTACTATAAAACACCCACCTTTACTATATGACAGAATAATATTTAATAAATATAAGGGGATAACCTCAACCTACAGAAACAGCAGAAGCATTCAAGATAACCAAAAAACACCGGAAAAATGTATTGCTTTGCAGTACAGTCTAAGCTTAGAGTCAGATTTAGGCACACGAAGAGAAATTTGCCCAGGGTCTGATTTTGTCAAAGTCAATGACGACCCTTACAGCCAGAGATGCACGTGGGTGGGTAGCAGAATAAGCGGAGACTAATTGGTTCTACTGAGTTGTGAAGCGACTGCCTGAGTAAAACCAAGTTCGGAACTAAGCTTGACTGTGTTCCTCTGTTTGTTTTTAAGTCCGTGAGGACATTCTTCCTTTTCTGAAGGCTAGCGCCAACAACAAGGCCCGGAGAACTGACGAGCACTCTCCTCCCAGGCAGGAAACAGCCCTGGCCAACCCCAGGGCCCCCGTGCTGACGCTCCGCCACCCGTCTCCTCCCAGTCATCAGTGAGGAAACGGACAGGCACCAGGACCCCAGAACAATGCGACTAACAAAACCCACGCTGCCTGTGAGCACGAACTTCACCCTTCAATTTGGGAAGACTAGGTTTGGCTCAGTTTAAAATCTTAATGAAAAGCTCTCCACCTAATTTTAATTTAAATAAGCAACTGCTAATGGAAATATGCATTAAATTCAACTGCATTTATTTAGCCACACAGAGAAGGCTGACAATACACTGAAGACAAAAATCTCCTCAAAAACACTGGGGACACCACCGGTTTGTCTCCCGCTCGCTCCCTGGCCCCAGATGAAACACTGTGTCATCTGAAGACACGCCATGGGAGCCCCCGGCGCCCCTGCACGTGAATTCAGACACGCGTTCTCCTCCTCCTCTTTCGTAGGGAGAACGCCCACAAACCTATTTTCATTATTCACCTGGCTCTAAGTATCATAATTGACTTTGCAGTTTGAGGGGGAAGGAAGTAGAGCATCTAATAATAGGATTTTTAATATGTACCCAGACCTAGAAAAGGAAAAGCTATTTTATGATCACTTATTCCTTAGAAATCTCAGGTGGTGATAAGACTTCATTATCAGGCTCAATAAACAAATGTAAATATACATGTAATTATACCACTATCTCCACTTTTGTATGTCTCAAATTTCTCATAAAAATGTTTAAAATGTAACTGATAAAAGCCCACTGGTTGTCTGAACTATGTTGTAATTACAAAAAGGAAAAAAAAAGAGGAAAATGTTACAAGGCTAAACTACTTACCTCTTTAATTTTAGAAGCAAGTTCCTGCCTTTCTTTGGAAACATGAGCAATTCTTTCATCTAATTCTCGCCTCTGGAAAAAATTAGAATGCCGTCACCAAAACTGAACAAGCATTTCGGAATGCTCTCCGACGAACTGCTTCACTTCCAAGGGGGAGCCTGCACTTGACCTGCGACAAACACACCGTCCGTTTGCTTTCCCTTCACGGGTGAGGCCCCGACACTCGCCTGCGTCGCTGCAGTCCGGGCTGAGCTCAGCTCCTCTGCCGAGCCCCAGCCTCCGCACCTGCTCGGCGTGGCCAGGCAGCCCGCAGACCTTCACGGACCCCAGCCCCTTCTCACAACATGTGCCCAGGGCAGCAGCCCAGTCACAGCACACGCCAGCTCCCCAGAGGGTCTCTCCAGCAGCGTGGACACCAACGGTCTCCTGGCCCACCCCCCACCCTGGCACATTCCCCATCTGTGCTCCCAGATAAGGTCTGTGGGTTGGACTGGCCCATCCAGCCTCAGCTCGGGAATCCCAAAGCACTCCCCCCCCTCAGGCCCTGATAAAGGCATGTGCCCCAGGTGCTGCATCTCTGCCTGCCCTTGGCCTTGACCTCCCATGTGGCCCCTCAAGGAGAGCTGTGCCCTTCCTCCAGGACCTGAGTAATAAACTTCACTATTTCCGTGTCTCTCCCGGTCTGTTGCTATGTAGCGCTCTCCACCCAGCACCCTGTGCTCCCCTTAGCAGTCCATGAGAACCTGATAAACTCTTCACTGTGTGAGATGCCCTTAGGTCCAGTGTATGGCACGTAAGCTACTTCTGAGCACCCCGACCCTTGGGCTGCCATTCCTTCACTCACAGTTGGTCGATTATGGCACCCGGCCCCTTAAAAGCATGGGTCAGAGCTGCCTGCACACCAGAGGCTGACCCGAGATTTTCCTTGGAACTGACGCACGGGTAACAGGAGGGGCTCTCTCCACCTGGGGCTTTCTGAGCTGGGTGGTGGAGCCGAGAGATGGCTGACACACAGACAAGCCAATCAGAGGTGGAGAAATGACATCACTGGCTGAAGTTAACCCACTCCTAAATGTCCCAAGTCAAGATGCCAGTGAATTCCCTTTTGTCTAGCGTGAATTGAGTTTCTTCAACTTGTAATCCAAAGATACCTAATGAATTCAGTACAGCTGTAACAGAAGGCAGGCAACAGCAAACTACAGCCTGTGGGCCAAACTCAACTCACCACCTGTGTATGTAAATACAGTTTTATTGGTATACAGCCACACCCATTGCTTACGCGCATCTCCTGCTGCTTCTGTGCTACCACAGCAGAGCTGAATTGAGGAAACAGACCTGCAAAGTCTAAACCATTTACTGTCTCGACCTTTGCAAAAAAAATTTGTTGAAACTCTGATGTAAGGCAAACCACTTTTGTATACATTTTTATCAACAAATTATGCTCTTTTACAGTGAAAAATGTCATCAAGACTCATCTAGTCTGTGCACATGATTTATTAAAAATGTTAACCAGCCCTGCTTGTGTGGCTCAGTGGATTGAGCGCTGGCTTGTGAACCAAAGGGTTGCCAGTTCGATTGCCAGCCAGGGCACTTGCCTGGGTTGTAGGACAGGTCCCTGGTGGGGGGCGGGTGAGAGAGGCAACTGATGGATGTTTCTCTTCCTCTCTTCCTCCCTCCCTCCCTCTTTCTCTATAAATAAATAAATAAATAAATAAATAACATCTTTAAAAATCTAACCAAAAAATGTTTAGATACCTGCATTTCCTTCCCACCTCGGCAGAGAGCACGCTGGCGGGAAAGTTCATCTAGCTGATGGTCCAGGTACTCCTTTCTTTTATGCATCTCCTGAACGTGAGATGGTAAGTCTTTTTCTAAAAAAGATAAATAAAAAGATAAGGCATTACATGCTAACTCTCACACATCCACATGCATACCAATGAGACTTCAGCCAGTCCCCGAGGCTGGACTCTCCCCAGGGTCTCCACAGCACGCTAAATGCTCAGCCCCACCCACTGCACAGGAGGAGACGCAGCGGATGTCGGCGTGAACCTTGTTTGGTACTCACTCATTCTGTGGTTGACTTGGTTGTCCAAACTGAATTTTAGGACCTCATTATTAATAGCCTTTTCTGGCCCCAGACGTACTAAATTGATATCTCCACAGTTTCCTGTTGATGAAAAGCACAATCATGAGATGAAAAGGACACTGCCAGCCTCTGTCCACTGGAACGGGAATTTCTGAGCAAACACACGAGCGCCCAGAAAGGGGCTGGCCGTGAACTGGAGGGGGCGCCACTAGAGGCTTCACACATGCCACTCCAGAGATTCTGCCACAGTTGAGATTTTGAAAATGAGAATACAAGGAACAACTTTACACCAATATATTTGAAAACCTAAGACAGAGTGAAATTCTTTTGAACGTGTGCATTAGCAAAATTCACTCAAATCCAGAAAATGTGAATCAAGCCTTAACAATGAAAGACATTTAGACAGCAGATAAAAACTTGCCCCTCGGTCAGAAACAGAAAGACAAAACAAACAGCACTAAAAACAAGTGAACCTTCAAGGGAAAGATCATCTGTCCTACACAAAACATTCCAAGGAAAAAACTTTCCCCTCGACTCCACTTTTGGTTTAACTTCAACACTAACACCAGAAAACAATATGACAAATTACAGGCTGGCCTCATTTATGAATTTTAAAAATTCTAAATAAAACATCAGTAATCCAGGTATATGTTAAAAAATAGTAACACAACCCAATTGGCTTTAAGAATCAAAGCTATTTTATCATTAGAAAAAAGTCATTTACCACATCAACAGACTAAAGAAAAACTTCACTGCCATTTCAAAGAACGACAAAAAAAAGCCCCCAAATGCAACCAAATTCAACACCCACTCCTGAGAGAAACTGGAAGAAGGGAACGTGACCCAGTAAAGGGCACATACCAGGAACCCAGATGCAGAAGTCACACCGCATGGTAAGGTGTCATTTCCTTATAGGACACCCACACGAAGGCACGTGGTGAAAAGTGGTGGAAATGAAATACTCAAGGGCCCCTCAGAGATGTGTGAAAGCGCCCACAACCACTCCTCCTGGAGAGCTGCCAGCCCCGCACTCCGGGTGCCGCTCCACCCACTTCCTCACCAGACCCACCTCTGGGGGCTGCACTGCCGGAACGCCAGTGCTCGGCACAGTGCCTGGCACAGAGGACACGCTCAGTGACATCTGCTCGAAGAATCACCAAGGACCAAAAGGCCACACAGCCTTAAGGACGAGTCACGACCAGATCCGGCTTGCTCTTTGTCATTGAAAGCTACTCACACTCAACACCAAAAACACAACAGATCAAAAGTCCACGTGAATATCATACCCATAGGATTCTTCTTGTCTTTACACTTTTCTTTGAATTCAAGAATAATCTTTTTCATCAGCTCGTCCACGGCCGCGTTGGAAGGCGCACACACGAGCACGCGGTTCTGCTTGATCTTGGCGTTCGAGTTTTCATCCAAGTGCCCCCTCCTCTGATTCCACAGTTCGCCACATGCACCAGACAGACAGACGGAAAATACCAGTGAGCTCTATTATGTCATTTTATCTATTTCCACGTATGCTTGCAAGTTCCCCTTACAAACAGTTAAAAATACATAAAAGCATCTACACCTCACATCGATATGAAAATTACTCTGGCATAAAACCTCACCCCAACTTCTTTGCACCTTCCCTCCCTAGTCATTTATTTTACCCAGCTGTGTTCAATCCAACCAGAACTCCGCCACCCAGGGAGACACCAGGACGGTCTCCAAGCAGACGGGACCTGTGATGAGGCCAGCGGACCTCCATCTGGCCCTCAGCACAGTGTCACCCAAAACAGCATGTTCTGCCTTTTTTCCTTCTTAGAACCTTCTCGCCCTCCACTACACCCATCTCTGCTAAAACTCCACACGAAATCAAAGATACACAGACACGAGGGAAGAGGCACGCCAGGGTCCTTCACACGCCAGCTAACTCGAGTGGAGCACGGCGCCCACCCCGCCGTCCCTACCTCCGTCAGCAGGCGGTACAGGAGGCCGACGATGGTCTTCGACTTCCCCGTCCCAGGGGGCCCGTGGATGAGACAGATCTTGGCAACCGCCGGGGAGTGTTTCACCATGGCATAGGCGGTTTCGATCGCCTTCTTCTGTTCTTCGTTGAAATCTCTTAGGTAGGCAGTCTACACGGAAGACATCAGTGAGGGTGGGCAAGAAAGACCCCCGAGAGACCCGCCCTTCAACTCAAAACCACTCTCGCCACTGGAAAGACAGATACTCAGGGATGCCTGCAGGCTTCAGCCCGTCGACAAATGCTACACCTGTATTACTACTCATGATTCTCATCAAGATGATGACGACAGCCGTGACTGGTGTGGCTCAGCTGGCTGGAGCATTGTCTCCTAAACCAAAAGGTCACCTCTTGAGTCCCGGTCAGGGCACTTGTCTGGGTTGTGGGCTTGGTCCCTGGCTGGGGGCACATGAGAGGCAACCAACTGATCCGTTTTTCTCTCTCACGTCGATGTTTCTATTCCTCTCTTTCTCCTTCCCCTCCCCTCTCTCTAAAAATAAATAAATAACATCTCAGGAGAAAAAAAGATGATTACAATAAACTGTTCTCTGCTTTTTCTTCCTTGGTCCCTCCCACCGCAGCCGCTCTCTCCTCGCACAGTGAGAACAAGTGACACGGTGCGAAGAGCAGGGGTGTGGGGTCGGGTCTCAGTCTAAGCCTCAGTGCCACTCACAAGCCAGGTCCCTCAGAACTGCTCGCCTCTCAGCCCCAGCCTCTGCTGCCCTCTCCTGCTGGGATTCCTCAGGGTGCAGACTGACCGAGATGAAGGACACAAAAGCCCCAGCACACAGCAGAGGCTCAGAAATGCCCCCTTCCCGTGGCCTTTCTCTGTGCTAATTTCCTGCAACGCACACGCACCTCCCCCGGGAGACAGGCGCTCGTGCACCTCGACAACTCCATCCCCACGTTCGCGGCAGCCCCACCCCACCCCCAGTCCTGAACCCGCGCCACCCGACCACATGTAGGTGGGGCACTCCGACGTGCTCACGCAGCTCTTCAAGCACACTTGCGATTGCTTCCAGGGCTCTCCCTTCTTCCCGAGGACAGCTGCCTACCCTGACACATGCCCGGCGATGTCAGGGACCGCAGAGCCCCACCCAGCATCCCCGAGTGCACACGGGCAGACACGCGGGAACGCGCAGCAGATGAACAGGACCTGAAGCCTTACCGAAGGACAGGACACCTTCTGACTTCCCGCCATCACACAACCATCACTCACAATTCTCTCCGATGTCGTGGTCAGTAAATCTTTCGTACAGAAGTCCATGGGGTTTGGATTCAGGATAGCTCTGGCCAGCTGGTTCCGACCATTCAGCAACGTCATGGCTTTCAATTTCCTTTGCGTAGTTACCAGAGAACTGATTACAATACATTTTACAAATTCGTTCAGATTGACTGGCAAGTCATCTTGAGTCTGGATGCAAAGGAAACACTCATATTTCCCATTACGCACTAGTAGCAAAAAAAGAGAAAAAGCAGAGTGACCAGTGAGTAACAGTGTCCACCTCAACAGGTTATTCAGAAACTGTATTCTGTAACGCGTGTTTCTCTATGACACGTGACTTAAATATTCATACAGTCAAGCCTTCTCAAAGGCCTCCTAGGAACCAGGCCCCATTTGGACCCTCCAGAGGCTTCTGTTCTCAGAAGGAAAAGGCAGACCACCGACGACAGCTGGGGATGAGTGCTCTGCAGGAAGCACCAAGGGGGCGAGGGTGGGCGGGGGGACGGGGGCAGCTTCTTGCAGGCAGGAGTCAGAGAGGGTCTTCCTGACCAGGCAGCATCTGAACAGACACTTGTAAAACAGCGCCTCAGGAGGCTCCTGCCGTCATCCGGGTAAATGCCGATGGCCGGACGGACCAGGACGCAGCAGCCGAGGTGGGCCTGGGCTCGGGGGTACGTTGCAAAGGAAGAGCTGACGGGTCCGCAGATGGAGCAGACACAGGGCGCGAGAGCATGAGATCGAGGGCGACTCCGGGGTCTGGCCTGAGCCTCGGGAAGGGCGGCCCCACTAACTAAGGTGGGAAAAACTCCAAGGACCAGCAGGGGTCCGGCAGAAAACCAAGTGTGTCTTTTCCGGATGAGGTCTGAACAGTGGAGATGCCTGACGTGTAGACACGGGAGTTCGGGGAAGAAGAACACCTCGGAAACACAAACTTAGCCAACGCGGTCACGTGCCAGAGTCAGAAGCACTCGCACGCAGCCCTGTCCCTGCCCCGAGAAACGCGCCCCGCTCAGGAGCTGCACTCTGGCTGTGCGCACTACAGCAGGACGCGTCACAGCGCAGCCGGATGCCGAACTTCGAGAAGCTTATGGTAGCTGCCGTTTCTAAAATGCAGTGCGAAAAGGCAAAGGAATAAGGAAATCATCTTCTCCGCACAGCGCTGGGACTAAGGAAGCAGCAATGTCAGAAAGGCAGCTCGGCACAGAACGAACAGGCACTCGGCTGCGGCGCTGGACCCGCCGCAGCTGAGGGCCCGGGGCCCTGGCTTCCTGACCAGGATCAAATCACCCGTCCTGCTCTGCAGGGCTCTGGGGAGGACAGTGAATGCGGCAGGAAGGACAAGGCACAGAGCAGGTACTCACTAAATTCGAGCTAACATTTTTGCTATGCGATCCGAGGGAGAGCAGTCCCTACGACCCCACAGAAACAGTAAACCCCTCGAGTTGCCCCACAATTAGTTGTATGTTCAGCCTTCGCATTAACAGTGAGCCAGAGCACCGACGGTGAAATGTGCTTTAAAGTGTAGCAAACAGGGACCTCACAGGTTGTGCATAGTCACAAACCCATGTATAACATCTGACCCCCCAAAAACTTAAACTACCGTATTTTTAGGACTATAAGATGTACTGGACCATAAGACGTACCTAGGTTTTAGAGGAGAAAAACGGGGGAAAAAATTTTGAAGCAAAAAATGTGGTGAAATATTTAATAGCCTGTGACCCTGCTACACCGCCCCCCACCCCACAGCAAGCCAGGCAAGCTACACATTCAGACTGTAAGACGCAACCCGTTTCCTCCCAAATTTGGGGGGTGCGTCTTACTGCCTGAAAAATACAGCGCTAACAGCCTGCTGACCAGAAGCTGTACTGGTAACACAGTCAACCAGTACATGTTTTGAATGCTGTCTGTATTTACACTGTATTCTCACAAGGAAGGAAGCTGAAGAAAAGGTGGCATCACTGTGCAAATCATAAAGAAGAGAAAATACACCTACAGCAGTTATGGAACAAAGCACCTGCATCTAAGTGGCCCCGTGCAGCTGAAGCCCGTGGCGGTCAAGGGCCAGCTGCAGAGCAAACAGGAGGCCGACGAAGGACAAATGGGGGGACTAGAGATAAGCTGAGCGCCGACGGGCTTCCCGTCGACGTCCCGTCGTGTACTTACGGGCTGACGTGCGGCGGAATTTATGGACGTAAGCGCAGTGGTATTCACGGGGACCCTGGACAGGGTTCCCCTCCACATCTCTCTTCTCTCCACTCCGTCGTTCAAGGACCAAAAACACCAAGTCATTCTCCTTCGGGTGAAGCTGTTTAGCTAGTTCACAATCCTGAAGAGAAACTACAGAACAGGAAGAAGTGAGTGCTTATCTTAACAGAACTATTTTAACTACTTTCAGTACGGTTAGCCAGAGGCCCCTGAACCCTGCGCCACGTCCCAGCATGTGGAAAGCACTAGTAATTCACACACACTGCAAAATGGTTAGTCTACGAATATTGATTATACAGAGACATCAGACTTTTCTTAAAAACTGTTTAAAAGGTGAAACAGATGAAAATATAACATTCAAAAGGAGCTGATACATTTCCTTCCCCTGACATTTATTTTAGTTTTTAACCAATGAAATTTCTCTTTTGTTCCCCACTTTCAAAAACCCCTGGAAAAAACCCAGAGACAGACCCCAGTCTGTGTAAGAACTCGGGGCCTGCTGGTGGAGTTTCAGACGAGGGACAAGGGGCGCGCGCACTAACGGGGCTCGGAACCCAGAGCCCGCCCGGGGTCACGGGCTCCAGCAGCCACACGCTGGGCTCAAGCATGAGGTCCTGGCACTAGGCAGAGGGACCACTGAATCAGGGAGGGTTTCAAACGCAGCACCTAAGAAATACCTATCTGAGGGCGCCAGGGAGCAAGCACGCCAGCGAACCCCCCGCTGAGACCCAGAAGGAGCGGGCGCAGGACTTCCCACGAATACTCGAGCTGCCTGGGACGGGCTCGTTGGACTAGAGACTGCAGCAGGGGGCAGGCCTGCCCCGAGTGGGCCCCAACAGCCCTCCAGCTTCAGGTTGGGAAGGACTACACCCAAGGATGAAGCTGCAATCACCTGGGTGCTTCAGAATAACTCAGTTCTGTAAACCCGATGAAGGTGACACCACCTCGCTAGTGCCCTCAGAAGCCTGGTGGAAGCGAAGGACAATCCACTCTGGTAGAAGACAGTGCATCATCCTAGGACTCAAATGCTTTCTATAAACAATGTTCCAAAGACAAGACGAACGCACACCGGAGACAGACAAAGCCCGGGGAGAGAAGAAATGCGCAAACTGGCGGGATCGGGAAGCCAGGAGGGCTGCGCAGGAACTACAGAGCGGGACCCGCACGCTGAAACTGAGCGGACGCGCATGAAACAGCCCACGAGGCGGGGTGGGGCCCGCGGAAGCTAAGTCTTGTAAGACTCTGCCTTGTGTACGGAGATGCTTGACGTATCTGTGAAAACCATCGACTTGGATAAATCAAGAATGCACACTGTAAGTTTTCACCTAACTACTAACACAGTAAAAGAGGTATAATTTCTAAAACAGAAGAGAAAAAAAATTAAGTTATTTAAAAATGGAAAAAAAATTAAAGAAGTAATCAACCAAACAAAAGAGGGTAACAAAGGCAATATATGATTAGGTTCACTTGTTTCTACTAGTTTTCATTTTACAGTTGGCTCTTTTTTATTCACCTCAGTTGACTTAATGACTCCAAAGTCCCATGTACCAACAGGAACCTCTCAAAGACCAGCAGGTCCTGCCTAAGCAGCTCCGGATCAACACAAAGGAGCCAGTGACAGAGGACTGAAGCCCAAGTATGTTTAAGTCAATGTGTTTAGAATGAAATAAATTTTAAAAAGCTCATCTGTCAACACCAGTGTTTGCAGTGAATTAACTCATTATTTTGAAGACTGATGAAGAGTCAAGTACTCATTCTACGTTTCTTTATAAAGCATAACAAAGTAACCAAATAACATGGAGGCATTTCTCTTCACAGAAGTATTCCAGCTAATAAATGAAGAAATGATCTAATAAAAACACCACCATTTTGTGTTCTTGCACTAATCAATCAATCAAGGCTTCAAGTGTAACAGCTGTTAAGTACTGCAGAGAAAGAAATCAGGATTTCTGGGCCAGACGCAGGCAGAGGCAGACACACTGAGCCTCCTCGCACAACCAAAAGAAGGACGACGACAAATTTAAAAACAAAAATTAACCGGAACTACCAGAAAATTGAACTGTATCGAAGTCCAACAACCAAGGAGTTAAAGAAGAAACATTCATCCAGACAGGCAGGAGGGGCGGAGACGGGCAGCCGAGTGGAAAGGACTCTTGGCAAGGTGGCAGCTGACGGACTGGGTGGTCCCAGCTTTAAATGTCCCAATATCCGAATCATAGGGGTACCAGAAGGAGAAGAGGAAGAGCAAGAAATTAAAAACTTATTTGAGCCCTGGCTGGTGTGGCTCAGTGGACTGAGCACTGGCCTGTGAACTGAAGGGTCACCAGTTCAGTTCCTGGTCAGGGCACATGCCTGGGATGCAGGCCAGGTCCCCGGTTGAGAGCCTATGAGAGGCAACCAGTATCTCTCTCACACTGATGTTTCTCTCCCCCTCTTTCTCCCTCCCTTCCCCGCTAACTAAAAATAAATAAATAAAATCTTAAAAAAAAAAAAGAAAACTTATTTGAAAAAATAATGGAAGAGAACTTCCCCAATCTGGCAAAGGAAATAGACTTCCAAGCAAGTCCAGGAAGCTCAGAGAGTCCCAAAGAAGTTGGACCCAAGGAAGTACACACCAGGCACATCATAATTACATTACCCAAGATTAAGAGGAAAGAATCTTAAAAGCAGCAAGAGATAAGGAGAGAGTTTCCTGCAAAGAAGTTCCCATAATACTATCAGCTGATTTCTCAAAAGAAACCTTGCAGACAAGAGGGGCTGGAAAGAAGTATTCCAAGTCATGAAAGGCAAGGACCTACATCCAAAATTGCTCTATCCAGCAAAGCTTTCATTTAGAATGGAAGGGCAGATAAAGTGCTTCCTAGATAAGGTCAAGTTAAAGGAGTTCATCATCCCTAAGACCTCATTATATGAAATGTTAAAGGAACTTATCTAAGAAAAAGATGATGATGAAAAATATGAACAGTAAAATGACAATAAACTCACAACTATCAACAACTGAACCTAAAAAACAAAAAACTAAGCAAACTAGAGCAGGAACAGAGTCACAGGAATTGAGATCACATGGAGGATTCAGTGGGAAATGGGAGGGGAGAGAAGGGGGGAAAAGATACAGGGAATAAGTAGCATAAATGGTAGGTAGAAAATAGACAGGGGGAGGGTAAGAACAGTATAGGAAATGGAGAAGCCAAAGAACTTATACGTACAACCCATGGACATTAAGTGGGTGGGGGGAATGGGGTGAGGGTGGGAGGGGTGGTGCAGGGTGGAGGGGAATAAAGAGAAAAAAATGGGACAACTGTAATAACATAATCAATACAATATGTTTAAAAAAAGAAGAACTCAGACATCAGGCATGTCCTTATAAAGGAAAATGCCATCGATGAAAAAAAGGGACGCTGACAGCCAAGGCCTCCTTACGGCACAACAAGGCAGGGGGACTAGTGACTGATGTTAACATGAAGCGAGATGAAGCATGCAGGCCATGTGACACGGGCACCAGTGAGCCCAGGAACAGGCCCACATGTTAAGTGGACACGAAATTCACGACAAACCCGGCTCTGCGGAGCCCAGAAAGGGAGGTCTCTCCAATAAAGAGCACCGCATCGGGGTAACGCTGTCTCCCCTTGAGAAGAACGGAACAGACACGTGCCCCTGCATCTCACTCACGCACAAAAACCCATTCCAAGTTGCCGGACCCCAAACCCTCTAGACAAGGGGTGGGCGAGCCTTTTCTGCAAGGGGTCAACCCTTTCCGGGCAGGGCACACACGGCGCCTGCCACTTACTCATCCTCTCGTTCTTCAAACCCGTCAGACGCACACCTGAACCTGGGACAGCACGAAAACAGGATATGGGGTGGGTCCGCGCCCTGCAGTTTGCTGACACCTCCTCTTGACGTTAAGATAGCATCTTCAGGACCCGCAGCAGGAAGGGGCTCTTAACCGAGGCACAGAGCAAGAGCACTAACCTCACACCCACAAGCGTTCATGTTAAAAATAAGAAACTCTTCAGAAGAATAAAACACGAATTTTTTAGGACATCAGTGAGAGAGTCAAAATGCGAGCCCACACCTGCACACAGATTCTATCAAGAACTGCTACAACTCAGTGAGGGAGACAACCCACCGAATAGGCACTTCCCCAGAGAGGTTACGGAAGCACCTACCAAACCTGTGGAAAGGTGCTCAACCTCCCCGTGACAAAGGCTATTACAAAATAAACGCACGAGAGGCCGTCAGCACACACCCCGTAATGCTGAACCGAATACGACCGGCACAGAGGCGCTGGGGAAGACACAGAACCACGTGACTGCTCGGGCTCTGCCGGCGCAGCTCCGTTCTGCACGGCGCGCACGGCACTACCTGCCCGCGCCGAGCTCAGGCATCCGAGACCCCACGGTCCACCTCCGGACAGGTGCAGCCAAGGTGTCCTCACGAAAGCACCGAGGGACCCGAGGGATCACAGCGGCGTTGCCTGTAAACCGCTGTGTGAGACACTGAGCACAGCAGGCCCATGGCATCTGCAACGTCCCCTGCACCCATGCTCTTCCCTTTGCTGACTTGGCTTTGTGGCCCTCGTCACAGTAAGTCACAGCCAGAAGCACGAGAACATGCTGCATTCTCTCAGCGAATCACTGACCTCGGGATGGTCTTGGAAACCCGACACGCAGGTCAAAACTGCTGGGAAAAATGCCCGCCCGCGGTGAACTGTGATGTGCTCACACAACCCTCCATTAGCACGATGACGGAAAATAACAGATGCGCAACAGAACTGATGAACTGGACAGACATGCCGAATAAAAGCAGCCAGAGACAAGAGTAAACACTATGTAAGTCTATGGTATGATTGAGATAAATGCCAGCCAGCCAAACTAGCGATTTAAGTATTATTTACAACAACACTTCCAAATTAAGAAGAAAACGACCTCCCTAACAGAAAAAAGGACAAAGGGCACAATTCCCCGTCCCCACCCCCACTCCATCACAAATGACCGGTGAAGATCCGGGAGGATGCAAAACCACAACCTCACGAGACACAGTTCCACACATAAAAGCAAAGAGAGAGCTCAAACAGCCAACGGCAGAGACGCGCACTCCCACACCCGCGTCGGAGGTGAAAACGTGCCCTGCGGCCGGGCAGAGGCCGTCTGAGCGAACGGCGTCGCACCCTGCTGCCTCGCCTCGGGCCGGGCACCGGGGCTTACTTGGCGCGTGTGACACAGGAAAACCGTGAATAATGTCCACGTCTACCTCGAAGTGATCAGTGAAATGCAACTCTGGAATACGCTTACAACGGGATACCTGCAAATACTAAGTCTACTGTCACTATCCTTTTAATAACTCTGAAAAGACATCCGTAATACAGTCAATGAAAAGAAGTCAAATGCAAGCTTCATGAAGGCAGAAGTTCTGTTTTCTTAACAGCTACACACCCAGCATCTACAGTTATCCCTGGTCAACAGCATTTACTAGGTGAGACAAGACTAGGTTAACAGTTGACCGTATGAAAAATAGTAATAAATAATAGCCCTGGCTGGTGTGGCTCAGTGGATTGAGCGCCGGTCTGCAAACCAAAGGGTCGCTGGTTCTATTCCTAGTCAGGCCACATGCCTGAGTTGTGGGCCAGGTCTCCAGTGGGGGGTTGTGCAGGAGGCAACCACACATCGATGTTTCTCTTCCTCACTTCCCCTCTCTATAGAAGTAAATAAAATCTTTTTTAAAAAGTAGATTAAAAAATAATAAACTGTTTTTGCATACTTACAGCTGTAAACCTACTTTTGCCCCACCCTGTATAAAGCCGATAAATATTTGAATGAATGGTCACAAAATGGGTAAAACGACCCCACAGACGCACACACGCGCGCACGCAGGCAGGGAGAGAGCCTGGCGGTAGGACACACAGTGGTGTGGGCACAGGGCTGTCTCTGCACGGCAGCACCGGGGGTGGTCTCCTTCGCTGCTGGCTAGCATCACCTGCTGCCCTATAATGAACGCATAGTACCTTTCCCTAAAACAGACACATGTGTGCTTTCTTAGGTGACATGTGTGCTTTCTTAGGTGACTTTTCTTATGTGTGGCAGGGTGGATTTGGGGGAGTGGGCAGGATTCACACTTAGGTTAAAGATAACCAACACCTAAATGTGATCATGCGCTCACACTGATCACGAAGTGAGAAGACAGACGGCAGGAAGGTCTACTTGGAATCTATGCACAGTTACTACAACCCACCCTCAGCCCACCACGCCCCCTCTGCTCGCCCCTCCCTGCCGCCCAGCCTCCATGGAGAGTATGGCCTGTGGTAGTCTCTTTAGAGAGCGATGAAAGCCACACACTGATTACCTATAACTCTCCCAGTAACTACACCCATCAAGACTTTAGACAGATTCTTTGTAAGAGGTTACAAATTCAGCTTAAGAAAACTATGTCCCAGAAAATTCAAACATTTTCTTGAGCAGAAATCTCCAATTACTACATAGTATGTTCCAAGTTACATAAGAAAGAACTTACCAACAAACTCCCAGTATTTTTTGTATTCTACAGGAAATTTTCGTAAATGCAACTCATAGAATTTTTCTTTATTTGGAGAGCTGATCCATTCCTGTGCTACCTATACAAAGCAAATAAAATAAAATAAAATAAAATAAAAAGTAAATTAAGAAAGCCAAAACATTGTGGAAAGCCAATGCTAAACAGCAAAACTTTCCAAAGTAAGCCACAGTAAAACGCCGAACTTAAAATCTCAGGCGACGGGAACACTAAAAATTTGGGACTTGCAGTTTCCTGTCTAGCATGTAAGGATCTTAGAAGTTGTCACTCTATCCTAACACATAAAAAGCTGAACAAGATGAAAAATTACCTTCCGTTACACCCAACACAGAAGTGAGGGTGCTGCCCCCAAACTGCTGACAGGCAGGTGGACGCGGACAGTCGCCCCTCACCAGAGGTCCCTGCGCGGAGGAGCCTCTGGGCCAACACAGGAAAACCTGGCCTTTACTTGACAAACTGCCGGGGGTCTCAGTATGAACAACTCTAAACGTTAAAAACACTGGGGGAGCCCAGTGTAAGGGGCTCCCCACTTGGTGAGTTTTGCCTCTTGGAGCTCTACCAAGTCCCCACAGTGAACACTGGAGAAAATTCCCTTTGCTTCCAGCAGAGGGAGGGCACAAGGAACTACCGTATTTTGCTGTGTATAATGCACGCCCACATTTTTGGCCCAAACTTTCAGGAAAAACGTCTTTCATTTTAATTTCTTAACTCAATTTTTTATTGACTTATATTTAGAAATAAAATGATCATATTCCAGGGTATTATTTTGCATATGGATATCATCATCGCTTTCTAGAGTTACACTTTTAATGCATAAGCATAAAGAATTAAAAACATGTACATAGACACAGAACTAGGACTACCCACATATAATGCATATCCTTACTTTTCCCTCAAGAATTTGGGCAAAAAAATGCATACTACACATTGCAAAATCCAGTCTTCTGCAATACTGTACACCAGGGCATTCAGAACTTTGTAACTGCTCTGCTCTGGGGGTAAGTATTTCACCAGGGCCTGACCTGCTAGGGTCCTATCAGAACCTAAAACACTTGAGAGAAGAGAACCAACTCCAGCCCACTCCAGCCATGGCGCCCCACCTAAGGAGGCGGGGCCTGACCACCGAGTGTAAGGCACCCAGGCCAGAGGCACAGGCTCTCTAGAAGACCAAGGCCGAGACACAGGACGGCAAACACGCCCCTTCTCCAACAACTCCCCACGCTACAGAGGGCCGACTTACTGCCGCTCCCCTACCCAGCATATCACAGCCACCTTCCAACAAGAATTACAAGCCATACTCGAAGGCCAAAAGCTCAATTTGAAGAACAAGCATCAGAACCACAGTCAGACGTGGCGTGGATGTCAGGACCATCAAACCAGAGAATTTAAAAAACTGTAGTTAATACACTAAGAGCCCAGGGGAAAGGTAGGCCGTGTAAGAACAGATGAGTAATGTAAACAGATATATAGGGACTTTTTTATTACAAAACCTTTCACTATAAAATCATAAGCATGTATTTCTGTAATGTAACACTATCACACTCAAGCACAGCACATGACATTTTAGGTGAAATGTTCATATTGAAACTAAATCATTACACCCATATTATCATCCTACCAACCACATTCAAGCGGGTGTTACTTCTGCTGGACCCTGTACATGGCAGGAAAGAATGGAAAAGAAATGCTGGCGATTCAAGAGCTGGAGCAGAAACGAAGAACAAGAATGAACGCCTCTGCTGGACTCAGGAGCAGACTCAGACTTGGCTGAGAACCCTCTCTGAGCTCGAGGCCACAGCCGCAGAAACTACCCAAGCTGGAAAGCGAAAACCGGGGAAAGGAGAGCAGGGCAGCCAAGCACTGGCGGGGAGCTGCAGAAGGTGCAGCCCACGTGTGGCGGCCGCACCGAAGGAAGGACAGAGCGGTGTCTGAAGCAGGAAGGACTGAAGGGTGTCCCCAAGTTAACGTGAGACGTCAAACAACAGAACCAGAAAGCTCAGGGAACGCCAAGCAGCATATTGCCGAAAAAACCACACCGAGGCTATCACCACCACTGGGAGCTGCCGGCAGGGACGATTAGCTGCCTTCCCTGGGGTTCCGAGCTCCGGGATCCGGTATTTAACCTGGCAGCCCTGGTCTGGGCCAGGAGAACCCGGCAGGGTGTGCTGGGGAGCACAGGGGAGGCCGCTGAAGGGACAGAGCAGCTGTTACGATGAGTAAGAAACTGAGAAGACAGACGTGTTAAGAAATTTAGGATTTACTGACAGGGTTTTTTTGTTGCTACCTCTTCAAGGAAACCTGAGTGAAGGCCTACATTACCTTTCAAAAAACACTGCACCCAGTAGGGAAACTCTCTCCTCGGAGCCGCCTGCCTTCCCTCTGTGTTGACAGACAGTCCCCCGGGGCCAGCTCAGGCCCCGGTGCGCGCGCACCGGACCGACTGTGAGCTCCACAAGGGCAGAGCTGGAGCAGCTGCGTCCTCCATGCCAGCAGCACCGCGGACAGCGTCGCACACGCGTGCTTGTGAGCTCGAGACGCTACAGCACCCCGACACCGGCTGTTCTAACTGCTATCTAACTGCTCTCACTCCGAGTGGTCAAGAAAAGCAGCAGCTTCAAAGACTGAATGGTATACAGTGGAAATACATACTTACTGATTCGAAAGTATTCACTACCATCAAAGGAAGGAAAACGTTAAAATAATCGTTACAATCTTGGAATCTGACAGGCACAGGTCTTGAGATGGTCTGACAAAGACTTGCTGGCAGCCCGCACTGGTCGAAGTTCACGAACATCTCATATTTCCACTTCAAGACCTCTTTAACGAAGGTGTCAGAGACGGACTGCGGCGAAGTGCTGTCCAGAGAAGATGGAAGAGGTCTGCTCTCACCAAACGGCAGTTTGTAAGCTTGTCTGCTGGAATTACTTCGAGCTGGAGAAAGAACGTTGCACAAACCCTTCACTTCACCCAATGGCTTTGGAGACACTGGAGACCGAAGAACGTTGCGTAAACCCTTCCCTTCACCCGGTGGCTTCGGAGACCCCGGAGGGGCCGGAGAAGAATAAACACTGCACGATCCCTTCCCTTCACCCGGTGACTTCGGAGACCCCGGAGACGCCGGAGAAGAATGAATGTTGCACAATCCCTTCCCTTTGCCCGCTGGCTTCGGAGACCCCGGAGGGGCTGGCTGTGGTGCTTTCAAAGCAGACCGTCCCCCACTTGACTTATTTTTTACAGCTGGAAGTGCTGAGCTGCTTTCCAAAGACTTGGAGAGATGAGCAGTCCGTGAAGTACCACTTGAGCTAAAAATCTTAGTGGTGGAAGGTCTCAAAGGTCTAGAGGCAGAAGGTGGCAAGCCAGGTTTGCGGAAGACGTCTTCGTCGGCCGCTTTGGCCGCGGAGTGTTTCGAGCAGCAGTCGCCCTGGGTCTTCACAGCTTCGACACAGCCCTGGTGCTTACATTTTGCGCTACTGAGAGACTCCAACCGAGGCTGGTGTGCAGAATCCTCTTCTCCCCGAGCTCTGTTTTCCCCGGGAACCACTTCGATGAGTTTATCGTCATCGTCCTGCATCTGCGAACACAAGTCCATATCTTCGGGATCGTGTTGTGTTAAAAAGAGATCATTTCCCTCCGGGTCACTGTCGTCGTCAGGCTCTGCCTTCTTCAAAGCTGCCACCTCTAGGTGATGTCCGGTCAGGTCCCCTCTAGCTGGAGTGCCTTCGGAAGTGGAGACCGTGATTTCGCTCGCTGGTCGTCTTCCATTGAACACTGGGGAACTACACGGGCCCGAAAGACAAGCCCCGGCAGCCGCCCGAGGAGCAGATCGTGCTTTAGCGGGTCCTCGTTCAGGAGACGCGCAGCTCAACGACTGGTTCCCACAGCTGTGAGCCACGACCTCGGTCCCTCCTCTGTCGCTGCAACCCGGCCGGCCCGGCTCTGCTGCAGCTGCGTCAGAGCTCCGAGCCGCCCGTGGTCCCGCTCTCGCGGCACTGGCACGTGTAGAATCAGGGCGTCCTTGCCTGTTTTGTTTAGACCTCTGTCTCGTCTGCCTTTGAAACTGACGATCTTGACTCACGAGCAGTTTCTTATCTTTCACAGAATGAGCCTGAGGAGAAATCAGTTTAGTCTTTTTTCCAGTATCAATGGCGCCGACGTTTCTGCCGTGGGCGCGTAACCGCGCTGTGCAGTCCCGAGACCTCTGCGACAGGTCGAAGGCCTGGCGCTTGCGAGGGCCCTTCTTCAGCCCGAGCCGCTCCGCGGTGGAGGCGGGCTCGGGACACTGGCGGTCCTTCTTGGGCGGCACTATGAAGGGCACCGTCCTGCAGCTGATGCACTGGGAGCCCTTATTCTGCCCTCTTCTGGCGTCTGAATGTGTCTTCCTGGCAGTTTTGGGAGCTGGGGCTCTCCGAACGGGTCTGGAGTAAGTACAAGGCTTTGGCGAAGCCTTCTTCAGGGAAACCAAGGCGGTTCTCGGAGCACCTGCTTTGGGAGCGGTCCTTGCGCCTGCACTCCTGTTATTTTCAGTTCGCTCACTCTCATTGCCAGTGTCAGACTGGTCCTCGTTTCTGACAGAAGATGAAGGCCTTAAACCATCTTTAGCCACTGGTCTTTCAATTTTTTTCCTCTTAGGTTTTTTTATTTGAACTGCACAGGATTCCTCACCAGTACTACTGCTCTGTGGTTGTGCGCGCTCGGTGCCCTCTGATTCTTTTTCAGTAACTTCCTCGGGCATGGGGTAATCCGTATCATAGCCCCAGTCATTGGTGGTATCTGCCGCGGGAGTCCAACACGAACTCTTTTCATCCCCTTGACCTGAATTCTTGTCTGGTGTCTGATCTTGCCAAACTGAAAATATGTCCCTTTGGCTTTCAAACTCAAACACCTGAGAATCGGAGTCCTCAAACTCCAAGGGGGAATTTGTCCTTTCTTCTTCTGTCATCTTCCCTTCCACGTCCGCACCAGCCATCGAAGCACGTGGCTCGGGACACTCCTCCCCAGCGCACGCTGTATCTCGTCTCCAGTGTCTCTCCAGATCCAGGATTCCTTCATCATCACCATTGTCGTCGGAATCTGAGATGATGATGACTTGTCCACAGCAGGTTTCTCTGACATCACTTTGGTTGGCTCTGAAACCTTTTTTATCTTTTACTTTTCTTTGTAGCTGGGGTGAGCTTTTTGGAGCTGAATCTGATGGAAATGTGGTAACACTGGCTTGAGCCATCAATGATAATTTGTGGAGATCTCTGTCCACCTGAGAATCTGTTAAGATGTCAGACTGAAGGGTGATGCTAGGGACCTGTTCTATCAAGTTAGAAGAAACCTGATCAGCACCCTTGCTAACTTTCTTTCGAGTTGATTCAGGTGAACTCATAGGATCTTTAAAAGGAGATGCTCTATGCATGGAAGTACTGGTCCCTTCTGCAAACAAGACCAAATCTTTAGTATCAAAATGACAGTCCTGTATTTGACAATCGTTTTCATGGGAAGAAAACCCACCTAACTCTTCCTTCTTCAATTGTTTCTTTTTCAGCAATATACTGCTAGGAGATCCGCACCCTCCATGTTTACTTTCTGGAATATCCTCAGGGTCTAAAGTGAGATCGTGCAGGAAGCTGTCCCCTTTCTGACCTCCTGTGCCTTGCCTTGAACAGACATTCTCAATGTTAGATTCCGTCAGGTCTCCCTCTAATTTCACAGTACTATTGACCAAAGCACTTTTCCTGTGTTGCTTCTTTATTACATGTGATAACTTAGCACAGATTTCACTTTTCTGTGCCCTCGTTTTTGCTTTTGAGGTTCTGCCAAGGACATCATCCTGTGAAGAGAAGTCCTCCTTTGATGTGGACCCCTTCTCCGGAGGATCTGCACCGGAATCAGCCGACAGGCGCATGGACATAGTCGCTCCTTGGCCACACCCCCTTTCCGGGCTATTTCTTGAAGTACAGTTCTGTGGTGCACATGAGCAATTATGTTTTACAGGATTCTGCTTCCTTGTACATACTTTAACTTGATGTTGGGCTCTTTCAGGGAAAAGGTTTTTACTACTCTGCTTTAAGCATGACTCAGCTGACAGATGGTCCTCCAGTTTCAAATCTTTTATGTAATTCTTCCCATTATCCTCTTCCATGGCGTTACTCACTTTGCTTACTAGGCTCCTCTGTTGCACTTGACACACATCAGCTTTCATCGGTTTAGAAAACGTTGGGCTTTCCAGACAGCGCAGGTCTTTTCCACACGCCTTCCCTGCTTCTTCACTTTCTTCTTTACCACAAGACGCAGGAGGAGTTTTACAGGAAGGAGCCAGCTCCACCAGAGCGGTATGCTGAGGTACTCTGAGTCTCATGTTTCTAATAATTTGCTTTAAACAAGACTGTAGCGCTTCGGTTTCCTGATTAGTCAACTGCCAACCTAGAGATAAATTTCCTCGCAGGAATAAGTTGAGTTTATCCCAGAATTCCTTACAAAGAGTTTGCTGCCCAAGCTGATGACCGTCTTTAAGGAGACTTCTAATCAGCTGCACACAAGCCAGCTGGACCGAGTTAGACGGCATTGGATGCAGGGACAGTGATGTCGCTGCTGGTCCTCTGGAGCCGCTGCCGGCCGACTTCTCGGAACTCCGCACGAACGCGGCGGTGGGGAGCCTGGCACACTTCACGACGGCCTCCACCCACCGATGGGAGTTGACACAGAGCGAGTGCAGGCACTTCCTGCTTCTGTGGAGCTCGATCACAGACACCAAAATCAGGGAAAAAAATTCAGTGACTTTGTCACATGTGACGACTGGTTGGTTGAGGACATCTTTGACTTGGAAGTACAGATGGTTAATAACCTCTAGTATGTAAACCACACCCAGGTCCTTAAGGTCCATGAGAGACTGAACGAAAGGGATGAACCACAGAAACGTGCTGTTGTGAACGCGCATGTCTTGACCGACATCCGACTGGAGCACACTGGCCAATGTCTCCATTTCTTCGTACATGTTTGGGCAATAGTCCGGGCAAATGGCCGATCTCCAGCCCGAGTCCTGAAACACAGAGACCGGCATTCAGACAAACACGCACCATTCCTGATAGGGCTAGCACACAAGCTGCAAACAAGAAAACAGATGGCCTGGCTTTCCCGTTTTGGTTTGCACATATACACACTCCGAAGAAACTGCAGGCGCAGTTCAATTCTGAGAGTCAGGCTGCACGTAAGGTGAGTTTACAACACCGCCATGTACCCGGGCCCTCTTTCCGTTAGCTGGCTTTGATTTCCGATCAGGTCACTTATCTACCTCCACCCTAGAAACTTCCCACCCTTTCCACGTGCACTTAAAAACTAACCCTCCAAAGTATGTACGTTGTAAAGTCCACTATTCCCTCATGTACAATACATCTGGTTCAGCCAGAAAGTCTTATACAGCAGCTAACTCAGAATAGCTGCACAGCACAGAATCAGCAATTCAACTAATCACGTAAAACATGATCGTACACAAAGACAATAATACAATGTCAACTCATGTCAAGACGCTTTATACCACCTTTTTGGTCTTTTCAGGATTGTAATTGTATACAATCTGGCTGCAAGTCACCATATCATCCAGACACGACTCCGGTTCGGACTTGGTCCTTAAATATTAAGAATAGATAGAAATTACGGAAGGGAAGAACAAAGAGAAAACCAGCTATTGTTAAGATACAACAGACTTCCTTATAGAAGTAACTTTAAAATCCTGACACACTGACAGAACTAACCTTACAGAGCTGTTCCGGATATTCTGGATCTCTCTGTTGTAGCTTGCATTGTTGATAATGGTCTGAAATGCCTCAATCGGATCAATAAGTTGACCCCAGACCTTGGACCCCAGGCGATCCAGAATCACCATGAAACAGTGCAATGCTGGCCAGAAAGGATCTTCACTATCATCTGAAATACAATGGAGTTATTTTAGAAAAGATACTCAACTATACTGAGAAGTAAGCATTCTGGGTTTTTTTTGAGAGACAGAAAGAAGGGGGAAGGGAGGGAGAAAGAAACATTGATGTACAAGAGAAACATCGATCAGCTGCCTCTGGTACATACCCTGACCTGGGACCGACCCCGTGACCTGGGCATGTGCCCAGACTGGGAATCAAACCAATGACCTTTAACTTTGTAGGATGATGTTCAACCCACTGAGCCACACTGGGCAGGGCCAAGATTTAAACGTTCTTTATCTGGTAACAACAAAACCCAAAACAGCAAGTAATTGAAAGTAAAGCACTGCCAATTACAGGCTTTCAACACTGGCAAATTTTAAAACTGCCTTTGCATTTTTCCAAGCAGTACTCCATGCCTCTGTGAATGGGGAAACATGGAGACAGTCCAGCTGAACTCAACTTTCTCGCCATTTGCCATTCCTGAAGCGATCTTTCCTACCCAATGCCTCCCAGAACTGCCTTCCTTCAACAAACAGAAGGAGAGGAAAGAAAGGGAAAAGGGAAACTTGGCGTTTACAGACGTAAACAAAGCCCGAGTCACCAGAAACCCTGGCCCGCATGGTCCCGAGCCACGCGCCCTGGTCTGGTGCACACCACTGACTCCCCGGGCTCACGGGCGAGCAGCGCGCATTGCCTGCCGCCGCCATGCCTCGGTGCGGTTCTGCTGGGGTCTCCCACCACCCAGGGCCAGGAATGTCCATGACTGACAAGCTCTAGCCTCCAGGCCTTTCCCTCTTCTCTGCTGGACATGCACCGGCAAGATGCTGCCCTGCTCCAAGACCTTCAACTGCTCATTGAAGTCTTCTAAGAAAACCCCAAGACCTCAGAGTCAAGCCCTTTCCAGGTCTTCCTCCTCTGCCTCTTTCCAGCCACACTCCCATAACTGTTCCCTCTCTGTAGCAAAAACAGACAGCTGGCTACCCCTCAAACAGGAACAGGAATGCCACCTGTCAAACTCCGATTCACTGAGGCCCAGCTCAAAAGCTCCCTCACATGCCAAACACTCCCTGGCCACTTGGCCTGCTGCAGCACGCTTCTGATGCAAGTGCTGTCTCTCCCTCGTCCCTGTCCCATCACCCAGTCAGCCTAGAACCCCACCCAGCTTCACTGCCCTCAGGGCTCTCCAACTCCACTTTATCACATGGTCAGCCCTGCGGACCTGGCCGTACACTTTTCCACCCTCTCCTGCAGCCGACACACTGTCTGAGGTCTTGTCTCGTCAGCTGTCAAAGGACGGAAGAGCGTTCCCAGTCGGTGTAGACAACTAAGACAGGTCTCAAAGAGGGGTGGCGCTCTGAGGGCGGGGGCCGGCCGCACGGGGAGAACAGGAAGGTATGTGCTGGCACACGGCAAGAAGTGAGTGACGCGTGCAGCCACTGCTGGAAAATGGACCAGCAACAACCTTAATCAGAAGTAATCTAGCAAGAAAATACATGTGACCCAAAAAAGTAATATTTACATATTTTAGATCTCCCACAAATGAATTTATATCCACAATGAGGTTGCCTAAAAAGAAGTCAGCATGAAAAAAAGTTGTATTCATTATTTTCACAGATTTTGGCATGCTTGCCCTGGACTGATTCGTTGTGCCGTCAGGAAGATAAGCACAGACCGTCGTCTGTGCTTATTTAAGCACAGAACCTCCCTAATCAATGTGGTACAACCATGAGCAAAAGAAAGGTGGGGTCCAATACTGAACTTGACTGAACGTTTTAGACCCTCTGTGCCAGACTCTTGAGCAGCACTGTCCCCGAGAACTTTCTGTGACGATGGAAATGTTCTATATTTGTGCTGTTCAATACAGTATCCACCCGGCACATGTGGTTGCTGAGCTCTTGAAATACAACTAGTGGACCTGAAAAACTAAATTTTTAATTTAAATTTAAATAGCTACATTTGGCTAGCAGTCACCATCTTGGACAGTAAAACAACAGAGAACCAAAATAAAAGGAAGAACCAGGAAAAAGACAGACATGGAGGCAGGGGAGACGAGGCCTTCTACACCACTTCGGCTACCGCGTCACTAGAAACTCATCTCCTCTGGAGTCTGGCCTTCACTCTGCCACCAGCTGGTGTTTCAGCACCGAGAAGTTGGCTTCCTCGGGCTTCCACCTCTTCTTTTATGAAAGTAAGGTGCTGAATTAAACTTTATAGTTCCCTTCTGATTTAGAGTTCTGAATCGGTGACCTAAACCAAAAACTGTCCATTTTCTTTTCTTCACGCCATAGACCCAATTCTTGCAGTGACACCAGTATTTTACAAGTGCATCATCATCATCATCATCATCATCAGTATTCCAAAGCATTTAGCAAATAAGGCCGGTTACCCTGCGACTGCCTCTCCATGATGTGCAGTATGGACTGCATGAAGTCGTTCTGCTTGTCGGAGCCCAGCAGCAGCGAGTCCATGGCCTGCTCCTCGAGGATGGTCAGCAGCATGCAGATCCCTGCAAGAGCGGTCAGGGTGTCTGTGAGCTGACCATGGGGTGCTGAATCCCAGCACCCCAGTACTGCCTCTGGTTTAGCTGGCAGAAGAGTAATGAGGCAAAAAGATGAAGCAGGAGAGAATCCAGTTCCTCACCCATTCAACTTGGATATTTTCATATACAACTGCTCCTAAGTAACAGGACTTCAGAGTGATTTGAGGATAAAAAAGGGAACATGGCACAAACTTGGCTAAAAGACAATTTCTAAGATGACTACCACACAATCCATATTTCATGAAATCTAAGAAGGCTTCAATTTTAAGATCACCGTATTTCAATTACCAACCACTGCCGAATATGACAAGTGATTATAAGCCCTAGAATCAATGAAGTAGGGTGGAACTACGTGGAGACAATAAGCCTCCTTTAAAAGGAGATCAAACCCTATTGCAGTCAACTACTCTATTAATATTGTTTACATCTAATATTGCTTCAAATTAAAGATCTACTTGCTATACTTGAAAATGTACCTTTTAAACAGATGGTTTCCAGGATAGGGGCTTAAAATCAAGATGTCTAATGCCCGTATCAATTTAATGAGAAAAGACTGGAGACGGAAATCCTGTATTTAGCAACTTTGGTAAGATTACCTGAAGAGATCACTTCCTTTGCAAGGTCCTCGAGAGAACGGTGTGAAAACACTAATCACACCTGTGCAGGCGGCAGCACTCACCTAGCCAGTAGTTCTTGTGGCTGCTCGTGTCGTACATGTGCGAGGGCAGGACGACCAGTTTCCCCTTCTCGAGGGCAGAGGTGGTATAAATGTCCGGATTCTCCAAAAGCCCCAACTCGATGACTTTGAAGAGGCACGTAAAAACCTCCTGTAGGTCATAGTAGTCGTCCCGCTCCACCTTCCCCAAGCCTTTTGCTGTCAGGATTGCCCAACGCCGCACCTGGAAGCGTAGCACATGCAGCGCTTCATTCAATGAACAACTGTGTACATCCAGGAAAAAACCAGTTAAGAAAATAGGATTCCCTATAAGTATTAAAAGACACAAGATACTAATTAATGCAATACGTGAAACTTCTTTGACCCTGATCTGAATAAACTCACCCTGGTAAACCTTATGAGACCCTCACTTCCATTCACGCCAACGCTGGGTAGGAATGACGCTGGAAAACCCCTTCAGGCGCAGTGATGGTGTGGTTTCCCGCCCCCAAGTCCTTATCGACTGGCCGTCCAGGCGGCAGAGCAGATGAGTGCTAGTGCTGCGCACCGCCCCCCACAACCACCCCACATTGCTCCTCAGTTCCAGGACCGCCGCTCCTGGGAACCACCTGAAGGAGCTGGACACAACTCCCGAGGCTGAGGACGTAAGGACGAAGCCACGTTGAGACTGCAAAAGATGAATGAATACAACGCCCTCATCTTTCAGGAAGACGCTCTGAAGTCGTTTACAGATGAGACGCTCGGACGCCGCACGTCTGCTCTGACCGACCCAGAGGGGGCGCGATACTGACGCTGCACTGACAGCTGGCGGGGCCCGGCGATGAACACACGGGGTTCACCACACCGTTTACGTCTGCAATCTTCCATAACATTTTGAAAAGGGAAGAAGAGATGAAAACAAACCTCAAAGGAAAAACTTATGCGACAAGCTCAAGGTCAGGGTTCAGCACACCGGCGTCGCTCTTGGCCTCTGTTCCCGCCCCAGAACTATTCTGACTCCTGCCCCTCCTCACTTCTAGCACCAGGAACGGGACCCCCTTCCCTTCCCTGCCCCCTACCCGCCCTGCACTTTAGAAACCCTCAGCTATTAGCAAAGTGCTGGTTTCAAACACCACGGCGGGCGTTCACGCGCGCTTGGCGCGGGGCGGGCGGGGAGAGCGAGAGGGCAGCCCCCCTGGCCGGGCCGGCCGCACACCCGGGAAGTCCGCGTCGTCCCCTTGTCGGTCTTTCAGGCTAAAGCAGCACCTGTCGGAAGTATTCTGACAAACGTTCTAAACAAAACACACATCAAAACCTCAACCACAGCCGTCTGTATGTGAAAAATGACACGTCCTCCCCCCCCGACGCCTGCACTCACCATTTCATTAGGATGGACCAGCAACAAGTAGATCCCAGGCTGTTTCTCAAACACCTGAAAGGAGCAGTTCGCCTGCTCCATCCGGCACAGCGCTTCCACACACAGCTCGTCTGCAGGGGAAAGCAAGGCAGCAAACGTAAGGCGTGCATCCCATCAGCTCACTGACCCCCCAAATCCGGCTCCTGCGGGCGTCTGCAAGTCAGGCGGAAGCGTGCTCCTGGTGAGCACAGGAGCGCCGTGCACCTGCCGCCATGCAGCTCCCGCGCCGCAGTCGACTTCACTAGTGCGTGCATGTTCGTTTTTCACTCCTGACACAATTTTCTCCACAGGTGTCGCCTTAAGATATGTCGTAGGTCCAATTCCATTTGCATTTTACATTTTGATTTATAGTAGCTTTATCTGGCACTGGCGTGATAAAGTCAGTCATCTCCTGCCCTGGCTGGGAGGCTCAGTTCATTGGAGCATCATCCCACAGACCAGAAGGCTGTGGGTTCGATTCCCAGTCAGGGCACACACCTCGGTTGAAGGTTCCATCCCCAGTTGGGGTACGTACAGGAGGCAACCAACTGATGTTTCCCACATGGATGTCTCCCCCTCTAAAGTCAATGCAAATATCCTCAGTGAGAATTAGAAAAAACAAGAAAAGCTGCTTCCTTCCCCCACCTCCAGCCCCCCGACAGCTATTCTGTCCAACTCTCATTTATCGCAGGATACATTTTCCCCACTGGTTTGAAATGCTACTATCACCAAACACCAAATTCCCAGATCCACTGGCTTACTTCTGCAGCCTGAACCGTCCCACTGTGCGAGCACTGTTCTGGCTCCTGCCGCTTTACGGAAACATCTTCATTAATCTCTCAACGTGTCCTCCACCTGGCTGGTGTGGCTCAGTGGCCTGAGCACCAGCCTGCGAACGGAAGGGTTGCTAGTTTGATTCCCAGTCAGAGAACACACCTAGGTTGTAGGCCAGGTCCCCAGTTGGGAGCGCATGAGAGGCAACCACACACTGACATTTCTCTCCCTCTTTCTCCCTCCCTTCCCCTATCTAAAAATAAATAAAATAAAATCTTTGGAAAAAAAAAAAAGTGTCCTCCATAGACCCACACACTCACCCTATCAGGTGAATCAACTTTAGTCTGTAAAGCTCCAAAGAATATTGTTAGTGCTAGTGGCTGGCTCTGGGGAGGAGGGAATGACGATCTGAAAAGAATGAGGGGGACCCTGGCCAGGCAGCTCCACCAGGAGGGGCACCGTCCTGATCTGCCGAGGTTGCGGGTTCAAGCCCTGGCCAGGACACACACAAGGAGCAACCAGGGAGGGCAAGGACAAGTGGGACAAATCAGTGTTTCTCTCTCAAGTAATTAAAAAACCTGTTAGTGGATGAATTAAAGTAATAAAATAGATAAAAATAAAACAGAAAAACACGAGGAGCGCCTGGGGTGTTGACATTGTTTCTTTATCTGGGCGCAGCTACACAAGTGTGTTCAGTTTGTCAGGAAACATCAAGTGTACTCACTTTTCTGGATATAGTATTCTTTAACAACTTTAAAACCTATTTTTAATGTATTTAGATGTAATCAGCTCTTCAGATCGACTTCCAGTTCACGGAAAACACAGAGAACAAGTTAAGTAGTATCACAAGAAAGCCACTGGAAAAATCCAGAAAGTGCCTTCTTCCACAGGGTAACTACATGGTCTCAGCACGTCAGAGAGGGAAGGAACAGACAGACAACAGCCGCTCCAACAGAAAGGTGTGTGCACACATGTGTATGAACACTTTCGGAACGCATGATCCCTGACTGGACTCTGATTTATGCAAACCAGCCCAAAAGCGTATTTTGTGTCCACTGGGAAAATGTGAACACAGGTTAGATATAAAAACGCCTGAAAGGTGTTATCTGGTTAGATTTGATAGATCAGGAAATCGTCTTCACATCTAAGCATGTCACACTACAAAATGCAACCACAAACGACCAAAACCGCAGCAGCTGTAACCTGCCAGGCCACCGTGAGTGACGAAAATGACTGCAGCCCAGTGGTCTCAGCGGGAATGACTCCGCCTCTCCCCAGCCCAGCCCCCAACACCCCAAGGCACACTGCAATGCTTGGAGACATTTCTGGTTATGCAACTGGGGGAGGAGGGGAGCAGAGGCCAGGGAGGCTGGCCCACACCCTGAGGTGGGCAGGCGGTCCCCACAACACGCACTCACCCAATCCAGAATGTTCACAGTGCCAAGAGTGAGAACACAAGAATAAAAATTAACTGAATGCAGAGATGGATAAAATATGTAACAAAGCAAAGAGAGCAAGATGTTAGCAACTGTGGACTCTACGTGGTGCTCATTATATAATTAACCTTTATGTTTGGAAACTTGGAAAGCAAAATGTTAGAAAAAATATTAGCAAGCATCCTACCTACATGTTTAACAAACAGCTTTTCATACAGATAAACCTAAATTCCCACATTTCTCAAGATACTAAAACTGACCTAACTTGTGTAACACCCAAGATACTCACTGACACGCTCGTGTAAAAGCAGGTAAGGGTATTTCAGGATTTCAAGAATCGGAACTCGAAGCTTATTCTCGAAGTCCTGGCCAGTGAAGTCGAACAGCTGGGCCTCCCCGTTGCTGTCCACTATGTACAACTCGTCGTCGTCCTCGATCTCTCCCCTCATGGACTTTTCAAAGTGATTTATGAGACGTAAGGTTTCTAGTTCCCATAAAACCTACAGGAAAAGAAAGACCGGCAGTATGCTTTATATCTTGTCATCAACAAAATATACTGCATATGAACAACTTTCCAAAAGCCCTGACCTAAGCATAAAAATTCAGAAATTTGCCCTGGCTGGTGTGGCTCAGTGGATTGACAGCCAGCCTGTGAACCAAAAGGTCACCGGTTTGATTCCCAGTCGGGGCACACGTCTGGGTTTGTGGGCTGGGTCCCCAGTTGGGGGCGCACGAGAGGCCACCACACATTGATGTTTCCCTCCCTCTCTTTCTCCCTCCCTTCCCCTCTCTCTAAAAGTAAATAATAAACTATTTTTTAAAAATCCAGAAACTTAAAGAAGGGCTAGACCTCACGTATTTTATGCGTCTGAAGAGCCACCAACCACGGCCACATGCACAACATACACAAGCGCATAGAGCACTCGAGGGCTGGCGCTGTCCGTGCACAGCTGCACCCTCAGTAGCTCAGCATCCCCACTGAGTCGACTGCAAAGGAAGCAAGAAGTCGGAGCTTCTTTGTCAAAGCCAAGAACCAGGCCTTCTCTGCTTTCCTCTCCATGTTCCAGCCATCGGGACCTCCAATGTCTTTAGCACAAAGACACTGGTTAGCTTCATAACTAGGGAACCTTGTAACTGCAAAAGTGTTCCCAACAGATTCCTGACTACCCATCCCTCTCTCTTTCCACACAGCTCTAAGGTCTGTGTTGCTTCTCATCACATAAATGCAATAAGCCAAATAGTCAAAGCTATGAATTTAAAATCGTATGTTGAACTTTGGTCACTACGACTGGAAAATATGCTTGCCCTTGGGGTTTTTAAAAAATAAAGAGAAAAAATCAATTAAAGAAATAGCCCAAACCATTCAGACACATGAATTTATAACACTGTCAAATACACTGACATAAAAACAGAAACCAATGTCCCCAACAAATCACTTCATTTCATAAAATTGTTTTATACTAAACTGACTAAACGTGAGGTCATAAAGTTCTGCTTTAGGTTTCAATTCAAGCCAATTGGTCCGTGACCACTGATGCAGCACCTACTGCATAGCAGGCAGTGGATTAGGCCGGGTAAAGTATCGGTGTTCCGAGTGCTCCCAGAAGAGCTCAGATTTACTCTCCAGCTGGTCACCAAGCTCTGACGACATGCCCCACCTGACGGGACTCACCTCGTGCAAGGTGGGCAGCTCATCGCGAGCCCTGTGGTACTCGGTCACACACTCCAAGCAGTAGCAGAGGTCTTCGTCTGCGGTGTGGAACTCCTCTGCTGCGGGGGACGCGCCGCCCGGGGCCCTGGACGCGTAGCGCTGCAGGAAGTCGGCAGTGGAGGCCCCGCCCGGGGTGCACCAGCAGCATGTGCTCATCCTGAACCTGCGTCCGAAGCAGAGAGTGGAGCACCCACAGAAAGACCAAACACTCCAGGCCTGCTCTGCGTGAAGAACGGTGTGCTTCCTACTAAGGACCCTCATCCTCACCTTAGGATGTGCCTCCACCACTTCCAGAACAGTCTTCTAGCCAGCTTGACAGTTATTGACTAAACTCAAATCTGAGAACACTCAAAAAAGCCTTTTCTTTGACACATGAAAAACATAATAAAACGAAAGCAGTTTGTTAGTAATCAACATAAAGCAATATACAGTTGTTCTATAGAAAAGGCTCAAAACTATGTAATACCGATGGAAAATGTACTGAGACAGAGAGCTGTCAGTGTTTCCAAAGCACAGATTCTGCCATGTTCTACTGATGTACTTAAGCTGAATCAAAAGCTCAGGAAATATTTCACATTCCCCAAAACCACGTACCAGAAATCCCTGCAAGCATAAAAATCCATACAAACTAGTCCATACCAGTACCAAAAACACAGAGAGAGAAGACTTCCGCTTGTCTAGAAAGCGCGTTCACACGGGGACCTGCCCCAGGGAACACGCTCACTGCCCGCCTTGCACTGTAGCACTCTGACGCTAGCCTGCCGCTACTAAGCTTGACGCCTGTGTTTTGGCTGTCTCCAACTCTTTGTTTTTATGCCATCGGAGCCTCTACCACCCAAACTCAAGCGGAAAGGTTAAGTAAGATTAAATAGTTTTCCAAATATTAGCAGTCTCAAGGAGGGCAAAGTAGCAAGACTGTACCAGGAAATCCCCAAAAGCAAATGTGTCAAAGATGTGGGTGAAGATCTCTGAGGCAGGTTTATCAGAACTGCAGACGGCACGAAACTGAAGATCATCAAATAGGATGGAAGCCAAAATCCAGAGAGATCCCCAAATGACGTCATAAAAATAAGCTAGGATCTGTATTTTTATCCCTAACTAAATGCACATAAAAGCAAACAGGATGGACACTGTTGGTAACAGGGTACTGTGGCTACACAAAAAGCAACTGTACTCATTAAAATAAAGAAGTCAAGGAGAGAGGGAGGAGAAGAGGAGACGGGCTGGGGCGGCGCAAACACAAGCTGAGCCGGAGCGTCCCCGAGCGCCGGGAAGGGCTCCGAGTGCGAAAGGACGGCCCGTCACAGGGACACAGGAGCCAACCTGAACAAGCTCGCGACGGCCGGAGCTCAAACGTTTGGAACAAAACCAACGTAGTAACTGAGTTACGGCCCCCATTATAAATATACATGAATCCACACCAGCATAAACACACGACCGACCGAAGAAACAAATGTGGGAGAAGGGGCACATCTTCCTTTTAGAAGAATTCCAAGTAATATACTGATACTCACCTCGCCATTCCGGGAGGCAGCCCTTAATCCCACCCCGTCTCGGATGTGGGCCGGACTCGGTGAATCGCCCCCACAGAGGGGAGCCCGGAGAGGGACACCAGTCGTTTCACGGCGGAGACACCCGGCAACCACCACCTCACCCAGCTGATGGAGGTCAACGCCATCTGTGGAAGTCCCATTTGCAACCCCTACACAATGTGGTCGGGATGCCACGCCACCTCCGGACCGCGCCTCTCCAAAACCCACGGCACCCTCTGTGCACGAGAAAACCCCAGACAAGCCCGAAGTGCCACGCGAAGGGCTGTCAGCCGGTCTGGAAAGAGGAGAAACGTGCACCCAAAGGGGAGCACCGCAGTGTTCTTTCCCATGGGGCTACTAGCGGACTGGGAACTGGGCTTGGCAATTATCCGACAAACCTCATCTTGAGAAACTTGACCTTCAGTATGCAGTGAATGTAAAATATCAGCCTAACAGGAAAAAAAAGCATCAAACCCAACTGTAAACTTAACCAAGTTCACCTCAGAAACCAGACGGCCCTAACTGACACTCTCCCGTCGGGTGATGCACCCCCCCCCCCCCCCACGGAGGTGAGACCCGTCCGTCCCGCTGTCCGGGTCAAGCACAGACACGCACACAGAGATCTGTAACACGTTACCAGCACTAATACGCAGGGGAAATCCACGGGACAGAAATGTCTGAAATGCTTCCTCTCAGGGAGAGAGAAGGGACAAAAAGGGTGAAGAAACGTGAACTGAGTACCTGGGAACCTCCACTCGGCAGTGTGAGGGTTCTGAGTGTGCGCGGCCCTGAGGTGCGGAGTGCGGACTCTCCGCTAAGGACGTCTCGACAGGAACCGCATTTTACTGCTGAGGCTTCTGGGGCACAGTGCCAGTTCTCCAAAATAAACTCATTTTCTTAAAAATCCTTACTTTCTTCTTACACCCATGATTAAAGACTTACACATAAATGCATAAGTATAATCAAATACATGTACTTGTCTTATGAATTGATTTTTAAAATTTATTAAATATTAACTGTGTACTTTCTTCATGCTCCTAAAAATAATTTAGCACAGCTTTCAACATTAAAGTACTACATGTAGAACAGGACAAGTAAAAAGGAGATTTAAAAAGAGCAAGGAGTCCAAACTATTTAGAAAAATGTAATTTCACTAAGTCCTAAATTTGGAGCACTTCCCGAAAAGCAAAGCAAAAAGACGACGAGACGACGAGCACACCCAGTCCTCGCGAGGAAAACACAAGCGTGTCCACTCGGCGGCAGTGCCCCACCCTGCCTGACACCAGCGCTAACTACACCACATGTTATTCATGCCTGCAAACTAGGGACTGCCAAGTAGCACAATGAATAGCATTAGTTTTTGCAGGATGTAAAATTACTGCATTCAAAGAAGAGTTGCATTTTCCTAAAAGGCCACTACACATCACCAGGAAGTTAAGTCTGCAGAAGCTACTTGTTTCCAGTGATCTAATTCAACGTGGGGAGTGAACTCATATGCAAGAATAGAAAGTGAAACTTCTTGGAGATTTCTCAAACATCAATTATTTTGAGCATGACTTGGCAGATAAATGATTGTAGTCAACCGAAACTGAAAAAAAAAAACGACAGGACCAAAGTAAAATAATAACTTTAAATATATATAACCTATTAACAGAGCAGCTAGCAAAAGAAACCTTCCATTAAGAAAACCATGGCCCTGGCCAGTGTGGCTCAGTTGGTTGGCGCATCATCCCGTAACTGAAAGGTTGCAGGTTCGATTCCTGGTCAGGGCACGTGCGATCCCCAGTCTGGCCAGTCCGGGCGTGTGCAAAACGCAAGCAAACAATGTTTCTCTCTCTCTAAAAGCAATGAAAAAAATGTACTCAGGTGAAGATAAAATAAATAAAAAGAAAAAAAATGACAGAACCTGCTTTTTATTTCACTGACTCAGAGAGCTGGGCTGCTCCCACACTAAAAGCAGAACTAAATTTTCTCAACCAAATGGAAGTCACTGCCATGTAACAGGTAAACACCATGGAACCTACGACGTCTGGGGGACTGGCTACAGGGCACACCAACAACAGAAGCACGTTTCTGGGAGTCCTCGCAGACAGCCACATGTGTATGGTTACGTCCCCAAATCTAAAATTGTCACTGGCCTAACTGAGCCCAGCAAATTCTGAACAGGGTATATATTGTAATTTTCCTTTCAAGGGAAAACTACTGGTAGGTGCCCACGAATCCTGTTAAGTTTTTGCCCAACTCGGTTCTTCTGGAAGCCAGTTTTGTTACTTTCATCAGCTTTCTAACCGTGTGCACCATTGCTGAACCACAGATGGGGTGTCCAGGGAATCCTCAAGCTGCAGAACAGAACTAAGAACCAGCCCCCAAGGATCAAACAGAGTCCATTTTACTGACATCTGTCTTATACAAGGCAGTGGGTGCGTCAACACCACAGGACGCTCCACCAGAGGCAGAGCCGGAACTTTCCAGAGCCTTGCCCTGGAAACGTCATTTTTCAGTATTAGCTGGCCAGAAAATTCAAACAACAATAAACTTTTTTTTCTAACCTTCCCAGCTAAACAACTTGGGGGAAAAAATCCAGATTCATTTGCTCAGCAAAGCCCTCTGCACTCCGGTTCCTACCCTGACATTCACTGAATGCTTCCACACGAGTCCTTCATAATCTCTGCATCCCCAAATCCGGCGGGCAGATTCAATTTAAAACGCGCAAAAAAAGAAAAAGAAGAGAAAGAAGGAAAAGAAAAGAAAATGCTGGCCATGCATTCCTTGGCTAAGACAACACGTTGCTGTCCTTTCCGTCCTTCTGCTCACATCTCCTTCACTGTCGCCTCTCCCTTGCTGCCTGTCAACGCCAGGAGCCCAAAGGCGTCCAGTCCTCAGGGCTCTAACCTCTCATTTCACGCCCTTTCTGGGTGACCGAATCCCAGCCACTGCTTCAACTGCTGCCTGTTTTGAGGCTTCCCAAAAACAGAAGATATGCAGAACTCTTAATGCAATCTTAGCTACATTTCAGCTACTCAATAAGCGACAGCCCAGCCAAGAAGCCCACAAAGATGGGCTCACCGTCCGGCGGCATGGTGAGTCTCTGTTCACCATGCAGCACCTCGGAGCAAACAGAACCAGGGAAAACTAAGCCCTGCCCGCACATCTGCTTTTTTCTGTGCTCCTGCCATTACTACTTCACTCTCGGTGAGCTGCCTCCGCCTCGGTTTAATACCGTACGTTCTCACTGCCTGGATCACCGACGAAGCCTGCACAGGATTCTTCTGCCTCTTGTTTGGATTCACCACCAATTCTTCTTCCAAAATGCTACCCAACGGCAAAGGGAAAAACTGGATTTTGAAAGCACAAACGACTCCCCCCCAGTCTCGGGGTAAGATGCACATTTCTGAGCTCACCGCACAAGGCCCTCCTTGACCTGGCTTCAGCATCCCCTGCACACGCTCGCTCTCCCGGGAAAGCTTCCCGGCGTTGGGGCTTCCTGCCTTCATGGACGCTCACCCATCTGCCCTGAGCCCCCGCCCTTGCCACCTCTGCCTGCTTCTCACCCCTGAGGGCACACCAAACTTACCACAGAAACTTAAAAAAAAAGGGGGGACTTCCGGCCAAGGTGGAGGCGTAGATAGACACACTGTGCCTCCTCACACAACCAAGAGAGGGACAACAACAATTCAGAAACAGAATAACCACCAGAACTGACAGAAAACTGAACTGTATGGAAGTCGGACAACCAAGGAGTTAAAATGGACACCTTCATCCAGACCGGTAGGAGGTGCGGAGTCGCGCAGCAGGGCGGAGAGGGGGTGCACAGCACAAAGAGCTGTGGCACCGGGCGCGCTAGGCATCCCAGGCCTGCAAGGCATCCCGGGCGTGCAAGACCGCAGCGGGCAGACCCTGGCCCGCAGGCGGTGGCAACCGGCAGACCCAGCAAGGCAGCGATCGTGCAGCGAGACACTAAGCACAACACAGGGTGCCAGCGCCGGGAAATAAAGCCTAAAAGCACCGATTGAAAACACCTGTGGGGGCTGAGGCGCAGGGAGACTCCCAGCCTCACAGGAGAGTTCTTTGGAGAGACCCAAAGGGTCCTAGAATGTACACAAGCCCACCCACACGGGAATCGGCATCAGAAGGGCCCAGTTTGCTTGGGGGAAGCGGTGGAAGGGACTGAAGTCCAACAGAGAGTGGAGCAAGCGCCATTGTTCCCTTAGACCCTCCCCCATGTACAGCATCACAACCCAGCAAGTGGGTTGCACCGCCCTGGTAAACACCAAAGGTTCTGCCCTTCATACGTAACATGCATGACAAGACAAGAAACAAAAGGCCCAAGTGGAAGAACAGGTCAAAGCTCCACAGCAAATACAACTAAGCAACCAAGAGATAGTCAACCTATCAGAAGCACAGTTTAAAGCACTGGTGATCAGGATGCCCACAGACTTGGTTGAATTTGATTGCAAATTAGATGAATAAATGAAGGCTATGCTAAGTGAAATAAAGGGAAATATACAGGGAACCAATAGTGATAGGAAGGAAACTGGGACTCAAATCAATGGAGTGGACCAGAAGGAAGAAAGAAACAACAGAAAAGAATGAAGCAACAAGAATTCAAAAAAATGAGAAGTAAGTTAGGAACCTCCAGGACATCTTTAAACATTCCAACATCCAAATTATAGGGGTACCAGAAGGGGAAGAGGAAGAGCAACAAGTGGAAAAGTTATTTGAACAAATAATGAAGGAGAACTTCCCCAATCCAGGAAAGGAAATAGACTTCCAGGAAGTCCAGGAAGCTCAGAGAGTCCCAAAGAAGTTGGACCCAAAGAGGAACACACCAAGGCACGTCATAATTACATTACCCGAGATTAAAGATAAGGAAAGAATCTTAAAAGCATCAAGAGAAAAGGAGACAGTGACCTACAAAGGAGTTCCACCAGACTGTCAGCTGATTTCTCTCTCAAAAGAAACCCTGCAGGCAAGAAGGGGCTGGAAAGAAGTATTCCCAGTCATGAAAGGCAAGGACCTACATCCAAGACTTCTATCTAGCAAAGCTTTCACTTAGAATGGAAAGGCAGATAAAGGGCTTCCCAGATAAGGTTCAAATTCAAGGAGTTCATCATCACCAAGCCCTTATTTTATGAAATGGTAAAGGGACTTATCTAAGAAAAGGAAGATAAAAAAACATGTACAGTAAAATGACAACAAACTCACGAACAACCAAACCTGAAACAAAAACAAAAGCAAACTAAGCAAACAATGAGAACAGGAACAAAACCGCAGAAATGGAGATCACATGGAGGGTTATGAACAGGGGAGAGGGAGAGAGGGGGAAGGTACAGAGAATAAGTAGCATAGATGGTAGGTAGAAAATAAGGGGAAAGCAAGAATAGTATGGGAAGCGTAGAAGCTGAAGAATTTACGACACATGGACATGAACTAAAGGGGGGGAAGGTGGGTGGGAGAGGGCGTGCAGGGTGGAGGGGAATGAAGGGGGGTAATGGGACAACTGTAATAGCATAATCAATAAAATATATTTTTAAAAAATAAGATACTACTGATAAAATTCAGACTCAATTTTTAAAAAGAACTCCACCAGTGATTCTGATCAAAAGCCAGATTTGAGAACTACCCACAACAGCCAACCCGCCCCCGAGTGCCGCCCCGTCCGGGGCCTGTCTGACCCACCCTCCCCTTCCAGTCCATCTCCAGTGACCTCCTGCATTACCCTAGGACTCTGTACGTTTCTATCGCTGGTCTTCCACGTTGGGAAGAGCCATTCTCAGAAATTCTGAATCTGTAGGCAAGGATCTACTCTGCATAATTTCTTTTACTCCTGCTTGGCACATACTACATGACAAAAAAAATGTCTTAACAACTTACAGAGACGCGATCCTCTCAGTGGCGATTCCTAGGTGTGTCTGTGAGAGGGTGAGAATTTGCCTTCGTATGTACCCAGACTCTGGCCCAAAAAGAGTATTTCTGAAACCAAAACAAAACAAAAAAAAAAAAAACACCAAACAAATGGATAAAGCAGTGTTTACTATACTCTCCCCTGAGTTCCACATCAGCGCTACTAGGTAGAGCCAGATGTTACCATTTGATGAAAAAGCCCAGGCTCACAAGCTCAGACAACTCGCCTGCGGGTGCACAAATGATGACGGTGCAACTGGATGCCAACCTGGAGGGGACTCTGGTCCCCCTGGGTCAGGCCCCGCACGGTCAGAAGGGCCCCCAGTGGGCGGGCACACGCAGGTGTGATCAGCCCCAGGATCCGCACTAACTCATCCCTGTCACTGTCCACGTGAAACTCTCCCTCCTAACCGCAGGGTTCTTTTCCCGCCCAGCCTCGTGCCTGGTCCCCTCCGGGCCGCGAAGGTGGGGGTGGGGGCGGCAAAGCCCCTCTGACCGGCTGTCAGCGATCCATCACCTTCAGGAGGAGCAGGGAGGGCTCAGGTGGCCATTTGGGGGAGGCCCTCTCTCCAAAGGGAGAGACTTGGAGCAGGGGAAAGGCAGGGCCGTTGAGAGGACCAACACTTTCTGGAGAGAGACCTGCCCAACGACCCCCACAGACGCCACACGACGCCCAAACCAAAAACAGCTCACAGGACACCGCACTGTGGACAACGCGGAAAAGTGGGGTCCCAGCGCCTGGGATCCCGGAACTCAGGAGGCACCAGATGACGACCCACCAGGCACTGCTGGGGTGCTCCCTTCTGCAGCGCCGGGACCCTCCGAACAGCAGCCGAGCTCCCGCCGCCCCACCCCCACCCCGGCCCGCCCTGAGCATTCGCGCCGCGGCGGTTACTCCGAGCGGCCCCGCGCGCACCAGCCGCGCACCCTCTCACGTGTGCAACCTCCAGCCCGCCGCTCTCCTCACCCAGCCAGGCCTCGCGTCGGCTGCTAGCCGGGCTCCATGCCTCTGCTCCCTACTCGACCTAGGGCGGAAGCGCCAGGCCGCACCCCGCCGCCCAACCCACGGGCGCCGCGACCGAAGAACCTGCCCCCGCGCGCCGTCGGCCGCCCGCAGGCCCCGCCCCGGCCTCCAGTTTGTTTTGGTGCGCGGAGGGGCGGGCCGTGGGAAGAGAAGCGCCGCGGCTCCGCGAGGGGGCCGCGCCCCGGGCACCGCCGTCACTTCCGGGACACAGGGCCCGCCAGTCAGGGGGGCCCGCCAATCAGGAGGGTCCGCGCGGTGGGGGCGGAGTCTGCGGCCTCGGCGCGAAAGCGGCCGGGTCAGGCCCCTCCCCCACCGCCTCCCGCCCCCGCCCCGCCCCCCTAGGGGAGGTGCCCGGCCTCCCGCACTCAGGTCGACTCCGGCACCTACCTTTGCGCCTCCGTCGCTGTCCTTGAGTGTGTTCCGCGCTTCGGCCGTCTCAGGACGGGGTGGTACGGATTGCGAAGGAGTTTTTTTCCTTTTTAGATTCCCCTTTAAAGACCCCACACACATGTAATGAACACGGGATAGAGGGACAGACAGACTCGCATTCCAGAAGAGGGATACATTAAGTACTGACACTCGGGAGAACACACAACACTCTGCAAGCCGGGAAAACCACGGAGGCACCAAGTCCCATAGAGAGGAACCATACAGGCCGTCCCGGGAAAACCACCGCCGGAGAGCCTACCCCCCTTTTCTTAACACGTACTTGGAGGACGCGCCGCGGCCACCACCAGCTTTTACTCGGACAGACAGAAAAGGCGGAAAAACCAAACGGCTGCGAACGCCGACCACCGCCGTCCAGGGAGCAGGAGGCCGAGCCAGGCCCGACCCTGCGATCCGCCCGGTCGGCGACGGTCCCTCCGCGCACAGCCTTCGCGGGAGAATGAGGGGCGGCGAGCGCAGAACGCGGAGGGCGCTGGGGACCGAAGGTTCCAGCGAGGGGGCGTGGCCCCCGAGACCCCGGATGTGGCCGTTATGGTAATGAGCCGCCAACGTGGCCGTTGAAGCTGGAGCACGTGACCGGAACCGTTCCTTCTCCTGGCTTCTCGGGTTTTCTGCCGTGAAACAGTGTGGCCGCCTTCAGTTGACGCGTTCGAACGAGCAAGTTACGGAGCCGCCCCAGACCATGCCGCACTGTCGGTTGCACATGCATTCCTTTTTAAGGAACATTCCCGGGGGATGCTTTTGAACATGCGGACCCGGATGCCTATCGAAAATAAACTGGACAAGAAAGAGAGGCGGTGGCGAAAGTCACCTGGACGTCTACTTCTCCGAGATAACTGTTTCCATGCCTGTCTTGGCAGAATTCATTACATACGTTATTGAAGTGGACACGGGGAGGAGGGGCGCAAGGGGAACAGATGGTAATGAATGAAGACAATAAGAATACATTTTAAAATGTATACAGTAGATGTGAAAGAATGTTGTAAAATACTACGCCCCTCGCCACGGGGTGAGAGACCATCTCATCCCGAACACCGCGCGGAGGAGCTCCGCTAGACACTGTAGCTGGGGCTGGGGACACAAAAATCAGAAAAAAAAAAATAAAATTTTAGTTTGGAAATGTTTTAATAGTCCACCACGTATTTGTGTTTATAACAACATGGTCATAAACCACGTCCTGCGATATGTTTAAGGAGGAGCGTGCCCATGAAGGCAGAAAGGCGCTGAGGTCCCACTGAAGTCGTCATTGGATCTTGCCTCTGAGCCCTCCGTGGTCCTTACCATTTTACCGTATTTATTTTTAACCCGTAAGCAATATATTAAGTTTTGCATGCTTTTTAACCTTATCAAATAATACTGAGTGCATTTTTCTGCAAACTGCTTTTTACTCTCAACAGTATGTCCTAAGGTTGACCCGAGGTACAGCCGGGAGCTGTAAAGCCCAAAACTTCAACAACGTGAGGGTGTTCTTTAAAATACTGCAATAAGATTGACGATTGCTGAGTTGGGAATAAAATTAATATTCCTTTGGAATGAATGGCACGAATTACAATTTTAAAGGGAAAAAAATCTGCAAATATAAAAAAATCTAGAAAAAATATAAATGGCAAACACAATTCTAGAAAGTTACATATTTTGGCTTCATAAACTTTACCTGGACAATAAGGTTGAAGATCATTTTCCACAGAGAGCACAAAGATAACACAGGCCTTTCTCCAGCAAGGTTGATGACGTTTTATTAAGGATTTGTAAATGTTTCTTTCAAATTGATGATTTGGTTTGCTCATGTCATGTACATTTTTACATACAAGCTATAAAATTTTAGAGCACATAACACTTCTGGGGTTGTCACCGAGCCCAAACAGTCAGAACTGATGACACCTTATTAGCTGATGTTGCCCTTTGCAGACCCATGTTGTGAGTTTTATATGCTGGTATTTTATGTCGAAATGTTAGTACTTTTTCCAGCTCGATCCCTCCTCATCATCATTTGGATTATTGACAACCCAAAAGCCTATTACTCATTATCTCTCTTTGAAATGGATCTCTTCTAATGAATTATTGAATTTTTTTGTTGTATTTCCTCTTGATGACATCATCATTCACCCTCACTTTTGTTTCATATTCCATTGATTTTTGTCAACATTATATATTTATCTCAAGTACATACCATAAAATATACAGATTTTAAGTGTATAGTTTGAGGGGTTTTAACAACTTCATAATGTTGTGCAATCATCTTCAGTCAAGATGATGAAACCTTTTCTTCACCCCAGAACACGCCCTGAGGCCACCTTGCAGTAAACCACCTTCTCCACACTCGCCTGACGGGACTGCTGGTCTGACTTGTCACCACAGGTTCATGGAACTGGTACAGGACTTTCGATCAATGGAATTATACACCGTGTACTCTGTTGTCTTTTGTTCAGCGTGAAATGCATGAGGTTCACAGATGTTGCCTCTGTCAGTGATGCATTTTTTTAAGATTTTATTTATTTATTTTTTTAGAGAGGGAAGGGAGGGAGAAAGAGAGAGAGAGAGACATCAATGTGTGGTTGCTGGGGGCCATGGCCTGCAACCCAGGCATGTGCCCTGACTGGGAATCGAACCTGCAATGCTTTGGTTCGCAGCCCGCGCTCAATCCACTGAGCTACGACAGCCAGGGCAGCAATGCATATTTATCGCGGAGGAAGAGGTCACTACAATCGGCATACTGCAGTTTGTGTTTCTCACTCATCAGGTCGATTTTGGGTGGTTTCAGGTTTTCTGCCATCATGAAGAAAGCTGTTCTGAACATGACTGTACAAGTCTTTTAATGGATGCATGTTTTCATTGAACTTGGATAGAGATCCAGGGGTGGAATTTCTGGATTCCAGTAGGGGTGGATTTAACAATCCATTAGGAGGATTTACGATCCATTTTCCAAGGGGGATTTTTGCCATCTTATATTTCTATAAGCAACATACAAGACTTGCGTTTGCTGCACTACCTTGTCAACAATTTCCATTGTGAATCTTTGAAATTTCAGTCATCCCAGTGGGTTAAATTGGAGCTCTCTGTTGTCCTTGATAGCCAGCGCTGTAGAACATCTGGTCACGTACTTATTGGGAATTGGTATGTCTTCTTTAGGAATTGTCTGCACGAGTCCTTTGGCCGTTGTTTTTAAAAAAGGACTTTACAGGACTCCCGACCTACAGGACTGGCAGATAATAATTTTGTGTGGTTTTTAGGCCACTAAATTTGTGGCAATTCATTATATTGGCATAGAAATTGAATACAGATTTAGTTAAAATTTCAAATTTTCTGTTTGCCACCGAGATAGACGTGGAATTGATTTTTATATATTGATCTTGCCTCTAGCAACTCAACAGACATATTTACTCTAACACCTTCTCTGTAAGTTTTTTTTTTTTTTTATTTCCTACATTCACAATCAAATCACCTGAGGGGAAAGGGCAGTTTTAGAGCTTCATTTTAGTTCACGTGGGTTTCACTTCCTTCTCTTGCTTGACTGGGTTGGCTGGTTCTCGGCGGAAGTGTTCAGAGTAGGCACGCTTTCTCCGATCTCAAAGGGAAAAATTTCAACGTTTCACTTTTTGAAATAACGTTTGCTGAGGTTGTTGCAGATACCTTTGGAGAAAGTTGCCCTCTATTTTGATTGGATGGATTTGAAATTCATCAAATGCAAATCGTTTTTATTCTTTAGTACCATGGGGGACTGTACTGATGGGTTTTTTTCCCCCATTTTGGGAAGGAGGTATTGAAACAGACGCAGACACAGAGCGGGAGCTGGTGGTTGCTGGGGGTGGGGGTTGGAGGGACTGGGCGAAAAGGGTGAAGGGACTGAGAAGCGCAGCTTGGCAGTCACAGAGCAGTCCCAGGGAAGTAAGTAAAGCATAGAAAGCACAGTCAGTGACATTTGATGACCAGGTGGGGCCAGGTGGGCACAGGGATATCAGGGAGCATGGTCTGAAGTGTCTGACGGTCTGACTGCCGTGCTGTCCACCCGAAACCAACACAAAATAGACTGAAAGAAAATTTTTGTGTAGTGTGAGGGAAACAGGGGCCTCCGATAGGGTTGGAAAGATGAGCGATGGAAGGTTGTAATATTTGTGGACACTATGATGCAGAGTGAGTGCCGCCCCACAGTGCACCGGGAAACCATTTCAGGGGGTCTCAACAGGTGGGGAACGCAAGCAGTTCCGCAGCTGCGGGGAGTGCGGGTTGGAGAAGGGCCGGTGCAGACGGCGTCAGCCAGACCAGTGGCGTCCGGAGAGGACGGCGTCTGAGGTCCTGGGAGGGGATAGGGGAGCAGAGTCCAGGCGGGGGCGTGGGGGCAGAATGGGTGGGGGGCGGCTAACAGACTGGACGTGGCAGGACCAGGGGAGAGGACAGCAGCAAAGCTGGGTGACCCTAGGGGTTTCCGACTCAGCGAAGTGAAAGTGCCACCACTGGCAGAGGCGAGAAAGCCTGGGGGCAGGTGACAGGTTTTCAGTTGTGTGGGCGACTAAAATGTTCTTTGTAACATCTTAAATTTGACACATAGGACCCCTCAGTGGAGATGGCAAGTAGCAGATGGAGCTTTTAGCCTGGAGTTCAGGGGAGAATCTGACCCATAACCACATGTCAGGGAGCCGTCGGCAGACACGGTTATTTCCGAACACTGGGAGCGCCTGAAGAGCCCCAAATATCCCCGAGGAACAAGGACACTTAGAGGTTGGGAGGAGTGGGGCAGAAAGTGCTACCTAATTCTGTACGACTAGACACACTGAAGGGTGGGCAGCACTAGAGTTTGTTCACATGGTGGGAACGGTCCAGAACAGGAGAGACAGGCAATCCAGGGGGTCAAAGTCTCCACCATGACCTCGGGGGACAGGCACAGGGCTCAGGGGCAGGGGTCAGCGTGTAGCAGGGGGAGTGAGTGTCCCTGGAGGCCAGTTTGTCTGGCCGGGGGAGGAAGCAGGGTATCGGTGTCCACTGGCTTCACCTCTCTCGGTGACCCGTGCAAAGGGCAGAAAAGGGCGTGGAGAGGCTGGGTGTTCCAAGCAGCCGGCGTGGGAAACGGAAAAGCAAGCCTGGAGGAGAGATCAAAGCCGGCTTCTTCGGAGATGCGGTGTGTCCACTTGAGGGTTACAGTCACGGAAGTGAAACCAGCCAGCTGAGCAGGGAGACGCGGGTTGCGGAACATTCAGCTCTCCGGGTGCGGGGAGCAGGTGATGGGAGGAGGTGATGGGAGGAGGTGATGGGAGGGCTCCCGCAGATCCGGGGCCTCAAACAGAGAAGTACCACAAAGGGAGAGAGTGAATTGCCGTGGGTGTCCCAAGGCCGGGACCATAACAATGGACTCTGGCACCTTGGGCAGGCCGGGAGCGGGCCGTCGGCTTGTCGAATGCGGTCGAGGAACCGGGACGGTGGTGTGGATTTCAGGAAACGAGCTGGAAATGGCGTCCAGAAAGTGTCAGGTTGTATGCGGGCCAAATCTGCGCTGTCTGCTGCTGCGTCCTCAGCTCAGACCACATGTGGCTGATCCGGTGCGGCGGGCGCTTGCGGAACTGAAAGCATCGTGGTCAGAATCCAGGCCCTGGTCTGATGATGAGACTCTTTCTTCTTCTTTTTATTTTTACTTTGAGAGTACATTTATTTATTTATTTATTTTTAAAAAGACTTCATTTATTTATTTTTAGAGAGGGAAGGGAGGGAGAAAGAGAGAGAGAAACATCAATGTGCGGTTGCTGGGGGTCATGGCCTGCAACCCAGGCATGTGCCCTGACTGAGAATCGAACCTGCGATGCTTTGGTTCGCAGCCCGCGCTCAATCCACTGAGCTACGCCAGCCAGGGGAGAGTACATTTATTAAAGTCAGGGACAGTGAACAAGGAAGGGCTTAGGATGGAAGAAGCCACAGGAGAGAGCCCAGGCGGGGCTGCTGGGGCTCTCCAGAAACGTTGTTACAGGAAGGGAAAGAGCCGAGACGGGGCTGCTGTGAGCTCCCTGGAGGTCAGAGAGAAGGGGGCCCTGGAGACCGACTGGTTCAGGGGTTGGCCCGGAACGAGCTGCCGCTGCCCACTGCTCCCCTGGTGCATGTCTCGTGGGGACCCTTAGAGTTTAGGAGACGGGTGACTGTGGAGGGAGGAAGGGGGGAGGGGAAGGTGTGGTCAGGCCCCTGGGAGGGACGGCACACTTTAAGACCTCCGCTCTGCCACAGTGTCCTGGGCCCCTTTGTTGCGTAATTAAGTCCGTAAGTGAAAATAAACAGCTGAAAACATGCTTATTGAAAAGTGTAAAATAGGGGGAGGGGAGTGGGATGTGTTAGAGGGTATGGGGGGTGGATGGTAATTAAAAAAACACAATGAAAAAGAACAGTGTAAAATGACCAAGAACTGGGCCAAGAACTCCAGCAGGGCACCGTCAAGTCTGCTGGCAAACACCTGGGCTCGTCCTTGGTCTTGTTTCTTGAGACAGGCGTTCTCTCTCTCTGTCCTTGTTCACTTCCTGAGCCTCCGCTTCCTCCTCCTCCCGGGTGCCCCCTCTGCCCTTCCTGCTCCAGCTGGGACCCAGGGCTGTCCGTCCCCCGGCGCCACGCCCCTCCTCACGGAGCGAACCAATCGGTCTCTTCTGTCCGTCCTCTTCGAAGCACAGACTGGGGATGCACCTCGCAGTCTGCACGTCCCAACCCCCACCCACAGTTCCCTTCCCGCCCTCCCCCACAGGCATTCCACGTGCCAGCCCGCCCTTCCGAGTTCCTGCGTTTGTGTGCTGTACATCTCCCCACCCCCGGGGGCAGGCACACGGGAGAGAGAGGAGAAAGTGATACAAATCCAACTTCTACAAAGCGCGCACGTTTACTGGGTGAAGTTCACAGCATGGGTACATGCAGATGACTCACTGTCGTCCTCTACATTTGCGGTGTGCACGGGACCCCGATTTCCTCCCCGGGGAACGGACCCTCTCAGCCATTCGGGGGATGCTGGGCTACATCCTGGCTCCAGGCGCACGCCCAGTGTGGCTGCAGCCAGCCCTGTCTTCCTGGCTACAGTGAGAGGTCAGAGTTGGGCACAAGCTTCAATCTGGGCATGAGGAGCCAAACCCGGAGCTTAAGTCAGAACAACAGGAAGAGACCCTTTCCTTCCTCTGGGTGGGTATCGGGGCTGCAGAGACTGGGGCTGTGTGAAGGGGGCCCTGTGTGGCCCGGAGAGGAGGTGGGGTCCGGAGAAGGCCCTCCCCCGGGATGTTCAGTCGTGACCTTGCGGGCCCCTCAGATGTCGGTTGGAGTTTTTGGCCTTTGTAACGCACACACGCGCTCTAACCTGTAAACGCATAAGCCCACCGCCCAGAGAAATAAAACATCACCAACATCTCGGGTTCGATGCTTCCCACATATTTTAATATACCGATATACACACATTTCATTTTCTTATTTTACAAAATTGAGAAAATATATAAACTCTTCTGAAATATCTCAGTTGACAATACTGTTCACCTCTTTTTGTGTTAACCAAATCTGTCAGCATTTAACATTATTGCATAATATTCCATTCTAGGAATATACTGTTACTTAACAAGTTTCCTATTAAGAAACATTTACATTTTTTGTCTGTTTTTCACATGGTAAAGGTGCCATTCTCATATACTGGTTCTAGTACTTCATTAGGTTCTGGAGGTGAAACTCCTGGATCACAGAATACGTACATTCTCAAAGGTCCGCGGCATCTCACCAGACTGTTTGCCAAAGGAACACACAATTCACATCCCCATGCGCACGGAGGCTGGCGTGTTTGAGAGAGGAGTGACAGAAGGCAAAACGCTTTCTAAAAAGAAAACACTTTTGCTCACTGAGTATTTATTGAGTGCCTGCATTTGCACAGTGCTGTTTGGGGTTCTGGGGAGAGTCTGGGGACCCGGGACCCTGAGGCTGGTTTGTCTGTGTTCTCCCTTCCTCAGCCATGGCCGGTTTGGGAAAATGTCTAGCTTTGTAGAGAGTTAACCAACGTCACAGTGTGATGTAACTCAAGTGATGATGGGGAGAACACTTGGGGGACATTGGGGCTGCACCCTGGCGCAGACAGGGGCGTCACTGTGCACGGGACGTGGCTTACCCCCACTGTCCCTCCTGTACACTCGCTGCCTCGTGCCGCTGCGGCGAGGAGCCTGGAACGCGGCTTCCCTGCCCAGCTGGGTCCTGCTCAGGGGCTGCCCATGGGAGACACATGTTCTGGCTGAGGCGGCGTGGCGGAGAAGGACCGAGAAGGGACAGAGCGGCATGAACTCCAGGCAGCCCAGAGTTCCCGGGGGAGCACCCGCCGGCGCCCGGACCCCACAGGAGTCCCTCCCTGCCTGCAGCACCTGAAGTGTGTTGCTTTCCTGACCGACAGGGGAGCCCTTGCGACTCCCGGGGGCCCGAGGGTGCACGAGACCCGCACCGCAGCTTCCCCGTCTAAGAGCCAGTTTCTCTGGAAGAATGGAAGACGGTGCGGGCTTCTCCCCCGCGGGCGGCCTCCAGGCGGGTTCCAAGACTGGCTCGGAGAGGGCGTCCTGTGAGAAGAGCTCACCCACTTGCCCACCGGGAGGCTGCCCGGGCAGACGAGCTGCACGGGCGCCACTCGGGCAGGAACTGAAAGCAGCCGAGGAAACGCCGCGCCCACCACTTCCCGCTGACGCTCACCTACACGTGGTCGCCGAGAGCCAGAGCGCGGCCTCAGCAGCGGGGCGGGGCCGGAAGCGCAACGGGCGAGCCCCCGGAGCTGGGGCGCTCTCACCGTGCTGGGACGCGCACAGCGGCCCCCTGGCAAGGAAGTGTTTACAGGACGCGGCCACCCTCCGTTGCTAGGGGACTTGGGGTTCTGTGGTTCCAGAAGCAGCGTCAGCTGCCGTCGTTGTCAACGTGACCGGAGTGTGAAATCAACGCCCGTGCTCCTCTTCCTTTCCAGGCAAACTTGAACCTGGTGACGTCCGTTCCCAAAGCTCCACAACCCCCGCTGTCGCGTCTGCGCCCTCTGTGTCTTCTCAAACTGCCCACACTGGGAACAGCTTCGCTGGCACACGTAAGCAAACACGACCAAGCGCAGAGAGAGGGCGAGAAGCGCCCGGCACCCCCTTAGCTCCCCCCAGCTCCATCCTCCCCGTCGCTGTCCTCGTCACAGCGGAAGATGTCTTGGAACAGGAAGACCTGCTTCGGTGCCGCGGGGGTCTGCAGCTCCCGGCCTCTCTCCTCCATCTTCTTCTCCAGCTTCTCCTTGAGCAGGGGCAGGCTCGTCTCATACAGGTAGTCTATGATCTCTGAAGGAAAGAGTTAACTCTGAAGCGATTTGCACAAAGCCTCGCCCCAAGGTCAAGGGGCAGCGGGCAGGACGGATGGCCCTGCCCGGGGCTGGGAATTCACATGCAGGCCCTTGTTCTCACCGGCCGGCTTACAGCTGCTCACTGCGTCCGCTCCGGGGTCCTCTGAGGCAGGCACTGCAGCTCACCCACTTTCCAGAAGGGGAACCCGAGGCCCCCCGACACACTATGACACGCGCCCAAGTTACGGAGTGGTGGGGCAAGGCCGGGATTCACAGCCGGGCAGGGGTGTCTGCGGCACGCCGGCGGTGCTTGATCGCGCACCATGGGGCCGGGGGCCCGCACACTGGTGCTGGGCAGACACCGGAGACGCTCCCGCGAGCCCGTGAGAGGGAGCCGAGCCCCCGCAGCCGGCCTGCAGACGAGCACTGAGCGTCGGGCAGGAGGCCCGCTATGTATATTTTTAGCAGCTTCCCCACGTGGCTCGGGTGACCCGAGCTTGGGAGTCACCTATCTAAACCACCACACGTGGCCACAGAGAAGGAACCGGGCACCTGTTTTCCCTGGAAGTGTGTGTGCACATGCGCACAGGATGGCAACCTAGAAGCACTCGCGGTCGGACACGAGTGCCTGCTGTGCCCAAGCACCCGGCGACCAACTTTCACACGCACGTGACCTGGTGTGCTGCCTTGGGACGTCCTGTCGGGCAGGGACGACCATGTGCCAGCTGTCACGGTTTTACAACGGGGGAAGGGAGGCGCTCAGGAGGGAGGCCACTCGCCCAAGGCCACCACCAGCTCGGGGCACCACGCACTGTGCTCTAAACGTCTCAGACGCTGAGGATACTGACCTGGGAAGGTCTTCTTCTGCCAGAGGGGAACACAGGTGGCCTTCAGCTTGTAAAACTTACTTTGCACGTAAGACGGAGGAACGTCCCTTCAGGAAGGAAAAGGTGGAAACGGTGTCAGTTCCACGCCCGATCAGTACGGCACTGACAGGGACACTGATGACTGAGTGAGGTCTGCGGACCCAAGTAGCTTTCCTCACCCTGACCCGTGGCATTGCCACGGCCACAAGTGCAAAGAAATAACACACACACGGCAGCTGTTGGCCATGCAGCTAAAACACACAGGAGGAGGGGGAAGGCAGCACAACGAGGCGGGCGGGCGGGCTCCGCTCCCACAGGAGGGACCCAACCAGAGGCGAGGAAGAGGACGCCTAACACGGCCCACACGGCCCACACAGCCCGTGCGCGCTCCCACGCTCGTCCAGGGCGTGGCCCTGCCCGAAGCCCCTCCCGGGCGGCAGCAAAGTTGCCGCACGACCACTCTACCAGGGTCACTGTTCTTCGCCCCCACTGTAGAGATGGGGACACTGAGGCAGAGAGAAGTCGTCCCAGACCTCACAGCTAACGAGGGGCACAGCTGGGACAACAGGGCAATTCGGATCCAAATTCCACCCTCGTCCCCATCACACCCAGGACACACATGTCTTTGTTGCCATTCAGAGGCAGGTGTCCCCGATGTTTTATTTTGCAAAATCAAAAAGAAAAAAGCAGATGCTGATGATGTTTTGGTGACTCAAACACATTTTCACTTCACAGTAACTAAGACTGAAACAACCAATTCTTATCTTTTTTTAAAGTGAAAATCCCTAACTCCACTTCCTGGACACTTCTCAGTCACAGTCACAGTGACTGTTTGTCTCAGCGGTTAACTGGCAGCCAGAGGGACTAGTGCAGACGATTCTGTCTGTGACGTACGCGCAGAGGCAAACGGTGGCTGGGGCCCTTAGCCCCTGTGTCCCCACCGGCCTGCGTCACCTCCCCAGGTCCTCACTCGGTCCTAGTGAGCCATCGCGTGGGTGAGGAAACCGAGACAAGTTGGGGGACAGCCTGGCCGAGGGCAGCTACACAACGAGGGCCGGGACCCGGCACCAGGTCGCCTGACTGCACAGCCCAAGTTCCAGGCCACCGCGCCGCCCCACCTGCCGGGCGTGACGTTCTGCAGACCCAGGCCAGGCTTTGAGAAGTGACAATAACTGGTCTGCACATTGTTAAACCGAGTAGCTATCACCTCTCATTAGGCCAAGATGCCACCTTTAAACCCCACCTAACTAAGTCACAAGGGAGGTCTGAAGCAGCCGAAGACATGGGACTTTTAGTTTAATTACTTCTCCCTGTTTTGACTCATTATTAAAGCTTTGAGATTGTGCTGTTTCAAACAGTATTTGACTAGATGCCATAATCTCCATTTTACAGCTTCGAGATTTATAAGTCTCAAGTAAACCAATCCATTTTTAAAATATATGTACACCTCTTGCTTAAAATCATAAAAAATGCAATGTAAGGAATCACGTGATCAGAAGCAGTGTGACAAAATATACAGAAACTCACTGGAGAAATCAGAGTTTACACGGTGGTTTGTTAAGATAGAGGGAGGGCTCTGTGGACACCGCCCTCAGTCGGGAGCTGGCGGGGTGCGGAGCGGGCTCCCCTTCCTTCTGCGCACCCGACACCAGCACCTCTCAGGGACCCACCCGCGGGGAACGAGCAAAGGGCAGGGCCTGGAACGGCAGGCGCGTGTCTGTGACCCCCTGCAGGGCCTGTCCTGGACAGATTCCAGTTCTCCCAGTTAAATTAAAAAGACTCTCTCCTGGCCACACCCCAAGGTTAGGCCGCTGCCCCCCGAACTGGTCGCTCCCTTCCTGCGGGATCAGTGACAAGTTCACCCAGGGCCACGCTCCTGCAGGTCAGCCAGGCGGCTCCTGTCCACCTCCCAAACCCGAGGCCAAACACCCCTCCACACCCCCACCTCCCAAACCCAGCTGCACCCGCACCCCGCAATTTTCAACAGTCTGCCCTGCTCAGAGGGACTGTGCCTTGCAGGCCAGCCGTCCTTCTCGGGCCCAGCCGGCCAGCCCGACGGGGAGAGGGGCGGCCGCTGTCCTGGTCGCAGGACTGGCTGGAAACGCGGGGGCTGCAGCCGAGAAGGCGCCCCTCGAGGGCAAACGGAGAGGCTCCTAAGCACAGGGAGGCCCCTCACGCCCGAGACGCCTCGGACGCGATGCAAGGACTACCTGCCGAGGGGAGCGGGCCGCGCAGAGCCACAGGGCCCGCCTGTGCTCTCAAAACAGCCCCCCGCGGCCCTCTCGCCACCCGGAGGGAACTCACTGAGAGCAGCTGCGCAGAGGACACAGGTGCCAGCAGAGCCTGGGGCCAGAATCAGCGCCTCCCGGGGGGACGGGACGAGCGGCGGGCACCCGCCGTGTCCCTGCTGCAAGCACAAAGCCCCGCTTGAGTCGGGAGCAGCCCTGGAACACTCCACCCGCCCTGGGGGGGGCGGGCGGCGCCCGAGGGGGCTGTGCCACGGCACAGGCCGCCTGTGCTCCTCCAGCGCCCCCGTGCCAGCAGACACCACAGCGCACTCCGCAGACTGCAGGGCACGAGGAAAGGGCACCACGCCACGCGTGACCCTGGACTGCACCTCAGGTCAGGGGAAGTACTGTAAAGGGCATCCTGGGGACACTCGGCGACATCCCAGTGTGGGCTGGGCTTACAGAGTTGTGTCAGAACCGTCAAACTTCCTCAGGACGGCAACCGGGGAGTGACACCCTCGTTCAGGGCCGCCATGCACCGCCGGCTGTCAGACGGTGAAGGGGACACTTCCCTCCGGGGGGGGGGGGGGGGCGGGAGAGGGGCGGGGCGGGAACGTGGCGGCGTGGGCTTCTCCGTGCGAGTCTCATAACCCAGTAGCTCTCTGAGGCTCCCAGGGGCTTCGTGCACATTCCACTCCCTCCTGCTGGTGTCCGGGTGGGGGTCCCGCACACACACACACACACACACACACACACAGACACTCGCTCCTGCTGGTGTCCGCGGTGGGGTCCCGCACACACACACACGCACAGACACTCGCTCCTGCTGGTGTCCGGGGTGGGGGTCCCGCACACACACACACAGACATTCGCTCCTGCTGGTGTCCGGGGTGGGGTCCTGCACACACACACACACACACACACACACAGACACCCCCTCCTGCTGGTGTCCGCGGTGGGGTCCTGCACACACACAGACAGACACGAACGTGATTTCCAGACAAGGTCCGTGGGCAGCGAGGGCCCTCGAAACCTGAGAGGCAGTCGTTTCTTAACAGTCCTGTTACTTTTCCAGCAGCTTCACCACAAACAAATGGTCTTACCCGATGGCGCTGGCAAGATCTTCCCAGTCTATTTCATTAGCGTCTTCCACGTTTATTTCATACAGTCTACGAGAAAACATGAAAATTATGTCTTCCAGCAAAAGTCAGCACGCTGGACACCTTCAGGGACTTAGACAATTCAGAGCCAAAGGCACCACTGGGTCGCTGGTGCCAGCCCCCCGGTACACGGGCCCAGTGGCCAGGGTCACTGAGTCAGTGGGCTACAAGCCAAAAGGCCCCCCTCCCCGAGCCCTCCGCACCCCCGCCAAACCACGCTGCTGTCTCACGGTGAAAACACGACTTCACCACTCAGTGCAGACACGCGGGAACAGTGTGTGTGCTCAGCACCACGTCAGAGACGAGTGTTGTGGCCTTGACGTTCACTCACTCACTGACACCGCCCCGAGGAGGTCGGGGACTGTCCCCACTCCATAGATGAGGCGGCAGGGCTGGGGGCCCCCCGAGTCACTTGGGGAACGTTTTGTGACCAGCAGGTGGTGACGACCCTGGACTGGAGAGGCCCTGCCCAGCCCCACGTGTCCCTGCCGCCTCTCTGGGGGGGCAACGGGAGGCGCCCCAACACCATCAGGGCCGAGTTCAGGACAGAGCAAGGAGAAGGCGGGGTGGCCAGGCCCAGAGCACCCCCCGCTCTTTGCAGCCTCCCCTTTGCCGTGAGCCCAGGCCCCCCGGACCCATGGGCTTCCTGAACCAGACCCACGCCGCCCCCTCCTTCAGGACAGGGCCCCCAGGCGGACCCAGAGGCCACGCCCCAGCGGCCCCAATGAGCCGGAGCCGGCCGGGGAGCAGCGGGCTTGCCCGGACCGTCGCGGCGCGGTGCACTGTGCACATATCACTGCGTGCCCTCCCCGCAAACTCCACGAGGCAGCTGCTGTCACCGTCACGCTCGTCCCAGATGGACACACCAAGACCCAGAGAGGCAGCGACACGTCCAGGGTCACACGTGGAGAGGGTGCTGGAACAGGGGTCCGAACCGGGGCGACCCCGCCGCACGCTGTGCTGTGCGAGCCGCCGCGTGGCCCGAGGGAGACCCAGGGCAGCGGCGCCGCGCGGCGCGTCCGCACCTCTCGATCAGGTTGACCTTGGCCTGCAGCGCGTTGACTCCCCGGTAGACGTCCCGACCGTTGGTCATCCTCTTGGTCAGGATCTCCGTCCTGCGTGGGGACGAGGAAAGGCACAGCTGGAGTTCAGGGCCCACGTGCCCGGTGTCTTCCCTGTCTGCACCGCCCTCTCTCTCGGAACCGCTCTCTAGCGCCTGCGACTCAGCGCCGCTGGCGTTCCCCACCGCCCACCACGCCCCTCTTCCCAAATCCAGTGGGAACAACGGACAAGTGAAACGACAGAGAGGGTGTTGCCGAAACTGGGCGACGCGCACGAGGGCCCTCACGTGTGTGTCACAGAATCTCTGCAACGAGCCGTTTTAAAAAGGGGGGAGCAGCCGCCGCAGCCCGCGAGCAGGTGCTGAAGGAGGCTGTAAGCTCAGTTTAGTTCTCCCTGTTTGTAAGACACAGGGCCCTGGCTGGGGCGGCTCACTCGGCTGGAGTGTCATCCTGCGAACCAAAGGGTCGAGGGTTCGATGCCCAGACAGGGCACGTGCCTGGGTTGTGGGCTCAGCCCCCAGTTGGGGCGTGTACTTGGGGCTACTGATCGATGTTTCTCTCTCACATCGATGTGTTTCCCTATCTTCCTTCCTTCTCCTCTATAAAAAACCCCAAAAACCCTGAAACAAACGAAACAGACTGACGTTGCTCTTACTGCCGCGACCAGCTGCCGCAACACTGAGCCCGACAAATTCAGCAAAGCGACCTCTAAGCGGTTTGCTGGGTCCTCCAGCGCCCACCGCTACGGGCTGGAGGAAGGGGGGTGACTGAGTCTCCTGATGAGAGCAGCAGCCCCATGTAAAATAGTCCACAAGTCCTTGTCTGGCCCTGGCTGGCCAGGCTCCGTGGACTGAGCGCCAGTCTGTGAACTGAAAGGTCACAGGTTCCATTCGATTCCCAGTCAGGGCACACGCCTGGGCTGCGGGCCAGGTTCCCAGTAGGGGCGCTCGAGAGGCAACCCCACACTGATGTTTCTCTCCCTCCCTTCCCCTCTCTCTGAAAATATAACCCCTTAAAAAAAAGTCCTTGTCTTCACAGCAAAGCCTGCCACGACGTGACGAATGGGTCACTAGCCGACACAGCTTCCTCCTTTCCCGACAAGGGAGAGCCGTGACGCTCACGGGGCCCTGGCATTGCCGGTCTCGCCAACCGACAGCCGTCCATGCTCACTGGTTGGACACGCGTCACGTGAGGTCACTGCAATGTGACATGAAGTAAACACAGTGTTCTACCTTTCCTTCACAAGTGTCCTCCTTTTCTCTTCGAGTAAAAAGCAAGCCTTGAACCTTATTTAGTTACGTGGACTCTGAAGGTGACCTCCCCCCCTTAATGCTCCTTCCTTCAGTCTGAACTGCAGCGGTGGGCGGGGCCCTGGTTCCTCTGCCTCACACCCTCCCCCCAACCACTGTCTGCTCCCCGGAGTTCACTTCCCCGACCGAAGTCTTGGTGAAAACAAACGACTCTACGAAGGAATGCAAGGCACGTAAACAGCAAACAGTGTCATCCGGGGGTTCGCCCTCTGCGTGACACACGCCAACTCGGGACGTCATTCGCATGGATGGTCAAGGGGCCGGGCTTCCTGTGCGTGAGGCGGCCCCAAGCTGCAGGGCCCCCGCGTCCAGGACCAGCTCGTCCAGGAGCAGCCCGGAGACCCCCGGGCCGGGCGAGGCCGCGCGAGGCACAGGCCGCGCAGCGAGGCCGGCGGACAACACTGCCGGGTGGCGGGCGCACCTGCAGAGGGTCAGGGAGGATGTGTGGGGCCCTCACTGGGAAGGCCCCGGGGGCGGGGAGGCGGGCCTGGCACTGACCCTGCCTCTGTGACTTCTCTCCCGCACCCGGGCCTGTGGGGGGCCCTGCAGGCGTCGGCGCGGTCAGGGGCTGACTCCACTCAGGCACTGACACCGAGGGGGCTGAGGCGGCACGGAGGAAATGGCAGTCCTCGCCCGGACGTGGCCGGCTTCCCATGCCGCAGCCCCCGGACGTCACCAGCAACCTCACCCACCCGCACTCTGTGGAAACTGTGCAGAGGGAGGGGACAACAGCCCGTCAAAAATTTGCATAAGAAGCCTTAAAACTTACCACTTACTTTTACACTGCATCCAATTCCTGGTCTCTACTTTCGCCTCGACTTCCACCCAAGATATGCCCTTGTAGAGTTTCTCCCGGACAATCGACAGGCAGCCTTCGGGGTTTTCCTGCAGCTTAGAATCTACCTCTTTTAGGTCCTGGGGAGACATTTTCTTCAGAATCACTTCCTCCACAGCCTTGATTAGCTTCTGGGTTTCCGTCTTACTCCAGGCGCCGTGGTTCCTTTCTGTGGGTGTGAAAGGGCAGTCTCAGGGCTGCTAGTCTGTTCTCTTTCCAACACAATGCTGGAAAGGAAGTGATGATGACAGGTACACGCCATCACACATCTGCCCAAACCCACAGAGTGCACGCCACCAAGGTGACCCCGGTGGCCGCTGTGGGGTGGGGGGAGGGGGGCACATATCTGTGAAGCCTCACGGACTGTAACAGACATGCCCCCTGGGGGGCCAACAGCGGGGGCGGGCGGCTGCGCAAGGCACATGGGAAATCTTGGTACCTTCCTCTCAAGTACACAGTGAACCCACAACGGCTCTGAAAACAAGAAGTCTGAAAAAGGAAGAAAATCTGACCCTTTTCAGAGACAGCGGCAGCGGCCTGACACACAGACCGCGAAAGCACTCGGGGCTGCAGGTCCCCTTGAGAGCCAGCGCCAGGAGAGCCTGCTTAGCGCAGGGAGGGTCTTTTGTGTGATGCCAGAAAAGCTGCTCTTCCCGTGTCTGCGAGTAACGTCTCCTGCACGGGCTCTGAGGTTCCCCACGTTTAACGGGACAACTGTAACCAGATGAGTGTCCGTCACGTGCCGACCTCTCCCCGGGAGCCCCAGGGCCAGACGGATGGCTGGGGTGGCAACAGCACAAAGGCCCCCGAGAGCCTCCGGGGCCCGTCGCCCGGGCGGGGAGTCCAGCGGCCCTGCTCGCCGCCGTGTCCAGATATCGGTCACGCTGGGGAGGAGGCCGAGACCCGCCGCCCACAGACACCTTTGGTTCAGCCCACCAGTGCTGTTGTTACTTCTCCCTGATGGTAATCTGGATGGATATTTAAAAGTCCAGAGAGTTCCAAGGGGAAAAAAGACGCCTAGGTTTCACACGATATAAAAAACCCAGACTTTTACTTTACTTCTTGGAAACGAGACTGGGGCACACGGAGTCTCCTCCTGGCATCTGTGGCTGCATTCGGTGGCGCAAAAGGCCTGGTCCCCAGCTCAGGTCAGGGCTGACCACGCACTGGCCACACGGACGCCCGGGGCTCCACCTGCCCGTGTGGCGGGCGCATGGCAGCCCTCGCTTCCAGTGACCCTGACTGAAGTCTTCTTAAAGCAGCTGGGGGTTTTTTCACAAGCAGAATACGACCAAGGACGCTTTTGCCGAAGGCCGGGGAAGAGACAGGAGGCGACGACCACTGGTCCTGAGGACAACCCCTGCCCAGCAGGCCCGAACAGCCCCCCAACCCCCTTTGCCCCCTCAGGACGGGACCTCTCCCCGCCCAGCCTCCCCTGCCTGCCAGCTCCCTCGGAACCAGCCCGCGTGGTGGGTGCAGCTGCACTGAAAGCTGCCAAAGGGAGCAGCGGGAGCCATCCGTGAAGAAGGGGCGGGGCTCCGCGAACGCACGGAACGGAGCGCCACTGGAGGCCGGCTCACAGGCAACGGCCGCAACGAGTCCGCGCGCTGGGTCACAGCGGCCAACGGCCTGCCGGGCTCGCCCCTTCGCCCCTTCGCCCATGGGCTCCCCCAGGCAGGCGCTGGAGACCACCACTCACCGCTGCTGATCTGGGAGTACTTCAGGGCGACAGAGAGGCTGCTTCGGGACACCAGGTCCCCGATCTTCTTCCAGTCGTTGCCGTGCAGGGAGTGGTATATCTTTAGCTTCTTGGTGTCCTCTTTGCTGTACCTGCGAGGAAGGGAACCCGCGACAGTTTGTTTTCAGTTTTAATTTCTCTTGCAGTTAGGGAAAATTCACAGAACGCAGGTGGCCAGGTTTAAAGCGCACGACTCGGTGGCATTTAGCGCGCTCACGACGTTGTGCGACAGACACCTCCACCTGGTTCTTCAGCTTTGTTTCTTTTAAAGATTTTACTATTTGCAGAGAGAAGGAAAGGGAGAAAGAGGGAAACATCAGCTGGCTGCCTCTCACATCCCTCCAACCGGGGACCTGGCCCACAACCCAGGCACATGCCCTGACTGGGAATCGAACCAGCGACCATTTGGTTTGCAGGCCGGTGCTCAGCCCACTGAGCCACACCAGCCAGGGCAAGTTCTTAAGCTTCTTAATCACTGCCCCCCCATTACCAACGGGACATCTTGTTCTCATTAAGCAATCCTTCCCAATTAATGATCAGTTGTTAAAGGAGAAAAAATACCCTGACTGTGGCCTGCGAAGACACCCGCGGCCTGCCACAACGTGGAACGGACTACGAGATCAAACACCGCTGTCCCTGCAGAGTCCACTGCGGTCCTGGGAAGGCTGGGTGGGGCGGGCTGACCAACCGCCAGAGCTCGGGTCGCTTCCTGCCCTGGCATCTTGACTGTGGTCAGCCCGGAAACCAGGCCCCGCTGTACCAGGCCAGAGGCCCAGCTGGTGCACAGCACCCAAACACTGGGACCAGGGTATTCCCCATCCAAACCCTACAGGCCCCCCATTTCACACACCACACAACACAAACTTCTCGATGTGCCCCCAGAGCCCGCTGCTCCCTGCTGCTCAGCCCTGGGCCCCGCGAGGCCGCCCTCATCTGCCAGGGTGGCTCCCATGGAGTCTGATACAGAAACTCTCTGACCCCCTGACCCCCTGAGCCCGAGGCCCCGGCATCCTCCTCAGAGAGCCCGGCCTCTCCCTGCACCGGCCATGACCGGCGGCTCCGCACTGAGGGGCTCCCTGCTCACCCGCCTCTTCTCCAGGCCTCTGCTGGCTGACAGAGACCTGATGTGAGCTGTGTACGTTTAAAATTTCCTAACGGTCGTACAGAAATGAATTGTATCTCGTCTTAATGAATTATTTTTTAACTCAACCCAACATGTTAAAACCGCAGGCTTTCCAACATGCCATCGGCACCCACGAGGACTGAGCTGGTTCACACGCTCTTCCTCACCCCGAGCCTCCCACCCCCGGGTGCTCCTGCTCTCCCAGCACGTCCCCGCCCGGAGCAAGGACACCCCCGTGCTCCGCGGCTACGTGAGGCTGGTGGTCCCCGGGATGCTCCGCTCGCTCTGGAGGGCAAGGCCCACAGGGGCAGGAGCCCTGCGCCAGTTCCGCACGCAGACACGCTACTAAAGGAAGGGACAAAAACCAGTCCCCGTGGAAGAAGTGAAGGAGAAGCCTGGTTCTGACTGCTGCGGCCAGGGCCGGGGCCGGGTCTGTGTCATTACTACGGGTGCTCAGGAGAGGCCCTGGGAAAACCCTCGCCACCTCTGGTGACGGAGAGCAGCCAGCCTTCGGGCCAGAGGGCTCAGCACGCTCGGAAACCCCCCTCCCCTTGCAGAGGGCAGGGAGTGGAGGCCCGGGACCCTGCGCCTTTAAGAGCTGCGCTTTCCAGCAGTTTCCTTCTGGAGGCCAGCAGGGCGTCCCTGAGGCTGACCAGCTGAAAGGCACCCTGGCAGCAGCAGGAAAGGACGGCAGAGAGACACGAGGGCGCAGAAAGGAGGGGACAGAAAGGAGGGGACGGGGTGCTGCCTCCCGAGGCCCCGCAGAGCCTTCAAATAATCCTCGGATTCCGGACTTCCTGCCTTTTTCCCGTTAAGAATTCCTGAAGCTGGAAAAGTATTCTAAGAATGAATGGTGAACGCAACACACATACTACGGCACAAGCAAGCGAATGAACTTCGTTGTCAGAACGACAGCCTTTCACTCCCCCGAAAACCTCACTCCCACGCTGCTGCCGCCACAGGCGGAGAGACGTCCCCTCAGCTGCCACCGCTCACGCCCCAAAAGCGTGCGTCTGAGCCCCGTTCCCACTGTGCCCTCACAGTGGCTGCCCACAAGTCCGTCCTCACCCGCCTCCAACGGGGCTTGGGAGGACGGGTCGGGCAGGCACCGGTCTGCGTGGGCAGCCTTCCCTCCCCTGAAGATTTATTTCTTTTCGGTAAAAGCTTAATAAAAGAAACCAACGTCATGCCCACGTTGGAAGCTCTGCGGCTGCGCGTGCCCCGGTGCAGAGTCACGGGGCTGGGGGAACTCCTCGGTCCTGCGGGGACGGGTCCCTCGGCTGCCCAGAGACAGTCCCATTGCCGTGTGCTGGCCGCTGCTCTCCGGCTCGTCCCTTCATCCCCGAGCAGAGGGGGCACCCACAGCCCACTCCCCACCTGTGCCCGTTTTATTCGGAACGTTGGAAGCAAACTCCAGTTGGGTATTTGATTTGGGGAAAAAGCGCAGGAGAGAACGGGCATCAGCACCTAAGCGCTCAGGGGCACTGAACCGACCGCTGACTCCCACAGAAGGGACCCCGGCTGCCCCGCGCCTCCGCCTGCGCGGTCACGGAGAGCCAGGGAGCCGGCCCCAGGCCCCATGCAGCGTCACTGGGCGGGGACGTCCGGGCTCACAGGGAGTGCACAGGCTCAGTGAGGTGCACACTCGCCGAGCACAGTGACGGGGGCAGAGCGCACTGAGAGCTGAAAGGACAGTGTAAGGAAACAGCTGAGGACTGGGGGGGGGGGGGGCACAAAGGTCGGAGAGGAGGCACCAAAAGGGGCCTAGAAGACAGCGCCTGGTGACAGGCACGCCCCCGGCTCCACACACACACCGCTGCCACGGCCCTTTCACCCCCCATCCGTGTGGGCGACGCTCTGGTTCATGGGGTCCACGGGGCCCAACACGCAACGCAACGCCTGCCGAGCTGCGGGACGGAGTTCTCACCTGCCCTTGTAATTGTTGACGTCGAACATCTTCTTCGCCCGGTAGTACACGAGTTTCCAGGGCCGCGCGATGCCCTTACCTGCCGGAGGAAGGGGGGCGGTCAGCAGGGCGCACAGCGTGGCAGGGAGCGGCCGCCGCTGCGAAGGGGCCCAGCAGGGCCCTTTCCGCGACGCCACCCACCCCGGCCCCGGGCTCCTTGGAGGCCTGGGAGAACTGGGCGCTTTGTACGCAGAGGCCCCAGCTTCCGGTCGCCTCAGGTCACAGAGAAGACCCTTCCAAAGGCAGCGCATGCAGAGGAAGGACAGCTGAAGTGAGGGACCACGCAACAGCCCGCCGTGAGAGAAACCACCTTCCCAAACGGACAGGCTGGCCTCGCAACCCCCACCCCGCAGGCGACACACGCCCTCCGCAGGGCTGGTGCTGCCTTTCCTGGGTGCGTCCCCGGGAAAGCCTCTCGGATGAACTGCTGTTCATTCAAGAACGCTTTTCCCGGTCCAGTCCTGGGTTGCTTCGCACCCCTCACTTTCCGAGCGTCACCTCTAGGAGGGGCCCCAGCCGCCCGGCACGCACTGGGCCGCGCCTGAAACTCCCAGGAGCCCCTGCTGCACGGGAGGGCGTGCTTCGGGCAGCAAAGGGAAGACAGCCGCCCCGGGGAGCAGGGAGAGCGGCCTAAACCTCAGTTACTACCGAGGAGGAGAGCTGGGAGCTGGGGCCTCGTTCTTCCTGAAGTCGGTCAAGCACCACAGCTGGGAGGCACGAACACACGCCTAACCGTCCAACACAGGCTGCCGCCGAGAACCCTGTTCCCACGGCGTCATTAACACGCGCTGCCCGGGCCAGGCGCCGCGCCACACAGGCACCACGGGCGGTCATCCGTGGGGGAGGACAGTCGTGGTGGGTCGAAGAGGGGCGGTTGTGCACTCACCGATGTGCAGGCGGAAGGCGTGTTTTCTCTTCAAGTCGGTGATCACGGCTTTCTCCTCCGGGTACCTGTCCGTGTACAGCAGCTTGTCCGCACTCTCAATTCCCGACAGGGCCAGAAACTCCTGCACGTTTTTCTCTAACTGCTTGTTTTCCTTCACAGAAAACTTGCCGAACCTAATGGCGACACCTAGGAGTTGGGGCGGGAGGAAGAGGGTGTCGTCAGGAACGAGTAAGAGCCAGCCTGGCTGGTGTGTGTCAGCAGCGGCAGGCAGTGCAGGGCCCAGCTTGCGTCCACCTGGGAGCTGCCCGCCCGTGCGCTGGCCGCTCAGCGCCCCGTCCCCATCCCGCAGGAGGGCTCGGCTTCCCCTCCGAGTCCGAGCCTCGCTCCTCTCCCCAGCTCTTCCCTGCCCATCCCGTTCCACCAAGCGACCTTTCCTGGCTCACTCACCTGCCTTTAAAACAGTCCCGAGGCACACCGGCCAGGGCTAACCTGTCTATTTTTCAAAGGAAATCTCTTCGACATGATGAAGTCCCCAAGGCAAAAGCCTCCTTTTCCCTCCCGGTGATTGGTGATTGTGCGTATCCTTCCCAGGCCTCCGCCCACTAACCTCCCCCTCCCCCACGAGGCCCACCTGGCCCCTGTGGCCCCGGGCCGCCCGCCTCCACACCAGAGGCTGGGCAAAGAACAGGACACCAGCTCGGAGAGTAACTCTGGAGGGGTGATTATTACAGAAGTCTGCCCTTGGCACCTATGAAATTTGATTTACCAAGGTAACCCCAATAAATTCAATTAAGAGCCCCAATTCTGGCTGGAGGGAGAGCCGAAAGCAGTGAAAGGACAGATCGCGTGAGCCTGTAAATCCGAGCCGTTCACAAAAGAACGTCGGGCCTCCAGCAACGCCCCGCAGACCCCGCGGTCCCTCCGGCTCACCCTGCGCCTTGAACTCCTTAAACCGCCCCAGGTCGTCGCGGTACATGCGCTTAATCGTGGTGGCGGCCCTGTCCCCGATGCGGGGGATGAACTCGCGGAGCTGCCGCACGGCGGCGTCCAGGTCCACGTCCACGTCCACGTCCACGTCAGCTGCGTCCGAGTCTCTCGAGTCTTCAGACAAACACGGCGCCTCGGAGTCTTTCGCCGATGATTCCAAGCCGCTGTCTTTATCGGCAGGTCCTGACCTGGGGAGGGGGGGCGGGCGGGGAGCGGACCGATCAGCCCCGAGGGAACACGGCCCTCACAGCTGTGAATGTCTTCTCCCGGCACGACTCACTCCGGGGGGGTGGGGGGGGGGACGACACACGACCCAGGCTCGAGAGGGAACTGCTGCCCTGGGCACCCCTCCAGGGCCGCCCGCAGGGAGACCGGCAGCCCAGGCCCTGTCTCTTATTTGACCGTTTCTCAGCTGTCCCTGTTTCGGATGCGGACTTCCTGGTCGGCCACGCCCTCCTCTGCCTCCGCGGCGCCCCAGACACCTCGCCTGACCCTGCCAGCGAGGCAGGCCTTATAACGATCGCTAATCAGTTCAATCAGTATCCAGGGCTTCCGTGGTTACTGTTATTTTTTTAATAACAAGTAATTTTTTAATAACAAGTAAAAACTTACTTTTTTAATAAATAAGTAAGTAAAAGAGTTCACTTACTTATTTTTAGAGAGAGGGGAAGAGAGGGAGAAAAAGAGGAGACAAACATTGATGTCGGTGGCCTCTTGCACGCCCCCAACCGGGGACCTGGCCTGTAACCCGGGCACGTGCCCTGACTGGGAACTGAACCAGCGACCCCTGGGTTGGTCTGCGGTACGATGCCCATCCCACTGAGCCACATCAGTCACGGATGGTTACGGTTATTTTTGCTGTGGTCAGTAGTGGCCACATTTCCCCTTTGCCTGGTTGTCTGTGTATCTATCACCAACACACCCCCAACTCTCTGCCAGATGTTCACATCTCTCCATACGTTCACCTGTGTCAACGAACTGCTCAGACAGGAAACTGGGAAAAAAAAAAGAACTGTGTGCACCTGTCCAAGCAAAGGGTCCGTGGTTTTCAGAGCGCCCGCAGCGCAGTGTGAGTCAAGCGCCCCAGGCCTAGGGCATTCCCGCCTCACAGTCCGCGTTCTGGGGCCGCCCAGGCGGGACTGCAGGGAGGACGCCGTGGGCGGGGCCACCGTTACCACGGAGGCGGGGCGGGCGGGGCCCTCTCTCATTCAACTGCTAGACCGAGCTGTGTTAAGCCAGGACAATCTAACACAGGCGAGAAAGCCACTGAGTAAAAATGGGGGGGGATCTGTCTCAAGTCCCAGGAACTAAGAAAAAACAAACAAATAAAAAACCCTACCTCCCTGCATTTATGCAGCAGATGCTACACTTACATAATAATTACATATAAAATGCTGAAATTTCTTTCCTTAGTGAGAACCCCCATGCGAGCTTTGCCCTGGTGGGTAGCATTCTCAGGTGCCCACCCCTTTCTTCCACCCAGACGCACACGGACAGACAGGGTAATGCTGGGGGCACGGGGGGGTCTCAAAAAGCCTGCTGGATTTCGCCACAGAGCCCCAGGGCTGGGAGAGCGCTCCCGGCACACCTGAGGGGCTGCCCACGCGTGCACAGGGGAAGGACCCTGCCTGCCGAGGGCGGGCTTAAACGCGCACACTGCCCTGGCCTCCCTCCAGGGCCTCTGCCATCTGCTGCAGACGCGCCGATCAGAGGCCCGGGCACAACCCCCACAGAGGACGGACACCTCAGAGGGCAGGACGGTCCCGCGTTACCTCTGCGCCTCCCCCGAGCGCGCCTGCGTCTGCTCCTCTGGCGGCCGGGCTGCCGCGCCGTCCTCAGCCAAGGAGCCGCGACCTTCCGGTGGATCGGGGGGCACGTCCGGGCGCTCACAGCTCACGGGGCGGCCCGAACAACCGCCGCCCGGCGAGGGGGCACTGTCGCCAGCAGACCTTCGCCTCCTTTTCCTGGCCCTTTTCTTTAACTTTCGGGGTTCCCCCCTGCCTTCCGAAGCGCCTGCGTCGTGGGCCGCTTGCCGGCCCTCGGAGCCCCCGGTCTCAGGACGCTCGGACTCCTGGCTGTGGGAAGTCTCCCTCTTTCTTTTCTTGGACTTCCTTTCTCGGGCGGCCCCCAGCGGTGGCGCGCCCGGGCCTTCGCTGGGCACGGGAAGCAGGGGACGGGGCTGCGGCTGCGGCTGAGGCAGGCCGGCGCTGGCGCCACGGCCCCCTTGCCCAGCATCATCATCATCATCGCAGGACGCAGCTTCCTTCCGGCGCTTCTTTTCCTTCCTGACCTCATGATGTGCTTCTTCCGGCTCGTTTCCACGTCGCTTGGCAACTGCGTGCCGTGGCCGGGCTCCGGGCTCCTTGGCCGATGCCCGCTCCTTGCTCACGTCAATGTAGACGATGTCGACGTCCTTCCTAACACCCTTCGGCGTGTCCTCAATGTTTTCTTTATCCACCATGACGTACACGATGCCCGCGTCGCCCTGCGCCCCCGATGACCTCCCCTTTTTCCTCTTTTTGGCTGTGGGAGAGGCCTTTTCAGTCCCATCACTGGGTTCCGATTGTTCTCGAGGAGAAGCGGGAAACTGGCGATCTTTTCTCTTGTGCTTACTCTTCGTTCTGTGAGGCTGTTCACTCTCCAAGGCGGGGTCTCTGAAGTTCTCATGGACACGCATCCGACGTCTTTCCTTCTCCACAGAATACGTTTCCGTTTTCTTGTCAAAAACTGGAGTGCGGACTTCCAGTCTGCTCAACGTGCCTTCCATTTTATTCCTAGAGGGAAACCCGACAACAGTGGTTAATTTTGCAAAGCATTTTAAACATCAGCCTCCGGAGAAAAACAAATCACGGGAAACGAAACTGTATGACAAACGGCCAGCAGGAGTCACGAGTGTACAACTCACACCATTCTAAGTGTGCGGGGGGCTCCCGGTAACTGCTCTGCCCACTCCCACTGCCTGTCCGATGGAGAGACGGCGAGGACACAGGGAACCCCAGGGCCAGCTCGGCCAGCCCCCGCCCCCACAGCCTCTCCTTCACCTCTCCTCCCAACTCGGGGCTCCAGCCACACGTCCCCTTTTCTGGTCCCCTAGACGTGCCACAACCCTTTCCTTGGCTCAGGGTCTGACAGCATCCGACTCCCTGCGCCCAGGACACTCCCGGCCGCCTCCCGCCTCCCTGCCTCCATCCATCCTTCAGAGTGTGGCTGGAATGTCACTGCCTCAAGAAAGCTTCCCCTGGTTAAAAGAATGTATCCATTATGACACCGTGTATGTATTAAGTGTAAAGTCTGCAAACACTTTTATGGGTCTTTTCTCAGTGGATACATACCAGGAAAACTATGAACATGGGGATTATAACTGGCAAACTCAGGGATTAGGGACGCGTCTAGAGCCCGTTTCTTTCACATCTGTAATCTTTTATTTCTTAATCGGGACAACAAGGACAGGGGTGTTCTGTTTTTATCTACACTCATTTGAATACCCAAAATAAAAAGTGAGGGGCAGAACAAGGGTATAGATTGCTTTCATTTATGTTTAAAAACCAGTGATTCAAGGCTATAACTACCTAAGTATCTACCAAAAAAAAAAAAAAAGCAAAGGAAAGAAAGACTCCCCTGATTCCTTGGGCTTGGCCCATTCCCTAAACGCTTTGCTGATTTCATAGCAAACTGTACTTTACTTTTGTAGCACTTAGTCCAACTGTACCTTAAAAAATAGTTATTTCATTAGCCATTTAATGCTCCTCTGCTAAAAAAAAAAAAAAAGGAAATTCCAAGGAGGAGGGTGGTTTGCCCGTGTCTCCACCACCAAGAAGCCACGCCCCAAAACCCCGTCTCACGTCGGAGTGCGAGGACCTGCCAGCGCCTTCACAGAGGGGACGTCAGGGACTCGCTGACCTCAGTCCGAAGGTCACCTCTGCGAGACAGGGACTGGGCGGGCCCTGTTCGTGTCCAACAGAGAGTCAAAGCTCTGCAGTGAGTTGGGATGAAATTTAACAAGGCACCAATGTCAACACTCATGGAGAGCACGTGCATTTTGGAGTTGACGTACACTAACAGAAACGAACTTGACAAAAGAGATGGTTAATGGTATGCTTTTACAAACATGTCTCATAACTCTCCTTTCTCTGCGTTCCTTCTGTGTTTCAGCTTTTAGGATTCTATGTCTCTTTCGACTAGTTAATGCATTTATGTAGCTCAAACACCATCCCCTGGCCCTACCTCTCCCTTGCTCACACAGAAGGCAGCACTGACACATTCTGGTCTGCATCCCACTATTTTTCATGTAACCGTGGGTCCTGGAGATGCACCCCCACTCCTTCAAGTCCAAATGGCCAGCCCATTCTCCACAGAGGCACCTAACTTCTCCTGGGTAGTGAAGACGCCATGTGGCAGAGGGAGGGGGACCGTGCACCGACATGTGGACTTGCACCACCAGCCCAGACCCCCAGCCTCAGGGTCTCCCCCTCATGGAGACACCCAGAGCGCTGGGTGAGGCCTTCCTCCCTGCTGCCACACAGAGACGACGGAAACCCGCCTCTCTGAGGTCCCAGCTCGCGGCAGGGTGAGCGTCGCAGGCTGACTCCCTGCTCGGAGAGAGGGTTTACCTGCCTCACCCAGGGACAGGCAAAGGGAGCTTACAGTTGTGAGTCCGAGGGACACTTTATAACTCCCGTAGCATTATTCTCCGTATGAACAACTGTAACCCTGCTTTGGCCCGCCCTTCTAAGCTTCCATAGCCCAGCACCTAGCAGAGTGCCTGGCTCATAGCAGGAGCTCAAAAAATACCTATTTTGGAATGAATGAATGCTCCTCGTTTGGGTGCCCTGGAGAAAACTCACAACTGGGCAGACGGGCGCCATCTATCTGGGACCTGCACACTGCCCAGCCGTCCAACTGTGTCCGTCTGGATCCACGCTGCACGGATTCCGTGCAGGCTCGGGGCACCACTGGCCCCGAGAGGCTGCCGAGCACCGGAAGTGTGGCTGGGCCACACTGCGCTCGAAGTGTCACACACACGCCAGACCCCAAGACTTAGAACGAAGACACTAAAATGTCTCAGTCGTAATTCTTGCATGTTACTTTCCTGTTGAAATAGCAATTTGAATATTGTTTGTTAAAACATTCCTAACTCCACTTTTTCATGTTTTTCTTATTATTGCTACTAGTCATAACATTAAATTATGTACATAGCTTGCATGCTATTTTGGGGGGCAGCCCTGCTCGAGACAGCTCACTTGCCCACTCTTTTTGAAATAATTATTTAAAATCTCCTTGACTCTCAACAGACTTCTAAATTCCAGTCTTCCCTCCCACTTCCAGCCAACTGACTTGCCCATGACCTCCCTCACATGCACACACACGAGACAGGGAATTTCCCTCCAAGTGCAACATGCCTGCGTGCACCCATCCCCTCCTTTCTTTCCCTCTTGCTGCAACAAAGGAGGGGACTCTCCTCCTGCCAAAGGCCACTCCTGCCCATGCGTGCTGGAGACCAGCTTCCTCCTGCCTCTCAGAGACCCCGACCCATCAGGTGACCCACCTCTCTTTCGGGTCTCTAGCCTCTTCCTCTGCACAGGCTCCCTGCTAGCAGCACCCCCTCGACCTCTAGACTCTTCTGAATGAAACAAAACAAAACAAATAACAAGGATGCAGCCATCCTCAAACTCTAAAGTCCCATCCAGCTTTTCTTTCCTTCCCCGACACAGCAAACTTCCTTGAGAGAAACCGCCCTCTCCAGTCCATCCACTTCTCAGCCCGCAGGCAGCTTCCGCCCTCATTACTGCCCCGAGCCTGCTCCAGGTGCTCTGCTCCAGGTGCGGTGCCTGCGACCATCGGCACTTCATTCCCTTTCCCCGCCCACTTTTCAGGACCTCTTTGTAACATTTAACAGATGATCCCATCAAACATCTTACTTTCCATCTGTTTCTTTCTTTTTTTTAAATACCTAAGCTTCTCCTTCCGGTTTCTTGAGTTCGACACAAACTTTTAAATATGTGGTCACTTCCTACTATAAACATTTTACGGTTTCTCCATTACTCTCAAGATAACGTGTCCCCAAAACTGTGCAATTACCATGCCCTTCACGACCGGTCTGGTCCACGCCTGCCTCTGCAGGTCTCCTTTCCCTCCGGGTTCCAGACACCCTGCCTTCAGGTCCTAGAACACACCATGACCCTTTTCATCCTCAGGGGCTTTGCAAAAGCCGCTCACTCTCGCAGCAATGCGTTTCCTCCGTGCTACCTTTCTGAGCTGAGACTGGTCTAAGTTTGAAAGTCAAGTCAAGAAAGCCTCTCTGATCGCCTCCCTGGGTCCCTGCGGCGTTTCCCAACAATCCAGCTGCTTCCCTATTGCACGTGGCTCAGCTGTGCCACGATCGGTCCCCTGAGGGCTGAGATTTAGTCTGGCTCCCAGATAGCTCGATGCCTCTGGAATGAATGAATATGCATTTATCTCCACTTCTGAGGAACACGCCGCTTCCCGCCCGGCACGACCGCGCCAAGCCAGGCCCTGGACTCTGCACCACTTGCGGGGCGCCAAAGAGGCCCTGTGGCGCTCCGGGGTGGGCGTTCCGGGGCCGGCGTTCCGGGGCCGGGAGGGGAGGAACTACCCCGAGGGCCGCCTCTCCGTCCCCTTCCGCCCGTAGACCCGACCTCGGTCCCGGTGCGGAGGGGACTGGAGCGGCGGCCCAGCAAACGGCGCCACCCCCATCCCTGGAGACCTCAGGCCAGAGGCGCGTCTTCCGGAGAAAGAAGACCACAATTACCACCGCTCCATTTATATAAGCGCATCTAAAAAACACCCGGAACAACAAACCGGCGCTTTCGACCTACCGTCCGAAGGAGTCACTACCTTTCCTACACTTCGGAAGTCCTGCCGCGGCGGAAAGCGGAAGTAGCCATGCGTCACTTCTGGTCCGCCCTCAGCATTCCGCTGCCATGGTAACATGGCTGCAGCTGGGACTGGGACAGCTGCGTGAATTCCGCCCGTTTTGTTCCTGGGGTGGTTGCGGGTGGAGGGAGTTAGAGCGGAATCCTAATACTAAGAAAGTGGGACCGGATTCCACGGACTTGCTAATTCGTGCATGCACCCCATTTCTTCAACAGCTTCTGCTGAGCCCCATTCTTAGTCCAGGAGTAAGGGCCCTAACCTGAGGAAGACCGGCAAACAAATCCACCAAGACCTCGTCGGATTACGCTATAAGGAAAATGAAACAGAGTGACGTGGCGGACAGTGAGCGCTACTTGAGACGCAAGGGAAGGCTGGGTTCTAAACGGAAAGAGTGCGCCCACATCTGGACGGAAGAGTGTTCCAGGCTGGAAGTAAATACAAGCGCCCCGCCCTCGGCTGCTGCTGGAGCTGCGAGAAGGCCAGGGCAGCTGGGACACACAGAATCGAGGGCAGCGCGGCAGGCGATGACGTCAGCGGCAGGCGGGGAATAGCCCGCGCAGGGTCCGCAGGGTCCGATACGCAGGCAGCCGAGATGAGGCGGAAAGAGCCTCTGAGATCTTTCCAGTCCTCCCATTTAGACCTAGTCCTGAAGAAACTTAGCTGCGATTAAAAGTAAAACTTTAACCAGGCCTTCCTGTTGGGGAGGGGGGACCAAAACCCTGGAATTTTATTTATAAAAAATTGCATATTTATTCTTGCATGTTTAAACTTAAGTCACCTTCAAAGTACTCCCCATCTGACACGCCACAGCTGTTGAGATGTTTTTCCCACTGCTCAAAACAGCCTTTTAGTGCTTCTGCTGTTTTTTGTTTCACCTCTTTCACATCAGCAAAATGTTTCCCTTTGAGAACTTTTTCATCTAGGAAACAAAAAGAGTCATCCAGGAGGGTGGGGCACCAGGGTCATGCCGTTTTTGGTCAAAAACTGCTGACACTCAGTGCGGAGGTGTGGGCAGGTGCACTGGTAAATCACTCATGGAATGGGCAAACACATTGAGTCTTCAAAAAAATTCACTGAAGCCGAATGCAGCCTCTCACAACAACGCCAGCTGGTAATATACTGATACAGTTTGGGTTCCTAGAACACTCACCTCAAGCGGGGGAAGCTTGTACCACGAGGGGCTTAATGTGACTTGTCCGAGGGGAGTTACGTGGCCCAGCCAGGAGTCACTCCTGAGTGCCACGATTCCACTCGCCTGCCTATCACTGCACCACCTGACTTCCCATGGGAGCTGCCACGCAGCTTTGATTGAAAAGTGCACAACTTTCCTGGCTGGTGTGGCTCTGGGGATTGAGCACCGGCCTGAGAACCAATGGGTCTCAGGTTCGATTCCCAGTCAGAGCACATTCCTGGGTTGCAGGTCAGGTCCCCAGTAGGGGGTGTGCAAGAAGCAACCACATATTGATATTTCTTTCCCTCTCTTTCGCCCCCCTTCCCCTCTGTCTAAATAAATAAATACATACATAAATAAAAAGAAAAGTGCACAACCTGAGTTTCTGTGGAAGTTTGACAGCAGGCTGGAGAAACCATAAGCACACACTATACACACCCACTTGCCTTTGCCAGGGGCTCACTCAGGCCTTGGAGGGGCGGGTGGAAGTCTGCCTGGCCCACTCTGGAGCTGGTGCTGCTGGTGCTGTCCGCCGTCGGTAGGTAAGGCTGTGAAGTGCAGGTTTGTCCCCGGTGCGGCTTGCTCCGTGGTGAACTCCTTAGCCTGAGCCTTGGGGATGGGTATCTGAGCATTGAGTGATGACAACGGTGGATAAATAAGCCCATGGGAGGTTAGAACCAGAAGGCACACTGGAGATCCCTGAGGCCCGTGGCTCCAGAAACACCGCACCACTCACCTGGGACGAGTGACAAAGTGTGGATCCCCAAGTTTGTATGTGGACTGCGTATCAGGTACCATTACAGTGCCACGTTAAAAACCCACGGGCGTGACGATGGCACTATAGCTGTGTATGAGACTCCTTGCTCTCGGCAGATACCTACTGAAGCGTTTTGGGTCAAATGCGACACTGTCTGCAGACATTTTCAAAGTGATTCTCTGATGCACAGAAACTCGTGTGGTGAATACGGAGGACTAGCGAAGCCGGGTAAAACCTACACGGGTTTTCACCACACTTCTTTCAGCTTTTCTGCAGCTTTGAACGTTTTTCAAATAAGCTCCGCAGGGAGGGAAGAGATATTTTAAAATGCAGATCCCCAGATCCTGTTTCCAGATATTCTGACGCAGTGAATCCGTGCTTTTGAGCTTCCCCTCATCCTGCTGCTCGAAGTTGGGCACCATTGACCTCATTTAGCTCTAGACTTTCCTCCCTGCCTGTTTCATAGAGGAAAAAAACTGAGGATCCAAGAGGGTGAGTAATTTGAGACCAACCAGTGGATTGCAGGGAACATCAGGTCTAAAGGGGGGATTCTGCCTAGGCTGTTGTGGCTCAGTGGATTGAGTACGGGCCTGCGTACCAAAAGGTTGCCGGTTCGATCCTCAGCCAGGGTACATGCCTGGGTTGCAGGCCAGGTCCCCCAGTAGTGGGGAGTAAGAGAGGCAACCAACTGATGTTTCACTCTCCCTCTTTCTCTGTCCCTTCCCCTGTCTAAAAACCTTTTTTAAAAATAAATAAATAAAAACACAATAGAGGAGTCCTGGTTCATTGTGAAACATTTAGTGCTCTGTGCCGTGTGAATTCCGCGAGGATAAATGGGTAGGGGCGGGGAGTGGAGTGGGGGTGGCTGCTGGGACGGTACTTTTGACTTGGAAGTCTAAACGGCCCTCTAGGGCCCCGTAACTTTTTAACACAAATGATGATCCTCAGGTTTTCTCACATCTATTTAAGAAAACTCTGAACTCCTCCACTTCAGTGGCCGCCAGGAGTTTCCTCAAACAAACAAGGTCCACCTAGCACCGTTGGCGTCCCGTCGCCATGGAGACAGACCGTTCCATTTTTCCTCAAGGGGTGGTCTTAGTTTTCTCTCCTTTCCCCATCCGCATCATGGTGCCCAGAAGATGCTCGGAGCGAATGGAGGGACTTATATGGACCGATAACGTTTCCTGAAACAAGGGCGCGCCAGAGGTTGGCGCACCCCGTTCCCGAGCGAGACCGGGGTCTTGTGCCCACCCCGGGGTCCAAGTAGTGGGGTCCAAATAGTCGGCTCAGAGCTCGACTTGAGCCCCGCAGCCGGGAAGCGCGCTGCATCCAGACCCCAGGTCGACTCTCTGCGACCTCCAAGATGCCAGAAGCCAAGGGCTCCCGCCAGGACCTCACGTCATGCAAGAAGAAGCAGCAGCCGGTGCACCGTACAGTCAGTCAGATCTGCCCGCCCCCACGACGGCCGCTGACCGTGGCAGACATCCGGCCGGGCATGGAGAACGAGAGGTTGGGGGTCGTGCGCGATTCCATGTTTCAGAACCCGCTCATCCTCAAGGTGAGCCGCCCGCACGCCGCCACCCTTTCGCGCTCGCCCCCTCACTGACCACCCATACGGCCCGGGGTGTCCACGCATCCAGCCCTGGCCCACGGCTGGGTCCCAGCGCCACGCTGGCAGCTCCAGCTCTGGTCCAGAGAGACCTGCACCCCCATGCGGTCACCGGCAGGTGGCATCCTCTCTGAACCTCAGCTTTCTCACCCGCCGAGAGGGATGATAAAAACACTCATTAGAGGGAGTGATTGGGAAGATTGGTTGGGGTGGTCCCTGCGGGACCCCTGGGACGGCACCTGACACCCAGGGAGCCCGCAGTGTTGGCTGCCGCGGTTTCCGGGAGCCTGACGATGCGCCCACAGGGTGACAGGTCACACGCACCCGACTATATCCTCACCCACCCCCCGCCGGCCCTCCCAGGGCGCAGGCCGCCTCCCCCCTTCCCCCTGCATGCTGGGCTGCTACCACGCAGTGAGTGCACTCTCTCCTGGAAGTACAACTTTTCCGTTCGATCAAACCTCACCCAGAGGTGCCACAGGAAGGCACAAGGGCGAATCTGGGCCCTGGGAGGTCCGGCAGGTGCGACTGAGGGAGCCGAGGTTTCCAGCCAGATCGCGTCTCTGTTTACTGCACGTTCCCTCGTTTAATCTCGTTTCCGGAGCGGTGGTCACCCAGCATCCAACACTTTCCCAGGCCCCGGGAAAAGTCAAAAGTCAAACTGAGACTTGGCTGCTGGGGAGCGTGTCACGCCGCAATTTTGTCTCGCGCCACTGGAGGGCAGCGTGCTGTTAGAAATGCGCGCAGTCCCCAGCGGTCTGCGGTGCAGGACGCAGGCGGCCACCTGGACTCAGTACGCAAGGCGCCGGTTGGAGCCTACGGGTGTTTGTCTGTGGTTTGGTTTGGGGGGTACAGGGAACCTGGGTTTTCTTAACATCGTGCTAGAATTAGCTGAGTTACTGAGAGTCCTGTGAAAACATGGGCTCTTCCCTCTTGCCTTCCCCAAACCACGCCCCGGGGCCTGCGTCTGGGGAAGCGTCCTTCTCCCCCAGGGGGAACAAGGTCCTGCACTTATTTCCAGGTGAGAGGAGCCACTCCCCGCGGACAGATGGGACAGACAGATGGGGTTCACCGTTCTGGGGTCCCGGGGAGATCCGAGTCCCCCCTCTGATCAGCTGCTCTAGCGTCAAGTTGCTGCTTTCACTGAGACAGTCACCAGGGGGCCCCTTCTTTCTCCAGCAGAAACGAGGCCATTCCGGAGTCACTGTTCGCCAGGGCCAATTAATGGTGCGCAATGCCCACCTCAGGCTATGTCGTGTGCTCGCATACAACACATTAAGTATGTGCATATGCATGAATGTTAGACATACACATACATTTACATATATGGGTACACATTATATACACAGAAGGCCTGTCCCCCATAAGTCCAGCCATTGTTACCGTCATGAGAACGGTTGGCGTGACATCGATGTCGCCTGGAGCTGAGGCGTGTGGGCTGGAATGCACATACGTGAACGATGACAACCTCACTGTACTGGCCAGTGGGGGCGGTCGACGCCGTTGCGTGAACATGTGTGCCGTGTGGCCGTCACATTCCAAGTGACTGAGCGAGTGGAGCTTCACATCTGCATCGAATTTCGTGTTGAGCTTGAACATTCCTCCATGGAAACTACCCGGGTGACTCAGGGGGCTTCAGGGACCGTGCAGTGAGTGCAGCGCAAATGACAGTGCGGCCCCACCCTTCAAAGGTGGTGGAGAACCTGTGGGGAGTGAGCCACGGTCTGGGAGGCCTGCGACAAGCAGACACCCGAGGATGGTGAACGTGTACGGGCTGCAATCGGCAGAGATCGGCAACTGACAGGCAAGAACCGGAAGCTGATCCGGGGATTCCAAAAACTACTGGGTCCGAGATTTTGACTCGGGATCTTGGCATGAAATGCGTTGTGGTAAAATAACTTTCGCAGCTCCTGCTACCAGAGCAGAAGGGACATCGCGCTGCGGTTGCTAGTGGCCTGGTTCAAACCACTACCAGGGAACCAGAGCTCCCCGAGAAGCTCGTAACTGAAGTGGACGGAGTCATCACTGTCCTGTGTACAACGTTTCTTGTATCCTCTTCAGTAAGTGTCTTTGTTTCTCACAGCCCATGGCTGGATGCTGTCTGGACAGGCCTCGTGCATGTGTACATGTGTACGTGTGTACATGTGTACTGTACGTAGATACAATTTCTGGGTTTTAAGTAAAGTAAAATATGTAAGTAGAATTGCCATTTTCTCCTCTTGCTTCCCTGCTCCATTTCAAGGACAACATTTGGCCTCTGGATGGCACTAGCTGAACAGCTTCCAGGACAAATTCAGTCCCCGGTGTGTGGGCCTGAATTGAGGTTCGGAAAAGGTGCCGCTCTCTGACTGATGATGAGGGGTTTGTCCTCAGGGCAGGACACCAGCCCTGGTGTGGACGCCTGCGTGGCAGGGGCTGCATCCAGGCGCTTGCTGCAGCAGCCCCCGGCTCGTCCCCACGGGGCACCCAGGGGCCAGGGGCTCTTTCCTTCTCCCTCCCTCCCCCCAGTTCTTATGGGCCCTACGCACTTCCCGTAGCAGCTACAGTTGTGCCCACGTTTCCACAGTCACAGCTGCCACGGTACTTCCTACCAGAACCTGGCCTACGTGCAAGCTGCAGGGACACTGACAGGGGGAAGGACCTTCGACCGTCACACCTCCCAGACCCCCATTTCCAAACGGGCTCCCTGAGGCTACCTGCAGCGGGCTCTTTGCTCAGGTCCTGGCAGAGCAAACCCTGGCTAGAAGCGATAGTCCCTGCCCCCGCTCAGCATGATTTTTACCATTTCAGACAGCTTCCTATATTAAAAAAAATTTTTTTTAATTGTAAAGAAACTTCAGGCTTTTCAGTTTTTAAGAAAAGGGGAAGAACCCTGGCAGTTAGCTCAGTGGGTTAGAGCATCATCCAGATACGCCAAGGTTGAGAGTTTGATCCCCAATCAGGGCACATACCAGAATCGACCAATGAATGCACACATAAGTGGAACAACAAATCAATTTCTCTCTCTCTCTCTCTCAAATCACTAAGTAAAAATTTTTTAAAAGGAGAAGATTGAAAATATTCAAGATTGTGGAAGCTTTTTAAAAAAATCTTTAAAAAATTAATTTCACAGAGTGAGAGAGAGACATACAACTTGTTCTTCCACTTATTTGCACACTCATTGGTTGATTCTTATGTGTGCCCTGACCGGGGATCGGGCCCGCAACCTTGGGGTATCTGGACAATGCTCTAACCAACTGAGCTACCCGGCCAGGGCTAAAACATCTTTTAAAAAATAATGGGTTTCTTAAATTGTTTTGTGGCATGGCTTGTGGGTTTCTTCATTGTGCCACATCAGTTTTGAGTGTGTTTTGGTTCGGGCTAAGTCTGAACTTGAAGGTTGCATTTCTGTTGGAAGAATAAAACCCCTTAGGAAGTGGTCCTTCGTTCCACCATGCCGGGGGCTGCTGCCCGGGCTGCTCCCTCCGGCGAGCAGGACCAGGGTTTTTTTTCCCCATTTGCAATGCAGGCATGCTGCCTGAACAAACCCAGCACCGCTATTTCACAGCCGCGGGGTTTACCCGGACAAACACACGCCAGTTACTCAGGAACAGGTCTGCAAGATGCTACAGTAACCAGGCGAAAAGTGGAAAACTCGGACATGCAAGTGGGTGTTTCATCAGCAGATGCTCCACAAACATCCGCCTCGTTTAAACCCAAGCCAGCCGGTTATCAGTGAGACTCATCAAATCTGGTGGGTGTTTGTGCGGTCACAGAGAGATGGAAATGCGTTCCGTTAGAAAGAGCTTCTACCCGATTATATAAAGCGATGGGCTGTTAGCCCGTATTCCTTCAAATGTGACTCTCTGGGAAGAGTGAAATTAAGCAGAAAAAGAACCAAGCTTCCCCCGCCGGATGCTCAGTTCCCGGAATGCTGGGACTTGCCACAGGACCCCGCAGCCTGCCGGGTGCGCCCTGCTGCCAGCGCCGCTACAGGGACAGGCTGCGGGGTTTGCTGCACTGACGGCCTTGGATCCACCGCTGCCTGAGAGGCGGGCAGGCAGGCGTGTACCGGGGTGGAGTCGAGCCCCCCTGAGAAAGCAGAAACGACCGTGGCACCCGACTTTTTTATAATTTATTAATGATTTTGTTTTACCGTGGGGCTTGTGCCGCAAAGAAGAGGTGTGTGCATTTGGAAAACAGAGTCATAGCATCGCGTCACGGAGGGAGGGCTGCAGACACCTAGTCCAAGTCTTTCCCGAGGAGAGTGAGGCCCCGAGGGGTGGAGACTCATCCAAGGAGCCGCTGGGAACGGGTTGAAGAAGTGGGATGACCTTCGTGTCCCCCGACCTCCAGCCCCGTGCTTTCGGCCACGGTGAACTCACGCAGCCCGGAGGGGGCACGTGCACACAGCAGGCTGGCGACCGTGCTGACCGCAGAGTCTGACTCCCGGGTCCCCTCACTCAGCCTCCCTCCCTGAGCGTGCTCCCCTAATTTCTCAGGAACTTGTTGGCAGCTAAGAAATATGTATCGAGTGTTTACTAAGCGCCCTGCACCATCCTAAGCTTCCTTGGGGGCACAGAAACACGTCCAGAACTCAGCCTTTCCCCACAGGGGGTAACTATTTAGCTGGGGGTGGGGTGGGCAGAGTATGTATATGTCATACTGCGTGCACATGTATATTGCACATATATGTCGCTTATACCCTAAAGCAAGCTCTCAGAAAGGTTGTCTGATTTTTTTGTCTGATTTTTTTTAGAAAGGCTAGAAATGCCTTTTAGACATTCAAGTGGAAATGTGAACTTTTTAAAAAGATTTTATTTATTTATTTTTAGAGAGGGAAGGGAGGGAGAAAGAGAGAGAAACATCAATGTGCAGTTGCTGGGGGCCGTGGCCTGCAACCCAGGCATGTGCCGTGACTGGGAATCGAACCTGCGACACTTTGGTTCACAGCCCGCGCTCAATCCATT